GAAGAATCGCTGTGTCGTCTGATATGTTCACCCACAACTTAACACACGAAAGCTTATACCCAGAACAAACTTAGTTGGTCTCTAAGGTGCTACTGGACATTTTTTAAAAATTATTTTTATTTATTTCAACTGCTTCAGACCAACATGGCTACCTACCTGAATGCAGTAGTCCAAGTGGGAGATAACTAGAGCATGCACTACTCTGGCAAGACAGTCTGTGGGTATGTAGGGTCTCAGATGGCCTACCAGATGGAGCTCAATCTGTTGGCCAGCATACATCCTCCAACCATCTCCAGATACTCACACAGGACATTCACCCCCTTCACTGGTTCTGATTTAAAAGAGAGGTAGAGCTGTGTATCATCTGCACACTCAGCCCAACCCTCCTGATGATCTCTATGGTCTTCTTCATGCTCAGGCTATGAACGAAAACATTAAGCTTGCTGGAGAGCTAGGCTGCTGGTGACCTAGTTGCAGGAGTTTATTGGCCAGTGACGTTACCATGGATGAATGCAGATGTATCATTGTGACATCAGGGTATGATGTCACAGACAGAATGAGCTTCAAACACCAGAAAAGTGGGAGACAGTTAAGAGTCAGACCCAGGCTTAATGCTGTGGGTATTCATGGCAGATGATGAAAAGGTGGAATGGCAGCTGGTTGAAGTCATTAGAAAGCATCCAGGACCCTCCATCTCCTAAAACCTGGCAAGCCTTGAAAGTAGGAGAGCAAAGAGCTCAAAGACAGAGGGCACGTAGCAGCACCCATAGAAGTGACAAATGAGGATATGGGAGAGACGAGGGTGGAGATTCACTCGGGACAACACTATTATCCAAGAGGCTGAGTTCTATAGCCTCTCTCTGTAATAATTGAAATAAGAAAGGACGGTAAGAAAACTTTCCTTGTCTTTATGCTTTCCTGGGCAACCAGCCAGAAGCTGCTGACAGCATCCTGACAGATTGTCCCGAGTTAACTTTCATTGGCTGTTAGGTCATAAATCATGACAGATGGTGTAACAGGAGCTATAGGGCAGCCAGCTAATACTGATAACCTAGAAGAACAATTTCAATGGCTTTTACAACAAAATTTATTGTGAAGATGACACGTAGAACAATTAACCAGCACAATAAATCATCAAAATGAAGAATTTGCAAGGATTTCTTGGGGTACCACTTCACACTTGAGGGGGTGCTTATGGATCCTGCTAAGGTGCAGAGTGTAGTTTCGTGGGAGGGGCTCAAGATAATGAAAAACCTTCAGAGGTTTTTAGGGTTCATCAACTATTACCGCAAGTTCATGCCAGCCTATTTGAAACTCACAACCCCCCTCATGGATTGCAAGAGGGGCAAGCAGCCGTTCCAGTGGACTGCCGTTCCAGTGGACAGTTCTTTGCTCAGTTTGACTTCAGGGTCCAGTATGTGTCGGATAGTCAGAATCAAGCAGTGGATGCTCTCTCCAGGAAGCCTGAATATCAGAACCACGAGACAGTCTCAGTGTATAGACATATCTTGAAACCAGCACAGCTACAAGTAGGTGCTGGATCAGTCATGGAAGTCACAAACTTCCAGCAGCAAACAAGAGAGGATGCCTTTGCCAAAGGCAGGTTAACAGCACTGCAGGAAAGCAGCAGTGAAGCAAAGGGCTTTGTAGAGGAGGGTGGCCTATTGTAGAGAGAAGTTCTCTACATCCCAGCGGGAGACCTCTGAGCCAAGGTGCTGGGTCAATGCCATGACAACCTTAAACTGGGCTACTTCGGGCAGCACAAGATGTTAAAGCATGAGACGCAGCAGTTCTGGTGGCCAAGGATGAGGGAGGAGGACAAGGAATACATGAGAGCCTGTGAGATGTGTCAGTGGGCAAAGAGACCAAGGGAGGCACCAGCAGGCTTACTACAACTGCTGCCCACCCCACAAGGACCATGGGAAACCATAGCCATGGACTTCATCACAGATGGAGGAAGACATAGCTCAGAGGCAGATGAGGGGTAAAGTTGGGAAATGATGGGAGAGGAGGAGGAGAAAGAAATGGAGCAGCGGCTTGCTGACACGGTATCAATAGAAAGCATCACAGACCCCCCACCTCCCAGAACCCAGCGGGCCTTAAAAGTAGGAGAGCCAAGAGCCAATGACAGCATCCTGACACCAGGGTCAGGTCCACTTTAGCAATACTGTATTTTATGTGACGCTAAGAATCTTCAAAGAATCAGATACTACCATCTTTGCATTTTGTAGTTAGATGGGCTTTTGTGTTCAGATCAGGCCTGAGGATGATAATGTAGCACTTGGGAAGGAAGATGCAACCCAGAAGCCCAGCACTGGAGGCCAACATAGAGAAGACCTGCACAGCAACCATGAACTTCCCTTTTGTGCTCAGGTAGGTGGGCACAAAAGACACCCAAACACTGCAGAAGACCAGCATGCTGAAGGTGATCAGCCTGGCTTCATTGAAGGACCCTGGAAGGTTCCTGGCTAGGAAAGCCACTGTGAAGCAGATTGCAGCCAGGAAGCCCATGTAGCCAAGGACAGTGTAGAACATGGCAACAGATCCTTCATTGCATAGAAGGATGATCTCTGCAGCTTGGGAGTGCATGTCAGAGTCTGGGAAGGGTGGGGAGATTCCCAGCCAGATGGTGCAGATGACAGCTTGCATACCACAACAGGAAAGGACAATGGAGTTGGCTAGACTCTGCCCTAGCCATCTCCTCATCTTGTTCCCTGGCTTTGTAGCCAGGAAAGCCAGCACCACAGTGATGGTTTTTGCCAACACAGAGGAAACCGCAAATGAAAATATGATGCTGAATGCTGTTTGTCGGAGAAGGCAGGTCACTTTCCCTGGCCGGCCGATGAACAGGAAGGAGGACCAAAAGGAAAGCAGGAGGGAGATAAGGAGTATATAGGATAAGTCCCGATTGTTAGCTTTGACTATGGGAGTTTCCTTGTATTTAACGAAGATTCCTAGGACAACACCAGCGGTTAAGGACAAGAAGATGGCAAAGGAAACCAGCACAATCCCCAAGGATTCTTCATAAGTGAGAAATGTTATAGTCTTGGGGACACATTTGTCTCTTGCTTGATTTGCATGCTGATCTTCTGGGCATTTGGTGCAATGCTTTGCATCTAAGGAGAATGAGAATGACTTCAGCATAACTCACAAAATTCTTATATCCATAACTGTCTGTTTTCCGATACATTGGGAAACATCAATAATAAACTAATAGATGATAGGATTTTAATTGTCTGGAGCAGGGGTCCCCAAACTTTTTAAACAGGGGGCTGGTTCACTGTCCCTCAGACACTGTCAGGGGCCTGAGTATAATTTGAAAAAAAATGAATGAATTCCTATGCACACTGCAGATATTTTATTTGCACAAAAAGAGGAAAAACAATACAATATTTAAAATGAAGAATGATTTTAATCAACATAAACTTATAAATATTTCAATGGGAAGTATGGGTCTCCTTTTGACTAATGAGATGGTCCATATTGCTAATGCTCGTCCCTACAACCCAGCCTACACATGGATCTCCCTCACCCCCGTGGCCCAGTCTACATGCAGGCCTTCCATGCCCCCATCCCCACAACCCAGCCTACACCCTTGTCCGCCTGCACACACCCATCCCCACAACCCAGCTTATACATGTCTCCCTAACCCCCTTCCCCATGACCCAGGTTATGCATGTGCTTCCCTAACCCAGATCCCCACAACCCAGCCAGACCCATGTCTCCTTAAGCCCCATCCTCACAACCCAACTTGCCCGAGTGTCTCCCTAACCATCACCCACCCACCCCAGCCTGTATGCCTGTCCTCCAGCCCCAAATCCCCACACTTCAGCCTGCCCATGCGTCTCCCTACCAATCTCCACGGTGCAGCCTGCATGCATGTCGCCCGTCCCCATGACTCCCGACTTACTGTGGGGCAGCTCCTCTGGCACATCATGAATTCCACGTCACGGCATTACAGACGCACCAGATCGGGGGATTGGAGCCGGTACTGGGCTCTGGGGAGGCGAGGCAGGAGCCCTGTGATGCGTTAGCAAGGATGCGGTGTGCTGCAGTGCCAGAAAGGCCCTCATGCCAGCCCCATCCTATGCACTGCCGGCCTCTGTGGCGGGGAGGTAGGCGGGGAGAGGCCCGGCTTGCCCAGGCAGCGCGCTCACTCGCTGGCGGGTGAGGAGGCCGTGAGAGGGAGACGGGGTGCATGGGGTCTGGGGCGCGTGGGGTGCCTCTTCCTCCGCAATCCCCTTCCGACTCCAGACGGGCCAGGTCCAGGACCCTGGTGGACCAGATACAGCCCACGGGCCTTAATTTGAGGATGCTAGGTCTGGAGTATTGAAGGTTGTAAGTCAGTGGAAAAATACAGGCTAGGTTTCTTTCCAAGCCAGGACGTTACATGGGGCAGAGGCCCTAACACGACAAAAAGCTGTTGATGGCCCATCTGAGAGGAATTCTTGGGCCTGGGCAGATGGAGGTTGCCCTGGTGACGGGGTGTGCATTTGAGGTATCAGGAAAATACAGTCTTTAGCAAGGTAGGCTCGGAAGAATAAGGCAGAGAACAAGGAGGGACCCGTCTTGGCTAGGGTGGCTGAAAAATGGTTAGGAGAGATTTCTTGCACTCGAGTTTTGCATTGCTATGGGGAACAAGTCCCTCTTGATCATGTGCTAAGATCTGGACTCCCTCCATACAGACTGAAGGTGTAAATATGTGAATAAATCATATTTCTTAAAGCTACAACAGTTTTCCCGTGTCTTCAATTCTCCAAAGGAGCACAAACTCTGGGTGACCCCTAGAACCCCCTGGAATTTTGCTTCTGCTGGGCAGAGAGTGGGGTGGTGCCCAACTTCTGTAGGCTTCAATATTTGTCCCCTTCCCTTGACGGCTGTTGTGCTCAGGCCCTGCTTGTGGGCTTTTCATAAGCATCTGGTTCAACATAGTGAGAACAGGGTTTTGGACTACCTGGGCCTTTGGCCTGATCAAGCAAGCCTCTCCCTTTCTTCTGGAGTCACCCACCTTCCTGAATGGAGATGGTCCCTTCCGCACAAGGAGCACAATCATAGCAGCAAAAGGGCTCCCCTTCTTTAGCAACTCTGGCATATCCAGGGCGACAGCTTTCAGTGCATCTTGAATGAGGCACAACCTAAAAACAAGGAGAAAGAGCATAAAAGGATATCAGCATGAATTACAGACATCATCTGAAGGCCCTGACTAATAACAATCCTCAAATAAATATCATTTTTAGAATACTGAGGCCAGATTAGAAAGCTTAAAATGGGAATGAGACCCTTCCAAATTTTGTTGGACTGTGGAGAACTTGTATAAAGTTTCATTTTTAATTGTTGACCACAAAAGATCAAACAAACTTTGGCATTTCAAACTGTATTTGATGTTTATTGTTTTTTTTTGTGTTTGTTACTATGATAGGGTTGCCATATTCAGGACAAAGTTACAGTAGAACCTCTACTTACGTCCTGCTCTACTTAGGCCCGTTCCAAGTTGCTACCGCGGAAAACCCAGAATTAAACACTGGGTTTGCTGCGACTCGCACACACGCAGAAGCGGCTGCTGCCATCTGCACATGCACAGAAGTCGACTGTCGCCAAATGCACCTGCACACAACGGCGCTTCTACCAGCTAATCATTCCGCTATAAGGATGGGCCTCTGGAAGGGACTGTGGTCGTGAGTAGAGGTTCCACTGTATTGAGCTTTCATTTTCCCCCGCTCTCAATTTTTGTGTGCTTTGCTTTGAATTATTGTTATTTTAATTGCCCTACTTGTCATACATTTGATTTCTCCAGTACACTTTTCTGTTTCAGCAAAAAGCTGCCTGGGTGCCATTTCTGCAGCCCAATTCTTGGATGTGTCTGAAATAACACGGAGGTATGGCAGCCCTATACTATGGTGTGTATAAAAGCACTATGGTGCTTTTATAAGCAGTTGCCGTTATTGAGCAGCTGATAAAGGCCACATGGCAGTTAGGCCCACACTGCCAGCTTTTGGCCCATGGATGTCCTTGTTTCATCCACTCGGAGGGATAGATGGAAATGCAAGCTTAAGAGCAGCCTCTCCTCTCTTTGCCCCTCTCTATCTGAATTGCTATGAAAAAAAGAGAGGGGAAAACAGAGAAGGAAAACAGCTGTGCTCTACACAATCAGGAGTGGGTCTCACTCTGCACAGAGCCCACTTAGGGTTAACCTGAAAATGGCTCCTATCAGCATATCATCAGAACGTAACAGATGTCACAGCAAAGGAACCAGAGCCAGTTGTGCCATAGTGGTCAGAAGGTTGGACAAGAATCTGGGAGACTAAGGGTTAAATTCCCATGAAGCCATGAAGCTTTCTAGGTGACCTTGGGCCAGTCACTTCCTCTCAGTCCATCCTACTTCACAGGGTTGTTGTGAGGATTAAATGAAGAGGCAGAAAACCATATATCGTTCAAATAGTTCAAGTAGACAAAAATGTGTAAACAAGCCTGATGCCTTTTGTCATGCTAATTTTGTCTGGTCAATACGAAGGGTATCGGCAAGAAAAACTGACATTCTGTCACCTATCCCAGTATTCCTTCAGCAATTAGACCTACCCTGCACTCTGAGGAACTCCCAATTTCAGTTTTGTCTCTTCTGAAGATGATGGAAATGAACATGGTGAGGAGCATAACTGGATCATCTGTGTGGATCTCAAAATGGTCAACTTCTTGCTTGGACAACAGAAAGGCTTTACCAAGTACCTGAATAACAACAGCTTATAGATACCACTGGGGAACAAAATAGCACTCACTATGGTGTAGTGTGGTGTAGTGGTTAAGAGCGGTAGACTCATAATCTGGTGAACCAGGTTCGCGTCTCTGCTCCTCCACATGCAGCTGCTGGGTGACCTTGGGCTAGTCACACTTCTTTGAAGTCTTTCAGCCCCACTCACCTCACAGAGTGTTTGTTGTGGGGGAGGAAGGGAAAGGAGAATGTTAGCCGCTTTGAGACTCCTTAAGGGGAGTGATAAAGTGGGATATCAAATCCAAACTTGTGTGATCCTTGGGTTCTCGCCAAACCATGGGAACCCAAAAAGGCATACTCTTCCGTTTTGCTTTTGTCCAGTCTCTAAGCATTTCCTCACAATTGTGACAAACAATATGCGGAGCCCATTTCTTGTGTTGGTTGCCCAGGGGAATTTCAAAATAGCTTTTATGGGCACGCCTCACAAACACTGCTTGTGTTTTTGTGTCTTTGATGAGGAAGTGTGTAGCAGCCACATACATAACAAAAGGCACCAGGCTTGTTTACACATTTTTGTCTACTTGAAGAAGCCATGGTCCAATCTGAAAAATACAAATATTTAGATTACAAAACTATAAAAATAAAGAAAAATTAAGTTTGCATAACAATAATTACCATGTGGTTAGGGTAGATCAAAGTGTCACGGTCCACTTATCCCCAGTGTAAATATGACGTATCAGCAAAAGTTGGAAATTGAAAGATAACTACAGCATGTACATGAAAATCGATTTCAGATTTGAAATCAGCATTGAAAGAACATATATGAACAGTTGAAAAATCTCATGCAACAGAAAATGAAAAAAAAATTGTTCTCCAGTGATATATATGCAATGAAATAAAGAAAGAAAGAATGACTGAATGAATGAATGCAATGACCTTGCTGAAGCTCCCAGGCCAAACAATGGCTTCTGTTTTAATGGAGAATTTTATGTAGGAAGATGCCTGTCCCTCGATGCTCCCAACTTTCTTTCTACTGTGAGATCTATTGGGAAATACGACCCAGTTCATGATATCAAAGTTGGCAGTCAGCTCCCCATTCTGATCAGAATACATCCCTCCTATGGATGAATTGGAAATCCAAATTTCTTTCAAGAAAGTGTGAAGCTAGAATGGCAGAGAAAATGCCAGCATTTAGAAAACATGATATCAAGGTTGTTGCAGGATGTTTCCCGGGTATATGATTGAGAAAATCCTTTCCTGAAGTTGGATATTTTGTGGGATGTAGTCTTGTTTTTCTTCTTTGAGGAAGGTTCCAGACATCTTACCAATTTCATGAGAATTGTCCTAAATCAAGGACATTGAGGCAGAGGCCTTGGGTCAGCTAAATGATGACCTTTTGGTCATTACAAGAGGTCCTTTATCAGGTTATAAATTCACAGGACGTATGACTCAAATAAACACATATAGAGGACACATCCTAGCAAGCACTTGGCAACTGTAGAAAGCCAGCATGCATTTTAATTGGCTTTAAGCTATCCTATTGTCATTTCAACTTTCTATGTTTTAAATAAGGGTTTTCTTTAGTGATAATTTTTTTATTTTAACTTTTTTGTAAAGTGCTTTGAGGTGTTTTTTCAGGAGTCAAGCAATATACAAATATTATGCAAGAAATATAGTAATTAATTCATCTTTATGTAAGAGAATGCTCCTTAACAATTTTTCATAGCTTAGCTTGTGCTTTGAAAGTCCCCCCTAACTTTCCCAAATTAATTATTAAAAAACATGATTTTAATCAATTTTCAAAGTATCTTAGAACCTCAAAAATAGATGAACAATATAAAAAAACTTATTAACATGTCCTACCAAAGATAAGGCATAGGAAACCTATACGTACTGTATTTAATAATTACAATGAGATAAACTTCAAAGAATATACAATCTGAAACGGATTCCAGAGAAGGACAAAGTATTTGCAAAAAAGGGGAGAGGACAGACCTGCCATGGCTGCAGCCTTTGAAGTTCCAATCTGTCTCCTCCACTCGCCATTAACATCCATTTGGATCTGGATGAATAGGCGACATTTAAGGCCTGGGCCACAAGTTGGACACTGTAGTAAATGCTGTAACGATCTTGAGACCAGATTGCCTCCATCTCCTCCTGGGACAATGCTTCCAGTGGTTCCTTTTCTGTGCATCTTGTCCAACCCACCATGGGCAGCACATCCTTTGAACATGAACAATTGAATGCTTTCTCCCAAAACTGCACAGATGCAGATTCAGTTGCAAATGATAGTCGAGGATAGTAGCCGCGTTCTCTCCTTTTTTTGGTATTCATTACAAAGGACAAAGAACCTTGGGCAGGTGGGAAAGAATGCATGTTACGAAACAACATATCGTCAATGTCCATAAGGTCTGTTGTGATCCAGATTATACCCTGAGATCCCCTCACTTGAGGAATGCTTTGTAAAATCATGATTGGATAAATTCCATGTTCAGAGTCCCCATAATAAACAAACACCTTGACTTTTCTCAAGTCCGAAGCTTTACAATGTAAGGATGACATTTGTCGCAGGGTCAAAATCCCAATTTTTTCCAAGAAAGCAACACAAATCCCACTGTAGATCAGCGGAGGTGTGAAAGCACTCAAGAACCTTTCTCCATTGTCATTGTCTGGAACAAAGAGACCGATCCACGTCCACCCGAAATGCAACAACAACTTGACAATCCCCATGTGCTGGGTTTCTTCTTTGGGGACTATCCGGTAGATAAAAGGGAACTGAGTTTTGTCATCCAGATCCTGAGCAGCAGAGCCAAAACTGATCTAGTAAAAATAGGATTGGTGTCATGTTTTCAGAAATACACACGAAGGGTCCCATCACATGATCAAGCCAAAGGATCATCTAACCAGATGCTAACAAGATGCATCTGGATGCATGCCATGCCTTTGATGGAGTAATCCAGTTCAGATGAGTACCTGGAGCTTACAGAGAAGGAAGGGGCTCCAATGGACACTGCGGCAGAGCAGGGCATCTGGAGCCCTCAGGGGTCTTGGCACTCCAACCTCTTTCTAGAGTCACAATGTGCCACTACACAGAATAAGAGGCAGAAGCTAAGCAGCTGCACAGTCTGAAGGAGTGCAAGCACCTAAACCTCTGTGTTAGCTGCCAGACAGCCACTGGTCTTCCTGAGAAACAAGAACTCATTAGGAGCCAGGGGCTACTGTCAACTACATCTTCCTATTGACAAACTGGGGAGGGAGACAGGAAGAAGCTGAGGGTTTTCTAAATCGCTTTCCATATTCTTAAAATGTGATTCCCCGCCCTCTTTGGTTTCTCTTTTTGGGTGCTACTCTTTTGAGTTCCCTGGAAAAATAGGTGCTTAGGATATTGCTGAAGCACATCTCCCATCAGTCTGCACAAACATGGTTAAAAATAATGGTTGTCTTTGTAGTTTAGAAACTTCTGGGGCATGAAGGGGTTCCTCACAACTGCTGGAGAGACAGCAAAGAGGAATGAAACATAATTGATTTCTTCTCTTCCAATTCCTACCTGTGGCATTTTGTAGATGCCTAACATGCTTGAAATCTGGCTGGGGATTTCAGAAGAAGTTGCTTCAAAAACGGCCAGCACGTTATTCTGTCTTCCACAGCTGTAGTTTGGGATACTGTCTAGCATGGCATCGGCAGTTGTCCTGACATCAAAAGCGGCCTCATAGATGCTATAGCCCAGAGTGACATTGGCTAAATGCTTAAGATACTGGGTGATCTCCTGGGTTGCAAACAAGATGGAGAGGACTGGTGTGGTGTCCCATGCTGACCAACTGCAAATAAATGAATACACGAAAAATCATTTTAGCATCCTATTCCCCATTAAATGAAAACAACTTGCAACACTCCTTGCTCTATAAGAATATCAGAAGAGCCTGCTGCTTTTATATCTAACGGGCCAAACTCTGCAGCTAGGAAGGAGCAGAATCTTACCCAGATCCACCAAGAAAGAAAGGAGTAGCATTTAGTGGAGCTTGAACTGGGGTGAATTAGACTGAAATGATCATGTAAAGTTTCTTAAGTGCAGAGACTTGTTAGGAACTCTTTAGAGAATGAGAAGATATGAAAGAGAGAAATGCGCTCTCTTGGGCTACCCACCTTAACTTCTGAGGGTGGTGGAACTACCTAGTAAGATTCCTATACTGATTTGAACGTTCCATAGAGTTTAAAGGGAAGGAGGTGGTATCCTTACATTCTGATTTTTACACTTTCTTTGATCCACAAATGCAAGATTGCACAGTGCATTTAATACTTACTTAAGATACAATGTAATCCAAATACACCCAAGACCACCTGGGACTTTTAAGTTAGAAAGTTCTCTTTGGAATACAGGAATAGGGGAAGCTGTCAAAAGCATTTTATACTTGACTAGGAAGAAACACAGTTTTTGCATAAAAATACAAAATGAGACATGAGATGATCAACTGTGCTTTAGCTGCTGCCTTTGTATTAATGAAACTCCAAAATAGTGAAACGGTTCAGAATTAGCCTCTCTGTAAGCAGGATGCCAAGGGGTTACTAGGTACTTTGTTGCTGACTCTCAATCCCCAAATCTTCTTCCAAAGGCAATAGAGGGCCAAAGGAGAGAGAAGGTTTTTATCAGGGATGGCCAGATATTAAATGGTGTCTCTGACAAACAGCCATAAATGTGAATGAAGGCTGGGTAACATAAAGTCACTTACGTCATAACAGTGTTTTTGGGAGGGGTGGTGAACTTGAATGGGTAAGTTCTATAAGCTCTTGGAAATATGACCCCACTAATGAGGTGGTCTCCTGGCCTGAAATAATTCAGCGGATCACTTTCCTCATTTAGGTTCAATGGGCATTTTGCTTTCAGCATCCCACAGGCTCCATGGGGCATAAGCAGCACAAATAACAGCAGCACTAATATCATCCTGGCTATGCCTGCAAGAGTCATACACTCTTGTGACAGCAGTTACATTAGAAGCACAACTGGACTCCTACAGTAGCTTCAGAAGCAGAGGTAGAAAAAGGAAGCCTCCCACAGAAACAAGCCCTGCCAGCCCCAAATGTCTCAGGCCTGGCTTCTGATATTTATGACCCAGTTCTTCTTTCAGGCTTTTGACAAAAAGGTATATCATTCTGCCTGTGATTCTGAGATTATTTGTGGACTCCAAGGCCACCACTGGCGAAATCCCTGGAGTACGTAAATTATCATGATTTTTATAATTATCAAGTTAAGAATGTCCACCTGCTCTGCAAATCCCTGGAATTGGTGTGTGACTCAATGGGCATCTGCAGAGCCAAAGCAAAACATGTTTGTGAGAACTCAAAGATGGGGCTGTCAATCTGGGCCCTCTAAACTTGAGGAAACATTAACTTCAGTAAAGTCCAAGAAACTATAGAATAGCTATGATGGACCAAGACCAGCAAGGCAGGACTTAATAGAGGTGTATAAAGTCCTGCATGGTGTGGATAATATGGATAGCAAAAATTTTCCTCCTTCCCAGTAATAATACTAGAAGTTTGGACTTTAGACGGGAATTTAAACCCTTGTGTCCTAGGCTCCTGTCCAACTCCCTGATCACTACACCACACTGCCTCAGAACTATAGTTTCATTGGCATCCAGTGGAGGTCTCTAACACCGAGTTAAGCCATGAGATACTCACTTGAGCTAATAGAAGTTCCGGTTCATGAGAGAACCCAACCAGGTGACTGGCTCATTGGCTTTATACAGTAGCAATAATATATGGCCTTAGCTTAGTAATATACAGGTATGTCGTAACAGCCAACTAGAGATTCAATTCTAATTCAATTCATCTTCCAATGACGCTGAGTGTTGGAAGAGTCAGAACAGAGCAATCTCTTATAGACTTTGAAGATTGCACCTTCCCTGGAAGAATTTCAATCATACACAGTTGGGCTGAGGAAAGCTATTAACATAAATGTTATCTATAAAGTCCATTATACATTCAAGAACAGTGTGTTTTACTGCAGGTGTTAGTGGAGTTTGGGGCAGATTCTTGAAGATGTGGAACCTTCTGAAGTGACTCCCACTGCTTGCAAACGAGGCCTTCAGCTGTTGAGGTTCTATTGCTCTTTGAACCACTGGGGAAATTGTTTTTTGTAAGAACTCACTGACGGGCCTGTCAATCTGTGTATGGGTAAAAGTTTCCTGTAATGCCAACAGTGCAATCCTAGCATCTCTACTCAGTATTCCCATTCAGTTTTGTGGGGTCTCCTCCCAAGTAAGCGGCTATTTGATTGCAGTCAAAGAGGGTTGGGAGGACATTCCTTCAGGTGTCCTTGCCGCTCACAAAACAACTCACGTGAAATTGAAAAAGACTGAAGGATCACCAGATATTCCCGATGATCCTGCTGGATGAACCTAGTGTTCTATTTCTGAAGTATCTTTTGATGGGACTGTCACTGCTTGCAAGAGAACTGATGAACCGTAGAGTTGGAAGGGCCCCTGAGGATCATGTAGTATAAACTTCTGCAACGCAGGAATATGCAGCTGGTGAGCTTGTTAGGCGCCGAAGTCCAGCAGGTCTTTGAAACATAAATAACCTACGTTTATCAGCACTTGTTATTCCTAATAAGTGGACTTATTCAGCAGCTGTTTCAGCAGGGTAAAGGAGGGATGAGACTACATGTCTCTCCTGAGAGACTTGGAATGGGTGCCTGAACTTGCTGTTCCCTTTTTCCCTCCCAGTCCACTTTTCTGTTGTGTCTCTTTGATTGTGAGCTGAGGGCAGGATCTGCCTTCTCGATATGTGTGAGTCAATCTTGGGAGCTTACTTGTGTAGCAGGATTAAAATGCCAATAATGATTAAGCATGCATATATATATATATCTCAACCACTCTTTTAAACGTTTTCTTAAAAGTTGTGAAAACCTTTCTGTTGCCTTACTGTATCTAACATGTTAAGTGTTTTTAGGTTGCTTTGCCCATTTCTCCTGGGGAAAGACCTTCTTGAGACAAATTCTCTCACCCCCTAAGTGCAGACAGGAGACAGTGGTCCTTTTCCATATATGCAGGAGCATAAATAGCTGTGTGTGTGTGAGAGAGAGATAAGTGTATATTCTGGGAGGCATAACTAATTGTATATAATATTTTTTATTAATTTTCAATTACAATACAGTGGTACCTCAGGTTACATACGCTTCAGGTTACACACGCTTCAGGTTACAGACTCCGCTAACCCAGAAATAGTACCTCAGGTTAAGAACTTTGCTTCAGGATGAGAACAGAAATCGTGCTCCGGCGGCACGGCAGCAGCAGGAGGCCCCATTAGCTAAAGTGATGCTTCAGGTTAAGAACAGTTTCAGGTTAAGAACAGACCTCCAGAATGAATTAAGTACTTAACCCGAGGTACCACTGTAATCCAATGACAATCACATTATCACAAACCAAATTACACCAATTAAAAGGAGCCAATTATTCAAATGCCAAATGAAACTTATTTAGGTGACTTCCCGTGTCTGGACTTCTGGGTGCAATGATCTTAATTAGGGCTTTAAAGGTCAGCACCAACACTTTGAATTGTGCTTGGAAACATACTGGGAGCCAGTGAAGTTCCTTTAGAATCATTGTTATATGGACCTGGTGGAGATAACCAGAGCATGCACCACTCTGGTGAGACAGTTTGTGTGGGCAGGTAGGGTTGCAGCTGGCATACCATATGGAGCTGGTAGACAGAGTTAACCTGTGCCTCCATGGACACCTGTGAGTCCAAAATGACTCACCTGCGCACCTGGTCCTTCAGGGGCACAGTTGCCCCATTCAAGACCATCCAAGACCAGGGGGTCCCCCATGCCCGCCCCCATCTCCCAAAAACAGTACCTCTGTCTTGTCAGGATTCAACTTCAGTCCGTTAGCCACCATCCACCCTCCAGCCACCTCCAGATACTCACACATTAACCTTAACTGGTTCCTCAAACTGATGAACACCCAGCCCAAACCACCTGATGATCTCCATATTCTTCTTCATGCTCAGGCTATACATTAAGCTTGCTGGAGAGCCAGGCTGCTGGTGACCTAGTTGAAGGTGTAACGTTGGCCAGTGACGTTACCATGGATGAATGCAGATGTATCATTGTGACATCAGTGTATGATGTCATAGACAGAATGAGCTTCAAACCCCAGCAAAGTGAGAGACAGTTAACAGTCAGACCCAGGCTTAATGCTTTGGGTATTCGTGGCAGATGATGAAAAGGTAAAACATGGGGGCTATGGTATCTTTTACCAAAGGTTACAGTTGTCTAGAGAGCAAAAATGAATTAGATGGATGAAACAATAATATAGGGGCACAGCAGAACATGGACTATATACATGTTGAAGGCCCTGGGTTCAATTCCTGACATCTGCAAATCATCCTGAAATCTTTGGGGCAGGAGCAAGACTGCAAGAAACCTTTAATTGCCTTTATACTTTCCTAGGCAACCAGCCGAAAGCCGCTAACAGCATTCTGACACCAGACTCAGTTCCACTTGAACAACGTGGTATATGATGTGAAGCTAAGAATCATCAAAGAAGCTAAGAATCAGATACTACCGCCTTCACTTTTTGTAGTTAGATGTGCCTTTGTGTTCAGATCAGGCCTGAGTATGATAATGTAGCACTTCGGTAGGAAGATGCAGCCCAGAAGTCCAGCACTGGACGCCAACATAGAGAAGACCTGAACAGCTACCATGAACTTCCCTTTTGTGCTCAGGTAGGTAGGCACAAAGGACACCCAAACACTGCAGAAGACCAGCATGCTGAAGGTGATCAGCTTGGCTTCATTGAAGGACCCGGGAAGCTTTCTGGCTAGGAAAGCAACCATGAAGCAAATGGCTGCCAGGAAGCCCATGTAGCCAAGGGCAGTGTAAAACATGGCAACAGATCCTTCATTGCATAGAAGGATGATCTTTCTAGCTTGGGACTGCATGTCGGAGTCTGGGAAGGGTGGAAAGATTCCTAGCCAGATGGTGCAGATGACAACCTGCATACTGGAACAGGAAAGGACAATGGAGTTGGCCAGACTCTTCCCTAGCCATTTCCTCACCCTGTTCCCTGGCTTTGTGGCCAGGAAGGCCAGCACCACAGTGATGGTTTTTGCCAACACAGAAGAGACGGCAACTGAGAAGATGATGCTGAAGACTGTTTGTCGGAGAAGGCAGGTCACTTTGCTTGGCCGGCCGATGAAGAGGAAGGAGGACAAAAAGGAAAGCAGGAGGGAGATAAGGAGGATATAGGATAAGTCTCGATTGTTAGCTTTGACTATGGGAGTTTTCATGTATTTAATGAAGATTCCTAGCACAACACAAGCGGTTAAGCACAAGAAGAGAGCAAAGGAAACCAGGAGGATCCCCAAGGGTTCTTCATAAGTGAGGAATGTTATAATCTTGGGGGCACATTTGTCTCTTGCTTGATTTGCATGCTGTTCTTCTGGGCATTTGGTGCAATGCTTTGCATCTGAAGAGAAGAAGAATGACTTCAGTATCACTAAGAAATCTCACACATCCTTAACTGTCTGTGTTCCAATACAATGGGATAATACAACAAAGTGGGAGAGGTCAGGAAATCAGAGAGGGACAACATTTCCCTGGCTTATGTCAGGATTTGCTTGAATAGTACTATATCCTGCACAGAATAAAAATGGCATTCTTAAGCCATTTTTGAACATTTTAGTCTGATGTAGGCATCATGTAGGCATCATCAGATTTGCTTCCATGTTGGAGAAACAGAAAAGATTACATAGTGTTCTCCTTCTATAAGGAAAGTTTGCACATGTTTTGATTTTATTTCATTCATTCATTTATCCTTCCAATTCTAGGCTACTTAACATGAAAAGTGGTGCACAGAAAACTAAAGCAACAGCTGACAACTTAAGCAATAATCAGTTGTGTATAAAAATGTTACAATAATACAAGATTAGTAAAGGTAAAGGGACCCCTGACCATTAGGTCCAGTCATGACCGACTCTGGGGTTGCGCGCTCATCTCGCTTTACTGGCCGAGGGAGCCGACGTTTGTCCACAGACAGCTTCCGGGTCATGTGGCCAGCATGACAAAGCCACTTCTGGTGAACCAGAGCAGCGCATGGAAATGCCGTTTACCTTCCCTCCGGAGCGGTACCTATTTATCTACTTGCACTTTGACGTGCTTTCGAACTGCTAGGTTGGCAGGAGCAGGGACCGAGCAACGGGAGCTCACCCCAACCCGGGGATTCGAACCGCCGACCTTCCGATTGGCAAGTCCTAGGCTCTGTGGTTTAACCCACAGCACCACCCGCGTCCCAAATACAAGATTACTTATATATATAAATGAGTATCCGCTCCCTATCCTTCTGACACACTTCCCCTCTCAAACTCTGTGCTCTCACTGAAATCCCAAACAACCACACAGCTCTTCCGCAAAAATCTGGCAAAGAGGAAGGTTCCTACGAACTGCTGATCTCACCCTGGTTTTTCACTCTAGGTTTACTTTTTTATGAGCAGGCCCCATGGTGGATGAAGCAGCATCCTCCGGCTGCCCACAGCTGTATCCCATAGAGCACTCAGTCACCCACCTTCCTGAATGGAGATGGTCCCTTCCGCACAAGGAGCACAATCATAGCAGCAAACGGGCTCTCCTTCCTTAGCCACTCTGGCATATCCAGGGCGACAGCTTTCGGTGCATCTTGAACGAGGCACGACCTAAAAACAAGGAGAGGGAGCATCAACAGAGATCAGCATAAATTGCAGACATCAAATAATAATCTTTTTTTAGAATTCTGAGGCCAGGTTAGAAAGCTTAAAAATAGGAATGAGACCCCTCTAAATTTTGTTGATCTGTGCAGAAATTGTCTTGTTTCTGACATAAAGTTTCATCTTTAAAAAGCATAATGGGATTTAGAAAAGGTTAACTAATTAAACTCTCTATTTCCTTTTATTGCTTCTGTTTGATATTATGATATGTGTTTCTGTGTTTTTAAAAGCAGTCGGCATTACTGGGCAGCTGTTAAAGCCCACATGGCAGCTACGGCCCCCCTGTCAACTTTGGGCCCATTGATGCATTTCCATCTCCCCCTCTGAGTGGATAAACAAGGAAAAGTGTAAAGACAGCCTCTCCTCTCTTTGCCCCTCTCCAACTGAATTGCTATGCAAAACAAAGAGGACAAGGAAAACAGCAGTGATGCAGACATCTGGGAAGTGGCGGTCACCCTGGTAAGAGCCATCTTAGGGTTATCCGAACTTAGCAGATGTCACCACAAGGGAACTGCAGCCAGTGTGGTGGAGTGGTTAAAGGGATGGACAAGAACCCAGGTGACTAAGGTTCCAATTCCCATGCAGCCATGAATCTTCCTGGGTGACCTTGGGCCATTCACTTCCTCTCAATCTGTCCTACTTCACAGAGTTGTTGAGGGGATAAAATGAAGAGGCAGGAAACCATATATAGCATGTTGAGCTCCGTTGAGAAAAGGTGGCATATGTCTGCTATAATGGCGTTTCAGATGTTCAGAAGCCACTGAAGCTTACAGAAGCCATAGAAGCTTATAGATGCTAACAGAAGTGTTCCGGAATCTTCCAGTGTGTCTGGAAGATTTCCAAGGTTCCAAGGTTTCCATAGAAATAGACATGGGCATGAATTCTGAAAGGATATAAATGCAATAAATAAATAATTGCAATAACCTTGCTGAATTTCCCAGGCCACAAAATGGCTTCTGCATTAATGGTTAATTTTATGTCAGAGGAGGGGTGTTTCTTGATGCTCCCAACTTTCATTCTGCTGTTAGATCCATTGCGAAACACGACTGAGTTCATGATATCAAAGTTGGCAGTCAGCTCCCCTTTCTTATCAAAATACATCCCTCCTATGGATGCATTAGAAAGCTGGATTTCTTTTAAGAAAGTGTGAAGCTGGAATGAGAGAGAAAACACCAGCATTTAGAAAACATGATATAATGTGAGAACTGCAGGCTTGTGTGCAAACTCCATTGTAGATGATAATAATAATAATAATAATAATAATAATAATAATAATAATAATTTTTATTTATACCCTGCCCTCCCCAGCCAAGGCCGGGCTCAGAGCGGCTTACAAGCAATAATAAAAACAAGTTAAATGATTACAACTTAAAAACAAAATTAAAAAATACAACATTAAAATATTGAAATATTAAAATATTAAAATGTAGCCTCATCGCAGAAGGAAAAGGAAAAGAAAAAAGAAAGAGAGGGGGGAATCAAATTGGCTCCAAGCCAAAGGCCAGGCGGAACAACTCTGTCTTACAGGCCCTGCGGAAAGAAATCAGATCCTGCAGGGCCCTGGTCTTATGAGGCAGAGCGTTCCACCAGACCGGAGCCAGAGTTGAAAAGGCCCTGGCTCTGGTTGAAGCCAATCTAACTTCCTTAGGGCCCGGGACCACAAGGGTGTTGCTATTTATGGACCTTGAGGCTCTCCGTGGAGCATACTGGGAGAGGCGGTCCTGTAGGTACGAGGGTCCTAGGGCGTGAAGGGCTTTAAAGGTCAAAAGCAGCACCTTAAATCTGACCCTGTACTCCACCGGGAGCCAGTGCAGCTGGAAAAACACTGGGTGAATTTGCTCCCATGGCAGAGACCCCGTGAGGAGCCTCGCTGCAGCATTCTGCACCCGCTGGAGTTTCTGTGACAGCTTCAAGGGCAGCCCCGCGTAGAGCGAATTACAGTAGTCAAGCCTGGAGATGACCGTCGCATGGATCACTGTGGCCAGGTCGGGGCGGGAAAGGTAAGATGATAGTAAAATATATAATTGCAAAACAATTGCAGGATGTTTCCTAGGCATTTGATTTATTAAATCCTTTTCCGAAGTAAAATATTTTGTAGGACATGGTCTTGTTTTTCTTTGATAATTGAGAAATGTTCCAGACATCATACCAATTTGAACTGAACTCCTATCAGCCATGTTTGATGACATTTGGGTCATTATAACAGGTCCTTTATGAGGTTTTTAATCCTCTTGGGGATAAGACTGAAATAAACAAACTGTATGTTGAGGACATGGCCGGGAAAACACATTGGAACTCTAGAAAGCTTGCATTTTGATCTGCCTTAATCTATCCTATTGTGATTTCTTACAAATAGTGAGGCCTTACAAATAGTGGGGGAGAGAAGGCAAGCAAAATGCGAGGGAGGTAGTGAAAGATACAGGAAATTGAATGCAGATTTCCGGAAAATAGCAAGGAGAGACAAGAGGGCCTTCTTAAACAAGCAATGCAAAGAAATAGAGGAAAACAATAGAATGGGAAAAAGCAGAGATCTGTTCAAGGAAATTGGAGATATGAAAGGAACATTTTGTACAAAGACAGGAGGGCCTGGCATGCTCTGGTCCATGGGGTCACAAAGAGTCGGACATGACTAAACGACTAAACAACAACAATTGTGATTTCAACTTTCTATATCTTTCAAATTAGGGTATTACATTTCTTTGTGAGAATTTTATTGCTTTAACTTTTTTTGTAAACTATTTTGAGGTTTTTTCAGCAGTCAGGCGATATATACATTTTATGAAATAATTATATTAAATAATCAATGTGAGAGAATGCTCCTTAACAATTTATTATACTCTATTTTGTGAAGGACAGGACATACAACCACAATGAGATAAACTACAAAAGATACAGACTCCAAAAAGAATTCCAATGACAGAAAACAGATGGCAAAAAGGGGAGAGGACAGACCTGCCATGGCTGCAGCCTTTGCAGTTCAAATCTGTCTCCTCCACTCGCCATTAGCATCCATTTTGATCTGGATGAATATGCAACATTTAAGGCTTGGGCCACAAGTTGGACACCGTAGTAAATGCTGTAACGATCTTGAGACCAGATTCCCTCAACCGCTTTCTGGGGCAAAGTTTCCAGCTGTTCCTTTTCTGTGCATCTTGTCCAACCCTCCATAGACAACACGTCATTTGAACATGAACAATTGAATGCTCTCTGCCAAACCTGTGCAACTGTAACTTTAGGTTCAGAAGACAGTCGAGTATTGTAGCCATGTTCTGTCCTTTTCTTGGTATTCATGATAAAGGATAGAGAACCATGGGCAGGCTGGAAGGAAGCCACATCACCAAACAATGTCTCATCAACACTCGGAATGTCTGTTGTGATCCAGACTATCCCCTGAGATTTCCTCAATTCATGAATGTTTTGTAAGTAGATGATCACATAAACTCCATATTCAGAGTCTCCATAGTAAATGAACACCTTGACTTGTTTCAGGACAGAAGGTTTACAATGTAAGGATGACATCTCCACAATGAAAAAAGGGATTTTTTCCAAGAAAGCCACACAAATCCCACTGCGAATCAGCAGAGGTGTGAAAACACTCAGGAACTTTTCTCCATTGTCATTGTCTGGAACAAAGAGACCAACCCATGTCCACCTAAAATGGAGCAGCAACTTGACGATCCCCATGTACTGGGTTTCTTCTTTGGGGGCTATCCGGTAGACAAAAGGGAAATGGGTTTTCTCATTCAGATCCTGAGCAGCCGAGCCAAAACTGATCTAGTAAGAAAAGGATTGGTGTCAAGTTTTCAGGAATACACAAGCAAGGCCCCGCCGCATGATCAGGCCAAAGGCCCATCTTCTCACAGTAGCTAACCAGATGCTTCTGGATGTATGCAATGCCTTTGATGGAATCCTGTTCAGAAGAAGACCTGGAGCTTACAGAGAAGGAAGTGGCTCTAATGGACACTGCGGCAGAGCAGGGCAATACAAAATAAGGAATACAAAATAAGGGCCCTGTCACATGATCAGGCCAATGCTCATGTGACATCTAATCCAGCATCCTGTTCTCACAGTGGCTAACCAGTTGCTTCTGGGAAGCATTTCATGCCTCTGGTGGAGAATCTGGAGCTCACAGAGAAGGAAGTGGCTCCAATGAATATTGAGGCAGAATAGGGCATCTGGGGCTTTCAGGGGTCATGGCATTCCAACCTCTTCTTAGAATCACAATGGGCCACTTCAAAGAATGAGAGGCACAGGCTAAACAGCCACACAGTCTGCAGGACTGCAGGCCCCTTAACCTCCATGCTCAGTTAGTTTCTGGACAGCCACTGGTCTGCCTGTGAAAAAAAATTCCTGGGGAGCAAGGGCTACAGTGGTACCTCGGGTTACATAAGCTTCAGGTTACAGACTCCGCTAACCCAGAAATAGTACCTCGGGTTAAGAACTTTGCTTCAGGATGAGAACAGAAATCGTGCGGCGGCAGCAGGAGTGGTAGCTAAAGTGGTGCTTCAGGTTAAGAACAGTTTCAGGTTAAGAACAGACCTCCAGAATGAATTAAGTTCTTAACCTGAGGTACCACTGTATGTTGAACTATGATACTAGTTTTTCCTACCCAGTCTGATGAGGTGAGAGAAAGAGACTCAGGGCTTTCCAAATCAGCTCCCACTTTCTTAAAATGTGACATTCTTTCTATGATCTGTCTTTTTGGGTGCTTGTTATTTCTGTTCCCTGGAGATCAGGGATGGGGAAAATTTGGTCCTCAGGATGTTGCTGAACTACAACTCCCATCAGTCCCCACAAGCATGGCGAATGGCCAGGAATGGTTGGCTTTGTAGTTCAGAAACCTCTGGAGGGGTGGAGGGGTTTCTCAACACTGGTGGAGATATAGAAAAGAGGAAGAAAACATAGCTGGTCTCCAATCCCCTCCAAAGTCCTACCTGGGGCATTTTGTAGATGCCTAACATGCTTGAAATCTGGCTGGCAATTTCAGAAGTAGTTGCTTCAAAAACTGCTATAACATTACTCTGTCTTCCACAGCTGTGGCTTGAAATGCTGTCTAGCAGAGCATCAGCTGTTGTTCTGACATCAAAAGCGGCCTCATAGATGCTGTAGCCGAGGGTGACATTGGGTAAAAGCTTAGGATTCTGGTTGATCTCTTGGATGGCAAATAAGGGGGACAGAGTGGGAGAGGGGTTCTCTGATGTTAAACTGCAAATGAATAAACAATGAATAAATGAATAAAAATGAATAAAAAAATGAATAAATAAATAAACATTTGTTTCAGCTGTCTCCTTACCATTTAATGAAGACAACATGTCATACTTTTTGTTCTATAAGAACCTAAGAAGAATCTACTAGTCTTATATCTAATGGGCCAAGCTTTGAAGGAGTACAATCTTGTCCAGGTGCTCCAACAAGGAAATGAATATTTTTTGAGGCGAGCTTGCAGCTTGGGTGAATTTGATTGGAATGATAACTTACAGTTTCTGGAGCTCAGAGACTTGACAGGAACTATTTACAGGATGAGAAGGAACAAAAGAGAGAAATAGCAGACATTTTGTCCGCAGAGGACAGGAATCCAAATCTCTGAGATTGGTGGGCCGAGTTAAGATAAACATAGTGGTATCTGAAGAAGTGTGCATGCACACAAAAGCTTATATCCAGAACAAACTTAGTTTGTCTATAAGGTGCTACTGGACAATTTTTTAAATTTTGACTGTGTCAGACCAACACAGCTATCTACCTGAATCTAGAATAGTGGCTACAAACAACCCCTGGCTAGGTTGCTAGACAAGCTGTGGCCTTGTGTGGTTTCACGTAGCCCATGCATTAACTAGAAGCGCAGAAGAAGGAAATGTGTTTGCTCTTTTCCAACAGTAAAGGTAAAGGGACCCCTGACAGTTAAGTCCAGTCGTGAACGACTCTGGGGTTGCGGTGCTCATCTCACTTTACAGGCCAAGGGAGCCAGCGTTTGTCCGCAGACAGTTTTTCCGGTTCATGTGGCCAGCATGACTAAGCTGCTTCTGGCGAACCAGAGCAGCGCACGGAAACGCCTTTACCTTCCCGCTGGAGCAGTACCTATTTATCTACTTGCACTTTTTTGGGTGCTTTCGAACTGCTAGGTTGGCAGGAGCTGGGACAGAGCAACGGGAGCTCATCCCATCGCGTGGATTCGAACCACCAACCTTTTGATCTGTAAGCCCAAGGCTCAGTGGTTTAGACCACAGCGCCACCCACGTTCCAACAGTAGCAACATTAAATCACAGCTGAGAACAAGGTCAAGATCCAGGAGTTCATGATGAGTAGCACTTGTTCCAAAACTCAACAGGACTTGTTAAGTTGTTCCAACAATATCCCCTGCCCACTTACTTAGCTTTTAAGGAGAGGCAGAGAAATCTCAGTTGCTTGCAAGTTATTCTCTTTCTCTCCCTGCAGGAATTCCCTGACTGAAGATTTCAAACCTCTTCGGGGTTGGAGTCAGTCCCCTCTCTTATCTTGATGCACTGCTCTTCCCCAGAATGCATCACTGGGCATGGCTCCCAAATTCTTGCATTCTGTCCCAGCAGATTGTGAGAGTTTTACACCTCAACAATGCTTCCTCAAGCTGGGAATGCTGCCTAGTAACTCTGCAGAAGTTATGAGTATTTAGCTTAAGTAACTATGAACCCTAAAATCTGGGATTCCCTCGAAACCGGTGCTAAATTTTGCAGTCAGTTTGCAAAGGTTTGCAGTGAAAATCCTACATTTGGAATCACCCCACGAACCGAGTAATTGATACATCAAACCGAGATTTCTAAACCCCAAAACTGAAGCCCCAAAAGGGAAAGGGTTCAGAATTAACCTCCCTGTTTGCAAAATACAAAGGAGTCAGTGTGAATTTAAATCCCCAAACCTTCTTTTTAAGTCAATAGATGGGCAAAGGAGGGTTTATCAGGGATTGCCAGAAATCAGTTGCTGTCTGGCAAATAGCAGTGATTGCGAACGCAAGGTGGGTAACATAAATCACTTACCTCATAACATGGTTTCTGGGGCCCTGGGAAAAGTCAGGTGGATAAATATGAACTCGTCCTTGATTTATGACTCCACCAATAAGGTGGTCTCCTGGCCTGAAATAATTCGATGGATCGTGATCCTTTTCCATATTTAATGGACATTTTGCTTTCAGCATCGCACTGACTCCATGGGGAATAAGCAGCAGAAATAACAGCAGCACTAATACCATCCTGGCTATGCCTGCAAGAGTCACACACTCTTCTGACAGCAGTGACATTAGGAGCGCAGCTGGACTCATACAGTAGCTTCAAGCAAAGGTACAAAAAGGAAAACTCCCACAGAAAGGATCCCTGCCTGCCCCAAATCTCTCAGTCCACGCTTCAGATATTTATAACACACTTCTTTTTGTACAGCAGGTTTATGGCAATATGTTAGCTCATCCTGACTATGATTACGATGTTTATGTTATTTTTGGACTCAAAGACCATCGCTGGGCAAATCTCTGGACTAGATAAATAAATCATCATGATTTTGATAATTATAAGGTTAAGAAGGTCCACCTCCCTGGCATCTGTGTATGACTCAACGTGCAGCTGCAGAGCGAGAGCAAAGCATGTTAGTTAGAACTCACAGATGGGGCTGTCATTCTGGGCCCTGTTAAACCTGAGGGGACATCAACTTCAGTAAAGTTCAGGAAATTATAGAACAGTTATTATTGATAAAGACGAACAAGGCAGGACATGACTAATGTTTATAAACTCCTGTATGGATTATACGGATTGCAAAAAGTTCCCCCCCCCCCCCAACAATAAAGCTAGAAGTTTGTACCAAGTGGAACTTCAATCTTGGTGTCCTAGGCCATCATGCAACACCCGGGGACATCTGCCTGGCTGCTGTGAAAGAAGGTAGCTGCAGTAGAGGAGTCCTAGATCTGATACAAACTGTAAACAGATCAAGACATTGGCAGGATTATTGTAAAAACTTGCAGTTTTAAACCTGCAGTCCTGCTTGTGGCTTCCCACTGTGGCAGCTGGTTGGCTGCTGTTAGAGAATGTAGCTGCACTAGAGGAGTCCTAGATCTGATACAAACTGTACACAGATCAAGACATTGGCAGGATTATTGTAAAAACCTGTTGTTTTAAATATATATGTGAGATATACAGTGGTGCCTTGGGTTATGAACAACCTAGTTAACACAGTTTTTGGATTACGAACACTTCAAACCTGGAAATGCGTGTTCCGGTTTGCATATATTTTTTGGATTGTGAACGTACTCCGTTTGGGGGTGCACTTCCGCTTTGTCGGTATGGCCTTCCCTCGTTCAGCACGGCGGCTGCGGCGGCTGCAGCGGCAGAGGGACCCAGCGCAGGGGAGTGGCAGTGGCATCCCTTGTCTGCTTGGCACAGCCTTCTTGCGATCTCCCTTGTTTTGCTCTGCTGCCAGCTTCGACCTTTTAACTTCTATGCCTTCTTTTCCTCCCTCTCTCCGACGCCGCCAGATATTTCTGCCTTAGGACGAGGGGACGGGAGCTTGGTGAGACCCGAGTGGTTTGCTCTTTTCTTTCCAGTCTCTGGGTTGGGCAGGTTATGTGGCTCTGTCCTGTTTCTGGCTCCATCGAAGCCTCTGGACGATCACAAGTAGGGGCCCTGAAACAAAAGCCAGGAGCCTTTAAGTTCTTCGTTTATTTGCTAGTTAAGTTTGTATGCTGTCGCTGCAGCATCAAGGACCCCGTTCTCCACTTCAGGGTGATGCTGCCGCGGCTGGAAGTGACGTCCCTTTCTTGCTCGGCACAGCCTTCCGTTGCTTATAAATTATTTCTCAATATTCTTTTATCCTTTTACAAGTCCACCACATATGATAAAACGTACTCTCAGCCTCATTGCATCTCCAGCACTTATTTGATTCAGACTGGCATACATTTTGGCAAGTTAAATACCATCTGCAGATCATTTTCATATAGTTCTCCTTCAAAGAATTAAATGCTGTGAACTTCAAATCACTCTTCCAAAGTTTTTCACAGAGATTCAGATCTATATTATGTCCTATATCTATTGCCCCTTGTGTCATAGAAGCGGGTGGTGCTGTGGTCTAAATCACTGAGCCTCTTGGGGTTGCTGATCAGAAGGTCCGTGGTTCGAATCCTGGTGACGGAGTGAGCTCCCGTTGCTCTGTCCCAGCTCCTGCCAACCTAGCAATTCAAAAGCACGCTAATGGCAGATGAAAGTGATGGACTACATGGAATTGGCGGAAATGACTGGCAGAATCCAAGACCAGGGAGAAAAGTCGGTAGAACAAGATTGGAAGAAATTCAAAGACTATCTACAGAAATATTGCAAAATTAATGAATGTTAGAATGATGTTAGAATGAAGTTAAGTGGTTTAAGCAGCAATGCTATAAAGGTGTATGTAAAAATGGACTGTTAATAGGTGAAAATCCAAAGTTATAGTATATTAAGTTAAAGGATTAAGAGAAAATAAAGAGGGAAAGAAATTGCTGAATTAACTAATTGAATTGGAATACAAAAAAGGGAGGTACGAGGAGGTCAGGGAAGCAAGGAAATGAATGTAAGGCATGGAAAGATTGATGTATTTTTAAAGTGTTTTTTATTCTTTTTTTCTGTATTTTGTATTTTTCTTATATTTTTACTTTTGTCTTTTGTTTTTGTTTTTTTCTTGTTTTTTCTCTTTTTCTCTATTTATGTAATTCTTTTCTTTGAAATCTTAATAAATATCATTTAAAAAAAAAAAAAAGCACGCCAGTGCAAGTATAAATAGGTACTGCTGTGGCAGGAAGGTAAACCATCTTTCTGTGCACTCTGGTTTCTGTCACAGTGTTCCATTGCACCAGAAGAGGTTTAGTTATGCTGGCCACATGACCCGGAAAGATATATGTGGACAAATGCCGGCTCCCTCGGCCTGAAAGCGAGATGAGCGCCACAACCCCAGAGTTGCCTTTGACTGGACTTAACTGTCCAGGAGTCCTTTACCTTTACCATAGAAGCTTTAACAAGCTCGTCTTTTGTTTCCCACTTTAATAACAAATTGTACATTTTATTTTATAAAAGTTCTTTTTCAAATCGTGAGCTTTGGTCAGAAAAAAATCATTTCCCCTGTCAATTTTAAACTTTTTGTGTAATTGATGATATTGTTATCAATCTGTAACGTGGCTCCTTACATTTCTATTGATTTCAGTTTTGGTTCTCCCTCTGTAAAATATAGCAATTCCCTGTAAGTTTCCCATTCTCTAATTTCCTTATAGTTCTATCTACATCCAGGGAAACCAGTCCATTGAGATCCCCCATCACTATTATTCTATTATCACATATGCCAAACAGTTTCTCTTCCAATGTTTTAAAGAAGTCTGCTTTTCTTTCATTAGGGGCATAAATTCCTACTAAAATTATTTGTTCCTCCTCTAGACTCATTTTGGTCACCACTATTCTACCTTCTTCATCTTTAAATAAAAATATGGGGACTAATTTGGGATTGACATACATCACTACCCCTCTTTTTTTAATCTGAAGAGATGAATTTTTGCCCCAGATTTTTATTAATGATTTTCTATGTTGCCTTTTATATGTGTCTCCTGCAAGCAAATGTCTAATTTCTGTCCTATCAAAATATGTGCTACTTTATTCCTTTTCGTTTTATTGTTTAGTCCATTTACATTCCATGAAAGAATTCTAAGATCCATTTTCAGTTATATCTTATTTACCCTTCTACTCCCCCCTTTACTGTCTGCCCTCTTCTTCCTTCACCACTCCCACTTCTTCCTGCCTAGATCCCAAAACTTCACCAAAGTCTTTTTTGTATCTTCTTACAAAGCCATGTGCCCTCATTGGCCCTCTTTTTGCCTTTATAGGTGAAGAAGACTCCCCCATCCCTATCTAAAGCGGATAGTTTTTTCTTTTTAAGGGCCTCTGTCAAAAAATTATAGACTTCTCTCTTCTTCAGAAATTATAATTCTTTCTTTATCTATTTCAAGACCTTTCTCATAATATCTTTCTTGATCAAACAAGAAAAGCTTTACTTCCAAAAAGAAGTTTGTGAAACAAAATTGGGTCTAGAGATGCATTCTTTTAGGTACAATTTGGAATATTGGCATAAATTATGGGGCGCTCTTGAAATGGCATATGATAAAGGGCTGCAACTAATCAGCTGCTGAATGGACTTGGCTTGAGCCATGAAGGTATTTTAATGATTTTCAACTAGCGCGAAGAGACTTACAATAGCCAGAATGGAAGGGGAGGCAAGGCAATACTTGTTCTGAAAGGTCTCCTAAACCTCCTAAAAGGTCTTTTTCTCTTTTGACCTTCACCGCAAAATGAAAGAATCATGTTTAGATGTTTAGATGTTATCTGTTATAGAGGAAGAGAGAGAAGCCAATGATTTATACTCAATAAAGGGGTTTACAATGTTTTTTATACCCTCGCCTCTTGACTGAAGTTGAATGGATCTTATATTAATTTTCTTTGAGCTGTATGAAGAAAGAAGTGGAGAAGAGAATCAATTTGCCAAGGACTCTTAATTATACTTGCCAGGAGTTTATAAATGTGATTCTGATCTTTAATTGCGAGCTGCGGAAAATAACCCCCAGAATTTTAATGGCGGAGCAGGCATCTTCTCGGAAGTTATTTATAACTCAGCACGTCCTTGGACAACAGAAGGGATGTTTCCATAGGAATGGCATGGACTGAGAAAGATGGCAATTAATCTCTCTCCACTCTAGGTCTGCGAACAGACTGCTGGAAAGGCTCAACATGCAAAATGGCTATTCAATGTGTTTGGAAAATAAAAATGCTGCTGTTTGTAAGAAAACAAGAAGGCTAGCTACAAAAATGGATTAAGACTAACAGAAGAATAAGGAGGTGATTAAAGAAGAAGAATGAATGTGGCAGCATCAGAAAGCAATCAACATATGTTTGTGAAAGGAGCGGGAAACCTTTTTTATTTTAAAAAAAGTGTATTAATTTTTTAAAAATAATATTTTATTAAGTTTCCATTTCATTATATATAAACACATCTATATTACTCACATTAAGTTTTTGCTGATATGAGCTGCTTGACTTCCCTCACTCCCACCTTGTGGTTACCATAATTCCTATCTATTTCACCACATTTGTACCTCTTCCTCCTTATATTTCATCCATTTCAATTTTTACATTTTAAATAAATATAAAAAGGTATCAATCATAAACATTGCAAGTCTTCTTATTTGAAGGACAATTGCAAATAATTAATAACATTAGCAGGCAAAGTGTATTAAATTTAAATAATTTGGACTGATTTGTTAAAATTCAGGAAACTAATTAAAAAAATAATATAAAAAAGAAAGATGTGATTTGACCACTTCTGAAAATTTCCAATCTGAACTCATAGGTTTATTATTTCTACTACCTCGTTGCTAAAACCGGTTGTTTGGGAAGTGCAGATGATGGAGATGTTTACGGCAAGACAATTACAAACACTCTTGGGTCATCTATGATTCTATGACTTAATAGTGTTTCCTTCTTTTTATATATATAATATTTTTATTGTTTTTTCAGATTTAACATATTTTTACATTTCATACATCATCCAACCCAGTTCCTTAGAACTTGTCAATTTCCCTCCCTCCCCCCATGGGTTCTTAATTTAAAACGAACATCAATTCCATCTTTCTAAATTGGCCAACTATTTTTCCTTCCTTCTTAATGCACATAAACTGATTCTCCAACATAACTAGCTTTTTTTCATTCCTATCAGTGCTTTTAAGTGCTTACAGTGGTCTTTTAAATCCCATAAAAATCTTCCAGTCTTTTTCGAATATTTGATCTTCTTTGTTTCAGATCTTTCCTGTTAACTTTGCCATCTCTGCATAGTGCATCAGTTTCATCTGCCAATCTTTCTTCGATGGTATTGTTTATTGTTTCCAGTTCTGGGCTAATAAAGTTCTTGCTGCTGTTGTTGCATACATAAATGTTTATCTTCTCTAGGTATCTCCTCACTAATTATACATACCAGAAAGGCTTCTGGCTTTTTAACAAATGTATTTTTACATATTTTCTTTAATTCATTATATAACATTTCCCAGAAAGTCTTTACCTTACTACACATCCACCATATATGGTAAAACGTACCTTTGCTTTCTTTACACTTCCAGTGCACTTTTAATCAAGTTTTATACATCTTTGCAATTTTAACTGGTGTTAGATACCAACGATACATCATTTAAAAAAAAATAAATTCAATGAGCAGCATGAAGTAAATTTTATGTCCTCTTTTCACAATTTTTCCCAGGCTTTCATTTGGATATTATACCCAAAATCTTTTGTTCATTGGATCATTACAGATTTTACTTCTTCATCCATTGTATGCCATTCCATAGCTTGAACATTTTTTATAATATTTTCACATTATTATCTAGCAACTCTACCTCAGACTTTGATCTTGTGTCAAAACCTTTTCTTTTATGTATCTTAAACATATCACTTATCTGGTAGTATTCTAACCAATCTGCCATCAATTCTTTCACCCCCTCATTTTCCCCCTATTTTAACTGGTTTTCTGTCTCCATTAACAAATCCCTATAGGTGGCCCATTTCCCTTTCATATTTAATTTTTTAACAGAAACAGCTTCTAAGGGTGAGAGCCAACAAGGGGTTTTCCTTTCAACTAATTTTTTGTATCTATCCCATACCTCGTAGATCGACTTTCTTATAATGTGGTTCTGGAATCCTTTATTTACTTTAACTTTGTAATACCATAATTAAGAATGCCACCCAAATCTATTATCATGTCCTTCCAGATCCAATAAGTCTGTAATTTTCCAACATTATCCAATACCGTAGCAAGCAGAAGCAGGACAACTCATAATACAATTGTGTTTCCAATTGTCCTGACACAAACCAGGGTAGAGTCCACCTTAACAACATATTTTATGTGAAGCTAAGAATCATCAAAGAAGCTAAGAATCAGACACTACCGCCTTCACTTTTTGTAGTTAGATGTGCCTTTGTGTTCAGATTAGGCCTGAGTATGATAATGTAGCACTTCAGTAGGAAGATGCAGCCCAGAAGCCCAGCACTGGAGGCCAACATAGAGAAGACCTGCACAGCTACCATGTATTTCCCCTTGGTGCTCAGGTAGGTGGGCACAAAGGACACCCAAACACTGCAGAAGATCAGCATGCTGAAGGTGATCAGCTTAGCTTCATTGAAGGCCCCAGGCAGCTTCCTCGCTAGGAAAGCCACCGTTAAGCAGATAGCCGCCAGGAAGCCCATGTAGCCAAGGACAGTGTAAAACATGGCAACAGATCCTTCATTGCATAGAAGGATGATCTTTCTAGCTTGGGACTGCATGTCAGAGTCTGGGAATGGTGGAAAGATTCCTAGCCAGATGGTGCAGATGACAACCTGCATACTGGAACAGGAAAGGACAATGGAGTTGGCCAGACTCTTCCCCAGCCATCTCCTCACCCTGTTCCCTGGCTTTGTGGCCAAGAAGGCCAGCACCACAGTGATGGTTTTTGCCAAAACAGAAGAGACGGCAACTGAGAAGATGATGCTAAAGGCTGTTTGTCGGAGAAGGCAGGTCACTTTGCTTGGCCGGCTGATGAACAGGAAGGAGGACAAAAAGCAAAGCAGGAGGGAGATAAGGAGGATATAGGATAAGTCTCGATTGTTAGCTTTGACTATGGGAGTTTCCATGTATTTAATGAAGATTCCTAGGAGAACACCAGTGGTCAAGGACAAGAAGAGAGCAAAGGACACCAGGACAATCCCCAACGGTTCTTCATAAGTGAGGAATGTTATAATCTTGGGGACACATTTGTCTCTTGCTTGATTTGCATGCTGTTCTTCTGGGCATTTGGTGCAATGCTTTGCATCTGCAGAGAAGAAGAAGGACTTCAGTATCACTAACAAAATTCTTACATCCATAACTGTCTGTTTTCTAATTCATTGGGAAACCAATAATAAGAGATTAATAAATGATAGGATTTTGACTATTTGGAGTACTGAAGTATGTAAGCCAGTGGAAAAATAGAGCCTATGCTTCCTTCCAAGCCAGGACCTTATCTGGGATAGAGGTACTAACATGATAAAAGCTGTTGAAGGCCCATCTGCGAGGAATTCCTGGGCCTGGGAAGACAGAGGTTGCCATGGTGATGTGGTGTGCATTTGAGGTGTCAGGAAAAGAGAGTCTTTACCAAGGTGTGCTGGGAAGAATAAGGCAGAGAAGAAGAAGGGACCCATTTTGGCTAGACTGGCTGAAGAAGGGTTAGGAGAGATTTCTTGCACTCGAGTTTTGCATTGCTATGGGGAACAAGTCCCTCTTGATTATGTGCTAAGATCTGGACACCCTACATGCAGATTGAAGGTGTAACTATGTGAATAAATCATATTTCTTAAAGCTATGACAGTCTCCCCTGAGTATTCATTTCCCAAAAGGAGCACAAACCCTGGGCGAGCCCAGGGAACCCCCTAGAATCTTGCTAACGCTTGGCAGAGAGTGGGGTGGCGCCCAACTTCTGTAGGCTTAAATGTTTGTCCCCTTCCACTGACGGCTGTTGCGCTAAGGTCCTGCTCGTGGGCTTTTCATAGGCATCTGGTTCAACATTGTGAAAGGGTGTTAGACTAGATGGGCCTTTGGCCTGATTAAGCAAGCCTCTCCCTTTCCTCTAGAGTCACCCGCCTTCCTGAACGGAGATGGTCCCTTCTGCACAAGGAGCACAATCATAGCAGCAAACAGGCTCCCCTTCTTTAGCTACTCTGGCATATCCAGGGCGACAGATTTCAGTGCATCTTGAACGAGGCACAACCTAAAAACAAGGAGAAAGAACATAAAAGGAGATCAACATAAATTACAGACATCATACAGAGACCACATAACACCGGTCTTGAAAGACCTACATTGGCTCCCAGTACGTTTCCAAGCACAATTCAAAGTGTTGGTGTTGACCTTTAAAGCCCTAAAAGGCCTTGGTCCAGTATATCTGAAGGAGCGTCTCCACCCCCATCGTTCTACCCAGACACTGAGGTCCAGCTCCGAGGGCCTTCTGGCGGTTCCCTCATTGTGAGAAGCCAAGTTACAGGGAACCAGGCAGAGGGCCTTCTCGGTAGTGGCGCCTTCCCTGTGGAACGCCCTCCCACCAGATGTCAAAGAGAACAACAACTACCACACTTTCAGAAGACATCTGAAGGCAGCCCTGTTTAGGGAAGCTTTTAATGTTTGATGTATTATAGTATTTTAATTTTTTTTGGAAGCCGCCCAGAGTGGCTGGGGAAGCCCAGCCAGATGGGCGGGGTATAAATAATAAATTATTATTATTATTATTATTATTATTATTATTATTATCATCATCTGAAGGCCCTGACTGAAAAAAATGCTCAAATAAATATCATTTTTAGAATACTGAGGTCAGGTGAGGAAGCTTAAAATGGGAATGAGACCCTTCCAAATTTTGTTTGGACTGTGGACACATGATTTTGTTTCTGATGTAAAGTTTCATATTTAAAAACCATAATGGGATTTATACATTGTTTAAGGTAAAAGGTTAATTAAACTCTCTATTGCCTTTTAAAATGTGTTTGGGGTTTATTGCTCCTGTTTGTTACTATGATATGTATTTTTGTATTTTTATAAGTAGTTGGCATTATTGGGCAGCTGTTAAAGCCCAAATGGCAGCTACGGCCCCACTGTCAACTTTGGGCCCATTGATGAATTTTCATCTCCCCCTCTGAGTGGATGAACAAGGAAAAGTGTAAAGACAGCCTCTCCTCTCTTTGCCCCTCTCCAACTGAATTGCTATGCAAAACAGAGAGGGCAAGGAAAACAGCAGTGACATCTGGGAAGAGCAGTGGTGCAGACATCTGGGAAGTGGAAGTGCAGACATCTGGGAAGTGGCGGTCACCCTGGGAAGGGCCATTTTAGGGTTAATCTGAAATGGGCAGCTGTTGGCAAATTATCTGAACTTAGCAATTCCCACAAGGGAACTGGAGCCAGTGTGATGCAGTGGTTAGAGGGTGCAGTGGTGCAGTGGTGCAGTGGTTACCCAGGAGACCAAGGTTCAATTTCCCACTCAGCCATGAAGCTTCCTGAGTGACCTTGGAGCATTCACTTCCTCTCAATCTGTCCTATTTCACAGGGTTGTTGTGGGTATAAAAAGAAGAGGCAGCAAACCATATATACTGTTTTGAGCTCCATAAAGGTGGGATATGTCAGGTATAATGGCATTTCTGAAGTACAGAAGCCATGGAAGCTTATAGAATCTAACAGAAGTTTTCCAGAATCTTCTAGTGTGTCAGGAAGGTTTCCAAGGTTTCCATGGAAACAGACATGAAGCTGGAATGAGCTCGTTGTGCTTCCAGGTCAAACTCCCCCAGCCTACCTATAAATGAGATGGGGTCGAATGTTATTCTTACTTCCACTCTCTCTGATGTTCCTTCACTCTCTCATTCTGAATTGATTTTCTCAGAGTATGTTGTTCGTTTTAAGTTTTTTACTGTTGTATTTTACTGCAACTGGATTATTAAGAGAGTGCCCTTCCAGGGATCTGGTACTGAACTGTCAAGCTTATTTCTGCCTCAGTAAACTTTTACTAATTAATCCACTGCGTCCTGAGTCCTCCCTGTGTCTTCTTGAAGTTTCTACTCACTTACAACTGCGAAGGCATTCCCCCAGAGTCTTGGGGGGCATGACTCCTGACACAATATTAATGCGATCAATCAATCAATCAATCAATCAATCAATGCAATGACCTTGCTGAAGTTCCCTGGCCACACAATGGCTTCTGAATTAATGGTGAACTTTACATCGAAGGATGCCTGTTCCTCGATGCTCCCAACTTTCCTTCTGCTGTGAGATCTATTGGGAAATACGACCCAGTTCATGATATCAAAGTTGGCAGTCAGCTCCCCATTCTTATCAAAATACATCCCTCCTATGGATGAATTGGAAAGCTGGATTTCTTTTAAGAAAGGGTGAAGCTAGAATGGCAGAGAAACACCAGCATTTAGAAAACATGATATCAGGGTTGCGTGTGGGAACTACAGGCTTGGGTGCAGACTCCATTGCAGATGACAGTACACTATATAATTGCATAACAATTGCAAGAAGTTTCCTGGGCATTTGATTCATCAAATCCATTCATGAAGTTGGATATTTTGTAGGATGTAATCTTGTTTTCTTTGATAATTGAGAAAGGTTCCAGACCGCTTACCACTTTTGAGCAATCGATCCTAAATCAGGGAGATAGAGGCAGAGACCTCGTATCTGCTTTATTTGGTGACTTACGGGTCATTATAATAGGTCCTTTATCAGGTTTTAAATCCTCTTGGGATAAGAGTCAAATAAACATATATTAAGGACATGGCCAGGAAAGTACTTTGGAACTCTAGAAAGGTTACATTCTTTTTAATTTGCTATAATCTATTCTATTGTGATTTCAACTTTGTATGTGTTTCAGAAATAGGGTTCAAATTAGGGTTTTAAATTTCTTTATTAGAATTTTATTGTTTTAACATTTTTGTAAACTGTTTTGAAGTTTTTTGAGCAGTCAAGCGATATATACATCTTACGAAATAAATATATTAAATAATCAATGTGACAGAACACTCCTTAGCAATTTATCATGCCCTATTTTGTGAATGAATATTTCCCAATGCTTTTGTTCATTAATTAGTTTCAAACTATTGTAGAGCCACAAAAAAGATGAACAAAAACAAAAAATTCTCAGGATGTTCAGTTAAAGACAGGGCATACAATCACAATGTGATAAACTACAAAATATATAGACTCCGTAAAGGATTCCAATGATGGAAAACAGATGGCAAAAAGGGGTGAGGACAGACCTGCCATGGCTTCAACCTTTGACGTTCCAATCTGTCTCCTCCACCCGCCATTAACCTCCATTTGGATCTGGATGAATATGCGACATTTAAGGCCTGGGCCACAAGTTGGATACTGTAGTAAATGTTGTAGCGGTCTTGAGACCAGATTGCCTCAACCACTTCCTGGGGCAAAGTTTCTAGTGGTTCCTTTTCTGTGCATCTTGTCCAACCCTCCACGGATAGCACATTGTTTGAACATGAACAATTTAATGCTCTCGACCAAAACTGTGCAGCTGCAGTTGCAGCTTCAGATGAAAGGCAAGGATAGTAGCCATGTTCTGTCCTTTTTTTGGTATTCTTTACCAAGGACAAAGAACCTTGGGCAGGCTGGAAGAAAGCCACATCACCAAACAACATCACATCAATGTCAATAACATCTGTTGTGATCCAAACTATCCCCTGAGATTTCCTCACTTCATGAATGCGTTGTATGAATGTGATTGTATAAATTCCATTTTCAGAGTCTCCATAGTAAATGAACACCTTGACTTGCCTCAGGACAGATGGTCTACAATGTAAGGATGACATCTCCATAATGAAAAAAGGCATTTTTTCCAAGAAAGCAACACAGATCCCACTACGGATCATCAGAGGTGTGAAAGCACTCAGGAACCTTTCTCCATTGTCATTGTCTGGAACAAAGAGACCGACCCATGTCCACCCGAAGTGGAGCAACAACTTGACAATCCCCATGTACTGGGTTTCTTGTTTTGGGGCCATCCAGAAGATAAAAGGAAACTGTTTTTTCCCCTTAAGATCATAAGCAGTAGAGCCCAGACTGATCTAGAAAGAAAAGGATTTGTGGCTTGTTTTCAGGAATAAAAAAGAAAGGCCCTGTCACATGATCAGGCCAATGATCATGTGACATCTAATCCAGCGTCCTGTTTTCACAGTGACTAACCAGTTGCTTCTGGGAAGTATTTCATGCCTCCGGTGGAAAACCTGGAGCTCACAGAGAAGGAAGTGGCTCTAATGAATACTGAGGCAGAATAGGGCATCTGGGGCATTCAGGGGTCATGGCATTCCAACCTCTTCTAAGAATCACAATGGGCCACTTCAAAGAATGAGAGGCAGAAGCAGAAGCTAGGCAGTGACACAGTCTGCAGGAGTGCAGGCCCCTTAACCTTAAATTAGCTTCTAGACAGCCACAGGTCTGCCTGAGAAAGAAGAACTCCTGGGGAACAAGGGACTATGTTGAAATATGATACTAATTCTTCCTACGCCAGTCTGGTGAGGGTGAGAGAAAGAGACCCAGGGCTTTCCAAATCAGTTCCCACTTTCTTAAAATGTGATATTCTTTCTATAGTCTCTCTTTTTGGGTACTTCTGTTTTATGTTCCCTGGAGAGTAGGGATGTGGAAAATTTGGCCCTTAGGTTGTTGTTGAACTAAAACTCCCATCACTCCCCACAAGCATAGCTATGGCCAGCCATGGATGGTTTGGTAGTTAATAATAATAATAATAATAATAATAATAATAATAACAAAAAGTTCAGAAACCTCTGGAGCGGTGAAGGGGTTTCTCAACACTGGTGGAGATATAGAAATGAGGAAGGAAGCAAAGTCCTACCTGGGGCATTTTGTAGATGCTCAACATTCTTGAAATATGGCTGGAGATTTCAGTAGCTGTTTCTTCAAAAACAGCTAACACATTATTCTGTCCTCCACAGCTGTAGCTTGGAATGCTGTCTAGCATGGCATCAGCCGCTGTTGTGACATCAAAAGCGGCCTCATAGATGCTGTAGCCCAGGGTGACATTGGGTAAAAGCTTAGGAGTCTGGTTGATCTCCTGAATGGCAAATAAGGGGGACAGAGTGGGAGAGGGGTTCGTTGATGTTGAACTGCAAATAAATGAATAAACAAATAATTGTTTCAGAAGTCCACTTTCCATTTAATGAAGACAACATGTCATACTTTTTGTTCTATAAGAACCTAAGAAGAATCTACTAGTCTTATATCTAATGGGCCAAGCTTTGAAGGAGTACAATCTTGCCCATGCGCTCCAACAAGGAAATAAATATTTTCTGAGGCGAGCTTGCAGCTTGGGTGAATTTGATTGGAATGATAACTTACAGTTTCTGGAGCTCAGAGACTTGACAGGAACTATGTACAGGATGAGAAGGAACGAAAGAGAGAAAGAGCAGACATATTGTCTGGAGAGGACATAAAACAAAATCTCTGAGGTTTGATAGTCAGAGTTATCACTGACATAGTGGCTTTAAACAAGTGCTGGCTAGGTTGATAGACAAGCAGTGCCCTTATGTGGTTTCACATATCCAATGCATGAACTAGAAGCTCAGAAGAAGGAAATGTGTTTGCTCTTTTCCACCAGTAGCAACATTAAATCACAGCTGAGAACAAGGTCAAGATTCAGGAGTTCATGATGAAAAGCATCTGTTCCAACAATTTCCCCTGCCCAATTACCTAGCTATTAGAGAGACGCAGAGAAAGCTTTGTTCCTTGCGAGTCTGGAACTGAGGTTTCTAGTTAACACCCCAAAATCAAATTTAGTCTGATTCACTTCAACCTGCACTAAAGTTTGCCAAATGTTTTGCAGAGAAAACACAGCATTTTGCAACACCCCACAAATGGAGCAAATGTCACTTAATATGGGGGTCACAGGGTCACCCAAAAACCCAACGTTGCCTGATTCATTCCAAACCCAAGCCAACAAATTGATTCAACAGGACCTGAATAATCTGCAGAAGTTTGCCAACAGAAGCAGGAAAAGAGATGATCGGCTGTTCTCTGCCTTTGTAAATTAAACTGAAGCCCCCAAAGGGTCCAGAATTAGCTTCCCTGTTTGCAGGGTACCAAGAGGCCAGTGGGCACTGAGATTCTTTCAATATCAAGAGATGGGCAAAGGAGGGAGAAGGGTTTATTAGGGATGGCCAGAAATTAAGTGCTAATAGCAGCGTTTGTGAATGTAGGGTGGGTAACATACAGTCACTTACCTCATAACATGGTTTACGGGGCGCTGGGAAAAGTCAGGTTTGTAAATTATAACACCACCTTGATATATGACCCCACTAATGAGGTGGTCTCCTGGCCTGTAATAATTCAGTGGATCATGATCCTTTTTCATATTTAATGGACATTTTGCTTTCAGTATCCCACTGACTCCATGGGGCATTAGCAGTAGAAATAGCAGCAGCAGTAATATCATTCTGGCTATGCCTGAAAGAGTCATAAACTCTTGTGATAGCAGTGACATTAGGAGTGCAGCCGGACTCGTCCAGTAGCTTTAAGCAAAGATACAAAAAGGAAACCTGCCACAGAAAGGATCCCTGCCTGCCCCAAATCTCTCAGGCCAAGCTTCAGATATTTATGACCCAGTTGTTCTTGCAGGCTTGTGACAATAAGTTACCTCATCCTGCCTGTGATTATGGTGTGTATTTTATTTTTGGACTCAAAGGCCATTATTGAGGAAATCCCTGGACTAGAATAATTATAAGGTTCAGAAGGTCCATCTCCCTGGCATCTGTGTGTGACTCAATGGGCACGGGAAGAATGTGGGCAAAGCATGTTTGTGAGAACTCACAGATGGGGCTATCAGTCTGGGCCCTGCTTAATTTGAAGGGTCATGAACTTTAGTAAGATCCCAGAAACTAAAGAACAGCTATGATTGTTAAAGTATAGTAAGGCAGGACATGATGAAAGTTTATAAACTCCAGTATGGTGTGGATTATATAGATAGCAACAAGTTTTTCTCCCTCCCAAGAATAATACTAGAAGTTCTGATGGAGTAGAACTTAAATCGTTGTGTCCTAGGCCCTCATCCAAGACCCTGACCCCTACACCACCTTGTTTCTGGGGAGTTGGGAAAAGTCGTATGGAACATCCACTGCAGCTTGTGGACTGATGACCCCACTAATGAGGTGGTCTCCTGGTCGGTAATAATTTAGTGGATCATTTCCCTTTTTCAGATTCAAGGGGCATTTTGCTTTCAGCATCCCACTAGTCCTGTGGAACCTTAGCAGCAGACGTAGTAGCAGCAATATCACCCTGGCTACGCCTGCCAGAGTCTTACCGTATTGTGACGGCAGTGACATTAGTAGCACAGCTGGATTCCTACAGTAGCTTCAGAAAAAAAGTAACAAAATGAAGACTCCGACAAAAATGAGTCCTCTGCCCCCAATGTTTGAGACCAGGTTCTCAGTAGTATTGGAGATATTTATGTCCCAGTTCTTCTTTCAGGCTTATTACAAGACTTTTAACTCATCCTGTCTTTGAGTCTGATGTCTATGACTCAAAGGCAACCTTTGGGGAAATCCCTGGACTAGAGAAAAAAATCAGCATGATTTTGATAATGAGAAGGTTGAGAAGGTCCACTTCCTCTGCAGCCTCCTCGAGGGGCAGGGGCAGAGTTGTAGCCAGAGAAAAACAGCTTTGTGAGAACTCACAGATGGGACTGCCAATCTGGGTCCTGCTAGGTCTGATGAAACCAGAGAAGTTCAGCAAAGTTCAACCATCAGTAGAGAAGCCATGATGGATAAAGGCTAGTAAGGCAGGAGATGATAGTGTTTTAGAAACTGAATTATATTATCCTTACAACAAACCTCTGAGGTAGGTTAGCCTGAGAGACTTGCCCAAGGTCACTCAATGAGCCTAATAAGTGAGCAGGGATTTGAACCTTCGTTTCCCAGGTCCAAGGCATAAAATGAAGCTGGATGTTGCATAATTTAGGACAGTCACAAGGAAGTACCATACCTTCCAATATTTCTCTGGTGAAAATAGGGACACCCTATTCCATCATCATTTTATTATTTATATTTCCCCCCCCCCCCATCTGACTGGGTTGCCTCAGCCACTCTGGGTGGCTTCCAGCATATATAAAACCATAATAAAACATGAAACATTAAAAAAACTTCCCTATACAGGGCTGCCTTCAAGTGTCTTATAAAGGTTGTACCCACTTGGCTCAGGGGTCACATAACTCCATACCCTCTAACTTTTCTCTGATGAAAATAGTCATGCTATGGGATTTGCTCTCACATGAGGCTGGGGTGGTCACCAACTTGGAAAGCTTTTTTAAAAAAAGGATTGCACAAATTCACGGAGCACAAGGCTACCAATGGCGACTAAGTATTTCGAATCTCCACTGCTAGAGGCAGTAGCTCTCTCAATACCAGTTTGTGGGAACCCCAACTCTGAAGGACTGCTCTTGCGCCCAGGTCCTGCTTGTGGCCTTTGCACAGGCATCAGATTGGCCACTGTGACAGCAGGAAGCTGAACTGAATGGGCCTGTGATCTGATCCAGTGAAGAAGAAGAAGAAGAAGAAGAAGAAGAAGAAGAAGAAGAAGAGGAGGAGGAGGAGTTTGGATTTGATATCCCGCTTTATCACTACCCTCAGGAGTCTCAAAGCGGCTAACATTCTCCTTTCCCTTCCTCCCCCACAACAAACACTCTGTGAGGTGAGTGGGGCTGAGAGACTTCAGAGAAGTGTGACTGGCCCAAGGTCACCCAGCAGCTGCATGTGGAGGAGCGGAGACACGAACCCGGTTCACCAGATTATGAGACTACCGCTCTTAACCACCACACCACACTGGCTCCCTCAAGTGGGTCTCCTCAAGGGTCTTTCATGTGTTTTCCCCAGGCATAAACAGATATTTCCCTCTCTCGTGCCTAGACCATCTGATTTCACACAATAGGGGTATGTTCGGGGTTGAGGGGTTTCCTGTGATAACTGATACTAAGCACTCACTAAGCCTTCAGAACCTTCCTTGACCAAAGTTTAGAGGCAGAAGAAGCAACGAAGGCAGCATCGTTCAGTTTTGGACACTTGGAGTTACAGCTAGTCCCTAGCAGCGTGAGGAGGTTACTGCTTCTGTTTGCCGCGCGTAGCATGGCAGCTATTCAAACACTGCCATGTGCTTCAGTCACTGCCTGACCAGCTTAGCATGTCACCACAACTTCCTGCTTTTGCTGCACATGCCCCTTCCCTGAGGTGGGTGGAGGTTGTGATCCTTCTGACACCCACTGCTTCCTTTCTTGGAAGGAGGATCTTATGAAGGCGGAGTGCTGATTTTGCTGACATCCTTCCAGCCCACAGTGTTCTGAGCCTGTTAATGTATTTTGGCCCCTTCCTCAAACTGGGGTGTAGGGATGGGTGAATCTGCCAATGTCGGTTTCTCATTTCCCCAATCTTAAGTTTGGTTCTCCTAATTTGTGATTTATTCATTTCTAGCACAGAATGTTCTCATTTGAAGGATTCTTGTGTGACTTATTATGCTTATTATGTACATTTTAATACAAAACATTGCCTAATGTATTTCCCCCCCCTGATTTCCTCTAATACAATGCATTTTTGTATTCCACTTTCACTAACATGCATTTATACTTTACTAAATATATATTATTATATATCTTACTTGGCTAGAAAACCGTGTTGCAAAATCAGAGAATGGTGAATTATAAAAAATGTGGCATTTTGCTTCATGTATTGCTCAAAAGGTTTTCTCCCTTTTCAGAACTCTTTCTTGCAAATTCCACACACAGCTACACCCACTTCTGCCTCTGCCCTTCCCTGCTCAACACTGGCACGTGAACCCAAGAAAGTTGCTTAGAAAAGGAATGAGGCGCCTGGCAGAGGCGGATTTAGGGAATGGCGACCTGTTTGGCCACACTGGGTGTGGAGTCTTGGGGGAGCCACAGGAGGCGCTGCATCTATGACACAGAATGGAAAGTGAGAGGCGAGGGAGGACACAAAAATTTGGCATCACGCAGGGTGCATCCGGAAATTGAGACTGCAGGGCCTACCACTACACTTGGGCTGTAAACCCCATCCCTGCTTCAGAACAATATCAAACCCTGAAAAATCCCTTTTATTTGCAGCATCAACTGCAACTCTTGGTTCAAATCACTCTAAACTGTCTGAGGATGACTGTTTGACTTTGTTCACAAGAGCCTTTCCTTACATTCTGTCTCCTGTTGACGACAAGCATTTGATAAGAGCAGGGGCGAACGAAGGCGTCGTGACACCCGGGGTGGCAAACCACCACGTACGCCGCAAATGCGCTGTACATAGTGGTTTGCCGTCGGTGCTGTTCCAGCGCCGTATGGACGGTGCCGGGATCCTGTGCTCGCAGCTGCAGCCACAAACAACACATCCTCCATTCGCGGCTGTAGCCGCAACAGAGGGATCCAACCGCCATCCGTACAGTGCTCAAGTGGCGCCGGTGGTAAGCCACTATGTTCAGCACATGTGCGGCGTCATTATGTACATGCACCGTACATAGCGGTTTGCCGCCGGCGCTGGGATTCTCTGCTCGTGGCTGCAGCCGCAAACAAAGGATCCTCCACATGCGACTGCAGCGGCACGATGGCTGCTCACGCCGCTGCGAGCCCCCCATGGGGTGCCTTCTTGTCACCCCCCCAGACATGGCACCCGGGACGCACCGCCCCCCTGCCCCCATTGTGATGCCACTGGATAAGAGGGCCCTGTTGAGTATCCCCTCCCCATGGCATCTGCCCAAAGATGGTAAATGCATGAATAGTGGTGATTCAATAGGCTTGCTTAGTGAGGAGAGAAGAGTTTGGATTTGATATCCCGCCTTTCACTCCCTTTAAGGAGTCTCAAAGCGGCTAAAGATCTCCTTTCCCTCCTCCCCCACAACAAACACTCTGTGAGGTGAGTGGGGCTGAGAGACTTCAAAGAAGTGTGACTGGCCCAAGGTCACCCAGCAGCTGCATGTGGAGGAGAAGGGAAGCGAACCCGGTTCCCCAGATTACGAGTCCACCGCTCTTAACCACTACACCACGAGCCTTCCCTCCTCTACCAACCTGCATGGAATTCCTGGTCACCTATGGCAACCAGGCGAGTGCTTAAATACAAGGCTGCACTAACTGCTTTAACTGACCAATCCTGACTCTTCATTCCCAATGTTCTGTCCTCCAACAGACTCCTCCTCCCCTTTTACCTCAACATTCCACCTACTAAGCGATTCTCCCTCCCTTCCAGAAAGTCCTCCAGAAAGTGTGGACCACACACAAGTATTTACGTATACCAGTGGCATAGCATGAGTTGCCCGTACCTGGAGCCACATGAAGGGCCTGGGGTGGGAGGGAGGGAAACTGGCTGAGTGCGCATGCGCATTTACTGCCTAACAGCAACCACAGCATCCAGGAGATCACGGCTGCAGAGATAAGAAGAGTTGTTTCTTTGTCTGAAGAGGTCACTTCCTGGTTCGCACGGAGAAGCCATTTTAAACAGAGCCCAGTGATGGAAGCACCCAACTATATTGAGGCAGAACCAGGTGCTGACATTTTGCACCCCTAGCAATGGTGTGCCTGGGGCAGCCACCCCTGTGACCCCCCACCCCCATGCTATTTTTTTTTAAAATAAAGATGATCTTTATTGGTTTTTTATAATTACATACTATACATACACATATTATATTACATTTTACATTTATTCTTGCTCTCAAGAGCTGACTTTCCTCCTTCCTTCTTCTGGCTTTTTTGTGTCGTCTTTAACTTTTTGCATTGTCTTTATCCATTTTGTATATAGTTGTTCAATTTTTGTCCATGAAATGTCCGTAAACAAACAAATCTTTCTATATATACAATTATTGTTGTCTGTCTATATTCATTTACAAATACTGTTTAACCTTGGTCATAATATACATTTTTAATTCATTTTGATATTATTGTCCAATAAATTTCTTTGTATTTTCCCGTTATGAGGTTTATTTCAGTTCTACTGGTTTCCCTATTTCACATCATCTTCTCTCTATATAACATAAATTTCCCCCATTCTTTTTGATATGTTTCATCACCCTGATGTCGAATTTTTGCTGTTAGTTTGTCTATTTTACTTGCATCCCAGACTACATTAATATCTGTACCTTTATTTAGATTTAATTCAAAGTATGTATTTAGATTTTTTTTACTTCTTTCTAATATTTCTGTATTATCTAACTGTCATTTATTCTCCACCTCCGTGCTGTTGGGTCTTTACTCTTCCATTCCATTACAATAACTTTATGATCTGAGTGTTAAGTACTAAGGCACTGCCAGTTGCTGGCAATCTGAAGTGGGGAAAGAACATGACCAGATTAAGTTCCCGCTTGTGGGCTTCCCATGTTTGTTTGCTTATTATCCAGCTTTCTGGCAGCTAACAACACTGCAATATACCAGGAAATGATATATAATGAATTGAAAAGGATGTTTAAAATAACATTTGTGTTAAGTTTTGGGTGAACATATCAGACAACACAGCGATTCTTCAAACAGCTCTTGTTTATTCAGAGGCCAGAACAGAACTGAACTGAAGGGTTCAGTCAGCCTGCTTATATAGAGCTCCAGAACAACGTAACTGTAGCAACTTTCTAAAACTATCCAATCACTGAACGTCACTTTCAATCCTTCATTTGCATACAAACTATCCAATCACTGAACGTCACTTTCGATCCTTCATTTTCATAACTATCTACAGTATCCCCCTGCTGGCCCAGGGTGAGAACTTCAGTACATAACAATTTGTAAAAAAACAAACACCAGAAGCTTTTCTTTTGAGATTTATAGGGACAGAACTACCTAAATTGTACAGGAATTTATTCATGTATGCTGCTACAGCAGCAAGAATGCTACTTGCCCCAAAATGGAAAGAAGCAGAAGTCCCAGCAAAGGAAGAATGGATACAAAAACTTATGGAATATGCATAAATGGCAAAACTTGTCAGAAGAATAAGAGATCAAGATAACAAGCTTTTTATTAAAAAAAATGGAAATGGTTTATTGACTATTTACAGATAAATTGCAAACAGATAAAAACATTGGGATGATTATTGTAATAACCTGCAGTTTCATACGAGTATATATTTAAAGTAGATAAATAAATGAGCAAATTAAATGAATTTGGAGATGCAGAAGATATTAAAAAATAAATTTAAGGAACAGCAGAAAGAGGGAGAAGGAAGTCAAGTTTTGAAATGTTAAAATGATTGTAAAATTAATAAAATGCATAAATCTGAAAATTATAAATATTTTTTGTTAATAAACCACAATGCAACATACCATTATCAAAACAGGTGACTCTATTACAATTATTAAACAGGCCAAACTATTCCAAATGAAACAGAACAGCACAAAACAAAGGTGGTGGGTCTCAGAACAGCTCAACCGTTAGAGGTCAAGGTAAAGAGATGCAGGATAACTTTAAAAGGAGTTCAGAAAATTTCATATAAGATAAGGCTATCAGTAGCCACTAGCCATAATGTCTATGTCATCACTCCATTATCAAAAACATCTTGCCTCTGAAGACCAGCTACTGGGCATCAGAGAAGGGGAGGCTGCTGTTGTGCTTCTAGTTTGACCTGTCGGCTTCTAGTTTGGCCTGATCCCGCAGCCTCTTCTGAAATTCTTCTGATTACACTGTTAATACCAAAAACCCCCACATCAACTAAGAGTCCCCCACCCGGGTGCAAGTCTTAGAATTTTCCTCCAGGTGCAAGTATGTCTCAGGGCTATCCAGAAGCACTTCATCTCAAGCCAAGGCCTGTGACATTAAAAAAAGAGTGAAAGACAAAGATCCAAAGTATATCTTGGTTCCAGCCAAGCTGAAGGACTCCCCAGAGGACAAAATTAGGTTCAGAGCATGGATTCTCTCTGATTGTCCCAGAATTGCGTCCCCATGATTGGTCATACTGCAAAGAGAGAGATAAAACAGATACTTACAAAAAACAAACAAAAAACAAACAAACAGCGACATATTATCTATGGTAGTGTCTGAATGACCCTTGTGTAAATAAAATATTAAGAAATAAAGGAAAATCGGTACGCTAGGTTGTAAGAAAGTATTGGAAAGTACAGTGGTACCTCTGGATGCGAACGGGATCCGTTCCGGAGCCCCGTTCGCATCCTGAAGTGAACGTAACATGTGACTGCGCGACTGCGCACGCGCGGGTCACGTTTCGCCGCTTCCGCGCATGCGCGCGTCGTCACTTTGAGCATCTGCACATGCGCATGCGGCGAAACCCGGAAGTAACACGTTCCGTTACTTCTGGCTCACCACGGAGCGCAACCCGAAAATGCTTAACCTGAAGCGTATTCATCCCGAAGTATGACTGTATATTAAATGTAAGGTAATAATTATAAGTACATTCAAAATCACAAATGTCAATTATATCAGGAAATGATGGGAAGTCTATATTTATTTTACTTCAGTTTGTTGTTGTTGTTTTGTTTTATTTTATGTACCATTATATGATTTTAGCTTAGCTGATATCTAAGTGGAATTAGAAGGTCAAATTAACATTCTATGTTAAACTAATTTAAGAATATATATATTCTTAAATTAGTTTAACATAGAATGTGATATATATATATATATATATATATATATATATATATAGTATGTATATGTGTGAAGTTAAATCTGTAATGACATTAATGAATTTCAATAAATAATTTTTTCATCCCCCCCCCCCAAAAAAAAAGGAAAGAGAGGGAGAGAGAGATAAAACAGGGAGCGTCTGCTGCGCATGGAGCCAAACAGATGAAACCAAAAGATTTCTCTTGGCAGAGAGAGGTGGGGAGGGAGGGGACCCCCAACGTAATCCTCAAATGACAGAGAAACCTACAGAATCTGCAATGTGGTCCTGCTTTGAGGGCTCCCCATTGAGACACCTGGTTGGCCACTGTAGGGACAGAATGGGGGGATAGATGTGGCTGCTTCTTGTAACAAGTGCCATATTTTTCTGATGTAAAACTTTTTTTTTAATTAATACATAATATTTTAAGATTGGCTCATTAAGTCCTTGCATGGACCAGACTCAAGGGGAGACTTCCTACTCATCTTCTATGATTCTGTGGTTCTATGTGCCTAGGTCATTTGGTTTCAAAATGGTGGGGGGCAGAGGCAGATTTAGGGGAGCATTCTGCCTTCCACATCATAGTTGCTGAGTCTCGGGGACACTGCAGGGGGTGCCACGACTATGGTGTAAAATGGAAGGCACAAGGCGGGGGGTGCCAAATGTTGATGTTGTACAGGGAGCCACTGAAATTTGTGACCCCAAGGTCTATCACGCACGGGGTGTATGTGTTTGTGTGAATTTGATTGAGGAAACATGTAGTTGTGGCTTAGCACCTCATCAAACTCTGGGAAGTGCTCCATTCATTCGCTGTCTGAAAGCTGCGGCAGCACCACCAAAACCACAATCCAGCAGGAGGAAGTAGTGAGGGCTGAGGATCGGATGTGCTGACATTCTTCTATCCCACTGGGTTCTGAGTTCCTGTTTTTAAACCGCTTTGGGTCAACCTTAGTTCCAAAACTTTCCCTTCCCCAAACTGAAACTTCTGTACTGGTTGTCAGGATATTACCCACTTAAGCTCAAGGTTCTACTGCCAGTGGACAAAGCCCTAAGCAGACCAGGTTACCCAAAGGACCACCTTATGTACCAGCCATATTCCTAGGATCAGCTGCAGAAGCCCTCCTTGCTGTCCCACAATATTATCTCATATTCATTTCATTTCTACTCAAACCAAAGTTTTCAGCAGAGCATCACCATTAACTTGGAACACTGTCCTCACATTTTGTCACCTGCTGGTAAAGTTTCTGTTTCTCCATGTATCTTTAGATAATTAATTGGATTCAGTGTTGGCCATTTGTTAATATTGACTCAGTTAATTTTTAGGGGAGGGGGTGAATCATGCATTCATTTTCATTGCTCCCCTTTCAATGCCACCTCGGTGTGGTGGAGTGGTTAAGAGCAGTGGACTCGTAATCTGGTGAACCGGGTTCGCTTCCCTTCTCCTCCACATGCAGCTGCTGGGTGACCTTGGGCTAGTCACACTTCTCTGAAGTCTCTCAGCCCCACTCACCTCACAGAGTGTTTGTTGTGGGGGAAGAAGGGAAAGGAAATTGTTAGCCGCTTTGAGACTCCTTAGGATAGTGATAAAGTGGGATATCAAATCCAAACTCTTCTTCTACACCCCCTTCATGCTGGTTCTGTTCTGGCAGCCTATTTCTGGCAAGCTCCACAGCCATGGTTAAAAGAAAACACATATCCCTGTTTCATTCCACACACCCCACTCTGTGTTATTAGATTTCTTACTCCAAAAACCATATTTCTGTTTTGGAATCAACTGCTTTGGCCAACCTAAAATGGAGAAAACATGGACTCCACCTCAAACGCAGAGAAGCTGACTTCTTGCACCGTTTAAGCGGGGGGTTTGGAATCCAACCAAGACGGAAGAAGCTTCCCTTTAGAAATATAAACCAGGTAGGAAAAGAACATGGTCAAAGGCAGTCTGATTCTTTAGGTCCCACCTCAATCACTGAGATCCTCTGATAAGGCACGACTGGTAGTTCCAAGAGCTCCAGTTAACTGTAACTAGGACACTGCCCTGTTCCTAATTGTTTAAAGTCACTCTGAGTTACTTTTGCAAAAGAAGTGACAAATAACCTTAATAAGCAAAATAAAAGTAAGAATGCCCATAAAGGAACCATCCCCATCTTCTTTCAGAAGTCTCTTAAAAGCTATACCTTTTATGACAGGCCTTTGTTAACATGAATTTTCTCTTTCTAACCAATTGCCATCTACTGATGTTTTTTATGGATACGTTGGCTTGTTTTGTTCTCTTGAAATGTTTTAAAGTGCAGATTATTAATATGTGAGTAAAGGTAAAGGGACACATGACCATTAGGTCTAGTCGTAGCCGACTCTGGGGTTGCGGCACTCATCTCGCTTTATTGGCCAAGGGAGCCGGTGTACAGCTTCTGGGTCATGTGGCCAGCATGACTAAGCCGCTTCTGGCGAACCAGAGCAGTGCACGGAAACGCCGTTTACCTTCCCGCCGGAGCGGTACCTATTTATTTACTTGCACTTTGACGTGCTTTCGAACTGCTAGGTTGGCAGGAGCAGGGACCGAGCAACGGGAGCTCACCCCGTCACGGGGGATTAGAACCGCCAACCTTCTGATTGGCAAGTCCTAGGCTCTGTGGTTTAACCCACAGCGTCACCCGCGTCCCTTAAACAGAACGCTTAAAAGGGTTTTGCAGGTACAGTTTATTTGCAAAGATAATTTCACTGGAACAGCCTTAGTGAAAGGCAGAATTGCTCTTCTTCACACACTTGCCCCTGCTTATCCCCACAAACTTACCCCCACTGGAGCTGCCAGACCCTTGTTTCTTAGCTGCAAAAGAGGGAATGGAGAAGGAGGTTAGGCTGGGTGAGCAAGGATGGGGGTGCTGGGATATTCTGTTCCACCTTAAGAACAGATGTGTGGAATTGTTGTATGTCACATGTCTGTTTACACTCCAGCACAGCTTGCTGGGAATTTCTGTTTGTGTATAGCTTTTGCTTATGCTGTCTTGCTTTGGACACAAAGGAGATCGGACATGTTTTCCTTTTGTCCTGATGTACGCTGAATAAACTGCTTGTAAATCTGCTCACACAACTTCTCCTGCCACCTCTGTTGCGTAGCGTTTACTCTGCTGAGTAGCGTGCCCTAGCTTCTGAAACTCGGGTCGCTGATGCTTCACCAAGGAGATCGCCCGGCACAGTGGCCGGTGGGCTGGAGCCAGCTGGGGGCCTGCCAATTGCCCCCATTTCCTTGGTCGCATGCCAACAACAAGGTTATGGGCCCAGATCCACGGCGCTTACACCTCTCTCTCTCTCTCTCTCTCTCTCTCTCTCTCTCTCTCACACACACACACACATGCCCTTCTCTGATGAGCTGTCTTACTGTTTTAGCCAGAGACAAAACCCGTGACAAATACACATATATGCTAAGAGTTACAAACCTTTAAACTAATGCATCAGTGGCAGGGGAGATAAGCAGGGGAAGTCCAGCAGGGGAGAGCAGCAAAACTGCTCCCCAAAACTGTAAACCAAACTGATGCATCCTTCCCAGAATGGAGAGTATCAGTAGGAAAGGGAATCACTTTAGCCCACAGAATGACTGACTGCAACCTGGTAGCAAATGCGGCCCCAAATATACTTACTGATGTGCACATAGATCCCAACACTCACAGCCACCAGGAGGAAGATTCCGCTCAGGATGCAGCCAATAATGATCCCCACGTGGGAGCCTAAAGTTGAATGGTGGGAAGGAGGAAGAGGAGAATAATTGAAGGGAAACCAAGAAGAGTCTTTGCTTTTCATGGGAGGAAACCAAAGATGGCCACAGGACTCATGAAATTCAGAGAGGTTCAATGGTACAAAGGGGGAATAGTGAAGGATGGCCCATCCCACCCCTCTTCACCCACCCAGCTTTGCAAGAGTCCTTCCGGAGCTGGAGTGAAAGGCCATTCTCTCCCTACAGAGGGATGCCTTAAAAGGGTTTTACTCATCAACATCTGGCGGACGCGTTCACCTTCAATATACTTCAATATACATAAAATATTTGTGAACATTCCAGGACATTGCAACCACTCGGGCTTACCAGGGAAAGATGGCAGCCAACTTTTGCCAGTACTGTATACTTGAAGGAGCGTCTCCACCCCCATCGCTCAGCCCAGACACTGAGATCCAGCTCCGAGTGCCTTCTGGAGGTTCCCTTACTACGAGAAGTGAAGTTACAGGGAGCCAGGCAAAGGGTCTTCTTGGTAATGGCACTCTCTATATGGAATGCCCTCCTATCAGATGTCAAGGAGATAAAGAACTACGTAACTTTTAAAGACATCTGAAGGCAGCCCTGTATTGAGATGTTTTTGATGTTTGACATCTTATTATGCTTTAATATGTGCTGGAAGCCGCCCAGAGTGGCTGGGGAAACTTGGCCAGATGGGCAGGGTATAAATAATAGAAGTATTATTATTTAGAATATCTAAATTTGAGTTCAGAGCAGATTGGGCATACTTCCATCCCATTCGTCTCCCCGCAATCTCTCACCAGGTTCTTCTGAGGGCACGTCCATAGGCTTCTGTAGGCCAATATGCTCCACATGGCACCAATAGCGGTTTCTGTCTTTGGGGTTGATCTTAATGCTGAGCCAGTTGTAGTAGGTTCCATCTGAGTTGGGGAGAACGCCCCCATGAACTGTATCCTGCCCAGAAGTCTCCCCATCCTTTCTCCAGGTAGAGTTGATCTCCTTGGGATAGAAGCCGTGGGCCCGGCAGATGAGAGTTTCCATGCCATCATTGTTTGGCTTCCTAGTTACCTTGACTACTGGGGGTTCTGCAAAAATGGCAGCACTTTAGTTAACACATGAGGCTCTCCAGTGGCTGGCAGGACGAACACTGAACTATGCCCCACCCCAGAGATTACGATCTCAGGCCTAGAGCATCCCCAAGAGACACATTTCCATAGGAGCTATTGTACAAAGTAGCTTCCTTGCGATAAACACTTAAGTACCTCATTGGCATTCACAACCTCTGATTATTCCTAGAATGACAGGAATACAGCATTGTCCAAAAACAACTTCCCCAAGGAATTTGGTTCAATCTAAATTTATCAGACATAAAAAATTTCCCAATACAGAACTATCTAAACAGATAGTTGTTTATTTCCTTGACATCTGTCGGGAGGGTGTACCACAGGGCGGGCGCCACTACCAAGAAGGTCCTCTGCCTGGTTCCCTGTAACCTCACTTCTCGCAATGAGGGAACCGCCAGAAGGCCCTCGGAGCTGGACCTCAGTGTCCGGGCTGAACAATGGGGGTGGAGACGCTCCTTCAGGTATAGTGGGCCGAGGCAGTTTAGGGCTTTAAAGGTCAGCACCAACACTTTGAATTGTGCTCAAAAACGTACTGGGAGCCCATGTAGGTCTTTCAGGACCAGTGAAAAAGATTGCTGAGCCAAGAAACCAAGACTTTAGTGTCATCAGTCCAGTCCTTTGGAACACTCTGCCAATAGAAATTTGGCAAGCACCTTCAGGTCCCAATTTTTAAATGCTTACTGAAAACATTTCTATGCCACATGGCTTATGCAGGCAATTAAGACTATAACCATCTGCAATAGTTAACTGATGTCTGGTTTTGACTGTTTAAATGTTTTATTGCATGGTTTTATAGTTTTATTACTGTAAACTGCTTGGAGATATTTGTTGTGACAAAGCAGTGTAGACATATTTTTATAACTATCTAACCAATTAACCAAATGAAATATGCCATCTTCCCCCACCTCTGTTGCCCCCTCACCTTTCCGCAGCAGAGCCTCCTTTGCGTAGGCTTCATATTTCTGCAGCCATTCAATGAAAACCACCTCCACTAAGAACTTGAAACGTGGGATCATGGAACTGTCAGCCTCCCACATCCTCTCAATCACTTGGGCCACCGCATCTGCTGCAATCCAGGCATCAGTCTCCTTGTCAAGGCTGAGAAAGTCCCTCCCATCATAGCCAAACGTCCAATATGCTTCATTGCTCCCATGTGGACTCACCTCAGAGCCAACCATCATCTGCCAGGTATGAAAACCTGAAAAAGACACCCATGATGAGATCACAATGGGGGCATTAGAACAGGTGCAGACCACCCTCTCAAAAACAACAACAACCACTTTTCACCATCAGATCTCAAGCCCTATTTGGTTCTTCTAGATAGATTGAATCTCTCTGACAATGCTCCATTCATCACTATTTGTGCTTCTGGGTATTGATACAAAAGTCAGATCCAGTTGATAAATTCCACACCCAAATTGAAATATTCTAATACTTTAAGCGACTAAATCAATTCTACTCTATCAAATGCTTTTTCCGTAGAAACAGAAAAGCATGTGGTTGTTTGCCCCTATGTGTGATCCGTATTTTGTTTCTCAGTCTTCTGATACTTGTTGCAGGTTTCCTACCTTTCAACCTGCTTGATCTAAATTTATATATTTTACAATGATATCATTCAGCCTTATTGAATCAAAACTATCTTTGCTTAAATCATGGAAGAAATCAATCTGTTAATGCACGTGACTTCTGTTATTATTTGCAATAAGGGTTTTTCTATGTCATGAAGAAAGACCACCTGGCATCCATTGAGCTGTATCCAGCTCAAGCTGTTGTCTAGTACCCTTTCATTGGTCATATATTTGTGGATCTCTATTTTGCTTATGTAGTCATTCCAAAGTGCTAACCTTATTTCTTAGAAGAGTCCCTTGTTGAAATATTATTTTTTAAAAATCACTTTTTAAAAATAATTATGCCTCTTATATAGGCTTTGCCTGCATCCTATATAGGCCAAGTGACCTTCAGTCACAAGATCTACCAGGAAAGGTAGATGTGTTCTCTGGTGGTAGTTATGCATATTATCCAATATAGCTGGATTATTTACCTTGCCCACCTCCCCAGAAAAAAAACTTTCTTAAGCTCATCTCTCTCTCTGCCCCCTTCCCTCCCAACCAGCATTCAATGTGCATAGTGTGTGGTGAATTCAAATCTCTTTCACCACCAGGGATGGGGGGGGGGTCAGTTCAGTTTAGTCCACTTCTATAGGTGAACCTACTTAAACTGCACTATCTCAAACAATATGATGGTCGCATCAGACTCATCCTTCAATTTTGCAGTTCTCCCAATTTTGCTATGGAGTTCTCCAGCCAAGTAATGTGAACAAAACTGCAACACCTGGACAAAGTGTGCATAAAAATGCATAAATTCATGAAATGGTCATAGAAAAATGCAATACATTTGGGGAAACTGAAAAAAGGTTCATTGTAGGGGGGGATGTTGATGTATTCACACTAAATTCACACTAAAATGTTAATGATGTAGTGATGTAAGTGCAAACTGATGTAGAAATGAGAACTGAACTGAAATCGACAGATTCGGCCCTTTCTTACATACACTCACCCTTGCTGTGGTTGTAGTACTGCCTTATGATATGGTGATAATTTTCAAACCACCGCTCACTGTCCTCCAAGACCTTGGTGTACCTGTCCCAGTACTCATGAATATCCTCCTTCAGCTTTTTAGCCCAGGAGACTTGAGGCACCCCCTCTTCTGTGTTGCTATCAAAGCGAGTGACGAGCTGGTCATCTGCATACCCCAAAGCAGTGAACTTGGGCATTGTCTGATCGGGTTCTGACACAGATATGTAGATAAGCTGGAACTTGTGGAAGGAGGAGCCTGGAGAGGAGAAAGAGGGGCAGAGTTCAAGCGATCTGCGAGGGACACTGCCATGGGCTCCACCACCATCCCAGAGGGTGAGGAGAAGTGGTGGCAGCGGCTTCCCGGTTCCAGAAAGATCTCAAGAGAGCCCCCAAAATCTTGTGGGCTCTCGTGAGATCTTGCCAGAGCCCAGAAGCCAGAGCCCAGCCACACAACCCCCGTAAGTAAGGCCTTGGTGGGGGTGACAGTATCCCATTCTGTCTGTAGTAGCAAAACAGGATGGGATGGGTTTCCTTCCGCCAGTGTCAGGGGCGGAGGAAGGGGGTGCTGTGGGAGCCCCGGGTGTCACCACTGAGGGAGGGTGACAAAATGCCAGGGGTCACTCACTGTGGGACCTGCAGTGCACCCAAGTCACGCATCTCTCCTGGGAGTGACGTGGTGGCTTTGGGTGCCCACAGGCTCCATGCTGCCCCAATGGTCCGCCCACCACCTCCCACTCAGCTGTAGGGGGGCTGAGTGGGAGGAGGCAGGCAGACTCCTTGGAGGCCCCGTGGAGCATCCTGCCCTGGCTCGCCCCTTCGCCACGGGAGGCTGCCCCTGTTGGGATGCATCTGGGGAGACGGGGGCATTTGGCAGGCCCCCAGCTGGCTCCAGCATCAATCAGCAACTCAAGCCTCAGAAGCTGAGCACGCTCTTATCAGCAGAGTGAATAACTTCTCACAACGGAAGTGGCGGACAGAGACATGTGTAAGCATTTTTACAGGCGTTTATTCAGCATAGTTCAGGAACAAAGGAAAAACATATCTGCTTCCCTTCGTGTCCAAGCAAACAGCAGTAAAGCAAAAGCAATACACAACGGAAGTTCCCAGCAGACTGTGCTGGAATGTAAACAGACATGTGACATACAACAATACACATATCTGTTCTAAAGGTGGAATGGAACTATACCCTAACAGCTCCACCCCTGGGCACAGGGCACACATGCCACCCCAGGCACCTGATCGAGAGAGAAGCAGAGAAGCTTTGGCTATCTAGACACTGTGTGGCATTTTGTTTGTTGACAGCTCTTTCTGGTTTACAGAAATAAAACTGTATGAGCACAGAAATCTGCTTCTATGGGGCAGTTTTATTGGGATTCAGTTGCAAACCCACCCACCCCCATCTCAGGCACTTTTTGAAAGAAAACTATACAGTGGTACCTTGGGTTAAGAACTTAATCTGTTCTGGAGGTCTGTTCTTAACCTGAAACTGTTCTTAATCTGAAGCACCACTTTAGCTAATGGGGCCTCCTGCTGCTGCCACACCGCCAGAACACGATTTTTGTTCTCATCCCGAAGCAAAGTTCTTAACCCAAGCTACTATTTCTGGGTTAGCGGAGTCTGCAACCTGAAACGTCTGTAACCTGAAGCGTCTGTAATCCGAGGTACCACTGTACTGAATAAAACAATTGTAAATGGCAAGTGACAGAAATTTGGGGGCACCATCTACTATCGTGCAGGTGATAGAGGGACATAGTTGTAGGCCTACAACTGCAATGAAAAGTGCACTATGTGAGGTGGATTTTACCCCAAGTGGCTGGGAGGAAACCGCAGGAGATTCGGCTGTGAACTGCACGCACCTGGGGAGCTTCTGTGGCTTGCTATGCCATGGCCCCCCTCCCATTCAGGGTCAAACTGCAGTTAGGCTCAGCCAGCCTGCGGAACATCTGCCACTTTTATTTTGAGAGAAAAGCAGCCTCTCAGAAGCTGCAGGTGTTGCAAGGTGGTGGGCGCAGTATGCAGCAACTTCCTCTCCCGTCTCCTACTTCTACCTGAAGCAGAAGCTGAAAAAGAGCAAAAAGGGGGGGGGGGATTTTCCACCACCACCTTGGGCTGAGAAGCCCCTGAAACTTCCCCCAACCCTCCTCAACAGCAGTACCTCTGCCTCTGTTGCTCTTTGTGGTGTGTGGCGGGGCGGGGGGGGGGGGAGGAACATGCAGGAAGGAAAAGAGAAGAGCTGCTCCTACTTCCTCTTTCTCCTGTCTTAAATGTGTGGTTATTTATGCATCAACATACACCCCCAGTTGCAAGGAAAATCAAAGGTCAGCACTGGCACAGTTATGTAAAAACTGAAAAGAGCCCAAATGGAAGCTAAAACCCACGGCCATCAGATTACAGAATCGTACCATTGTCGGAAAGGACACCCAAGGAATTGGGGGGGGGGGGGAGAATGTAGGAATCACAGCTAAAGAATCCTTAACAGACAGCCATCCAATCTCTGCTTAAAAACTTCCAACAGAGGAGAGTCCAGCAACTTCCAAGGTAGTTTGCTCCATAAATGTTAAATTAAATCTTAATAATTCAGTTCCAAAGCTGGGCAACCCCTTTAACAAATAAAAATATGTTCTTCATCAGGAAAGACACTATACGAAGTTAATTTGTTCTGGAGGTCCGTTCTTAACCTGAAACTGTTCTTAACTAGAGGCGTGCTTTCGCGAATGGGGCCTCTTGCTGCCGTTCAGCCACCGGCACATGATTTCCATTCTCATCCTGGGGCAAAGAGGTAACTCTTCCAGGTTGGCAGAGTTTGTAACCTGAAGCGTTTGTAACCTGAGGCGTTTGTAACTTGAGGTAGAAGAAGAAGGAAGAAGAGTTTGGACTTGATATCCCGCTTTATCACTACCCTGAGGAGTCTTAAAGCAGCCAACATTCTCCTTTCCCTTCCTCCCCCACAACAAACACTCTGTGAGGTGAGTGGGGCTGAGAGACTTCAAAGTGTGACTGGCCCAAGATCACCCAGCAGCTGCATGTGGAGGAGCGGAGACTCGAACCCGGTTCTCCAGATTACGAGACTACCGCTCTTAACCACTACACCACAGTGGCCACACTGGTACCACTGTACAAAGCAGAGGTGAAGTTTCAAGGGGGAAGGAGTCCTGTTTTATATACTTTTGCTGAACCACAAGCTTCTAGGGAGCGGTTAACAATGACTGCAGAGTCTGTTATGATGGACCTCCTCCCCTCCCCACCTCTCTCTCTCTCTCTCTCTCTCTCTCTCTCTCTCTCTCTCTCTCACGCGCGCACACACACACACACACACACACCTGGTCCTGCTAGTTAAGGATGATGGGAGTTGTAGTCCAAAAACAGCTGGAGACCCAAATTTGGGAAACACTGCAGTCTGAAGGCACATTCTGAGCCCAGCCAAAAAGACAGAGATTACCGCACAACTACTAGAGGGACCTGCAAAAGCGAAACTCCCCAGAGGCGGTTTCAAGAGAAGCACAAAACTTAAATCCTCTTGGGCAATTACATTTTTGCATACACTGAAAAGCCTGGCAGGGCTCATTTCCCACTACTCTGAAATATTTAAATGCCTTGGCAAGAGCTCAGCCAGATGTGAGGAAGGTGTTTTGTGTGTGAGTGTTTGTGTGTGTGCCTGTCTGTGTCTCTCTATCCGTGTGTGTGTGTGTGTGAGAGAGAGAGAGGATGTTCAGTTCAGGACCAGAATCCAATCAACACCAGATAAGTGGAGCAATGTGTGTTTGTGTTTACAGAGATAAAAGTATTGTGGGGTGGGAAACTCCTGTTTGTCAGAAGTTCTGTACTGTGATCTCCCTTTCCTATGGCAAAGCCTAAGGCTGGTGCTTCTTTTATACTTCTCCTGACAGCATGCATGACTTTGCAGCGCAAAGGACATTTTTAAAATTATTTTTTTGCATCTAAAAGACAGTGGAATGGACTCACTCTCCTTCCTTGGAGGTTTTTAAGGCTTAAAATTTAAGCAGAGGTTGGAAGGCCATCTGTCATGGATGCTTCAGCTGAGATTCCTGCATCGCAGGGGGTTGGACTAGATGACCCCTGAGGTCCCTTCCAACTTTGCAATTCTATTATTCTATGACACAAAGCTGATCAGCTGAAGATTTGGAAGCGGGCAAATTCCCCAAATATAGGCTTCCCCCTATGCAATGCTAGCTTTTTTGGGGGGGTGGAGTATGAGGCTCCAGAACGATAAGGAGTTTTTTCTCGTGATGGCAACAGCAGGAACTGACCGGGAAGGGAGACTTATGTTAGGGATACGGTACAAGGTGAACAAATCCGCCTACCCTTACTCTGCCTCCAGTAAATGCGTTGCGCGGAGTAAATTGCCCGCTCGCAAATTCCTGCTGCGCGCCAGGCAGCTTAGCCCGCAAAGTCACTCACCGGCGCAGCCGCGCAGCAAAAAGTCAGCAGTCGCCACTAGGATGAAAACGCACCGCCGATGCAGCCGCGACTCCATCCTTCCTCGCCCTCTGCTCTCCTCTGAAACCCGCTGAGTTGCGGCCGCTGGAATCAGTGGCAAGAGCAACGATTGGAGGAGGGGAGGGGGGACATTTCTGCCAATCAGAAAAGCGCGTGCAGGTTCCGGGCAGGGGTTGCAGTGCTTTCGCGGTCGGAGAGCGCGGAAAACGAAAGAAAGTTTTTGCGCTGAGCTCCTGTCTGGATTTCCTGGCGCAAGAGCGTGAGAGAAGGAGCTTGGCTCCTAAATCAGACCCAAAGCCCTTCTCAGGACAGTATTAGGACCTTTAGAGGCCCTATGAATTTTGGTGCCCCCATGTGTACCTAATTCTAATTCTAATAATAATAATAATAATAATAATAATAATAATATGTTCACCTGCACCAAGTGGATTCTCCTTACCTGGAAGCTTTTAAAGAGAATTTGGATGGCCATCTGTCATCAACGGGTTGGACTAGATGATCCTTGCTTTGCCTATATTTATTTACCTACGGAATTTATAGAGTTGCCCCATAGCAGAAGGACTCTAGGAAGGCAGTGGGGTGTAGTGGTTAGAGTGTTGGCCTAGGACTAGGGAGATGATGATGATGATAATAAATAAATAAATAAATAAATAAATAAATAAATAAATAATTTTATTTATACCCCGCCTTCCCCAGCCAAGACCGGGCTCAGAGCAGCTAACACCAGGTATAAAAACAATTAATTAAACTACAACTTAAAAACAAGATTAAAATACATCATTAAAACGCAGCCTCATTTCAGTAGAAACTCAAATCAAAAACTTTTTAGGGGATGAAAACGTCAAATCTTCACCAAGGCCAACTATCCAGACTGGTCCTACGTGGGCCAGAAAAAAGCCAGGGAAGTCCCCAAATAGGCGTTCCATCACAGAAAAAAGCCAGGGGAAAGAAGGAAAGGGGGGGGGGATAAAGTTGATTCCAAGCCAAAGGTCTTGGATCCGGGTTCAAATCCTCACTGGGTCATTAAGCTCACGGGGTGACTTCGGAGTCAGTCACAGCCTCCTAACCAACCTCTCAGGGTTCTTTAACTGAAGCGGGGGTTATACCATGTACTTTTTGTAGAAAAAGGTGGGATATAAATGCAATAAGCTCTTCCGCTTACCTGCTTCAGAAAGCTGGAGGGGCCAGCAGGGTGGAGAGTCCCCAACCCAGCATCCAGAGAACTCTACATGGTCTCATTTGGGCCCACACCAGCTGCAAAATGCACCTGTCACATGGCTTATTTCTAAGACTGAGGAGAAGTCAATGACCATTTGGGGTACAGGGAGCTATTGGGAGTTGCTGGCCAGCAGTGGCCAACGCTGGTGATGGGGGAATCCAGAGTCAAAACAGTTTTGGATAAATCTGATGGAGAAACCACCCTGCTTCTGTTTTGAACCTTGGATTAGAATAATAGAATTGGATTAGAATACAGTGGTACCTCAGGTTACAGACGCTTCAGGTTACAGACTCTGCTAACCCAGAAACAGTACCTCGGGTTAAGAACTTTTCTTCAGGATGAGAACAGAAATCACGCAGCAGCGGTGTGGCGGCATCGGGAGGTCCCATTAGCTAAAGTGGTACCTCAGGTTAGGAACAGTTTCAGGTTAAGAATGGACCTCCGGAACGAATTAAGTTCTTAACCCGAGTTACGCAGAATTGGCGAAACTGAATTTGCAGGTATCCTGCTTTCCTTTATAATTACCGAAACAACAGTGATTTGTTCCTCCTCTTCTTGGAGGAAGTTCGGTGGACTCCCCCCCCCCCACCCCATCCTGATTGTTTGCATCTCAGTCCAACAATTATCAGAGGACACAGCAACATGAGGCAACTTCTTGCCCAGAAGAAGTTAAAAACCTCCAGTTTTGCTGAGACTGTAGCCTGAGATTTAGGAGAGTTGACAGGGACTATGACTATTTGAGGTGTCATAGAATCCCCTGAATTGAAACTGAATGCAGATTTCCAAAAAATAGCAAGGAGAGACAAGAAGGCCTTCTTAAACGAGCAATGCAAAGAAATAGAGGAAAACAATAGAATGGGGAAAACCAGAGATCTGTTCAAGAAAATTGGAGATATGAAAGGAACATTTCGTACAAATATTACCATAATAAAGGACAAAAGTAGTAAGGACCTAACAGAAGCAGAAGACATCAAGAAGAGGTGGCAAGAATACACAGAGGAACTATACCAGAAAGATATGGATGTCTCGTACACCCCAGGTAGTGTGGTTGCTAACCTTGAGCCAGACATCCTGGAGAGTGAAGTCAAATGGGCCTTAGAAAGCACTGTTAATAACAAGGCCAGTGGAAGTGATGATATTCCAGCTGAACTATTTAAAATTTTAAAAGATGATGCTGTTAAGGTGCTACACTCAATATGCCAGCAAATTTGGAAAACTCAGCAGTGGCCAGAGGATTGGAGAAGATCAGTCTACATCCCAATCCCAAAGAAGGGCAGTGCCAAAGAATGCTCCAACTACCACACAATTGCACTCATTTCACACGCTAGCAAGGTTATGCTTAAAATTCTACAAGGCAGGCTTAAGTAGTATGTGGACCGAGAACTCCCAGAAGTGCAAGCTGGATTTCAAAGGGGCAGAGGAACCAGAGACCAAATTGCAAACATGCGCTGGATTATGGAGAAAGCTAGAGAGTTCCAGAAAGACATCTACTTCTGCTTCATTGACTATGCAAAAGCCTTTGACTGTGTCGACCACGGCAAACTATGGCAAGTTCTTAAAGAAATGGGAGTGCCTGATCACCTCATCTGTCTCCTGAGAAATCTCTATGTGGGACAAGAAGCTACAGTTGGAACTGGATATGGAACAACTGATTGGTTCAAAATTGGGAAAGGAGTACGACAAGGCTGTATATTGTCACTTGATACTAAACCCAGCAACAATGCCTCTGGTTTTTTAGAAACTGAACTCCTAGATATCTTTTTAAGCTCTTCATGTTTCATAATCCAGAATTGTTTCAGCACTTTGCATCCCCACCACATATAATACATCGTCCCCACCTCTGTTTTGCATCTCCAACAGAATTTGATTTTTTAAATATACATCTTTGATAGCTTTACTGGGATGAGGTACCAGCAGTAAAACATCTTCATTATATTTTCCTTAAATACCACGCTGTAAAATTTATATCGGTTTTCCATAATTTTTCCCATCTGTCTAAATTAATTGTCTGGCCCAGCTCTTATGACCATTTTATCATTGGTTCTTTTATTACCTCATCTTTCAGTTCCCATTCAAGGAGCAAGCTGTATATTTTTGATATTATTTTCCTATTTGGTTGCAGAAGTTCACTTTGTAATTTTGATGTTTTCTGTTCAAATCCTTTTTTCCCCCTTGGTTACAGATATGCAATACCTGGTGATATTGTAGCCAGCTGTTTTTTTTGGTTTGCAACAGAAAAAACCAAATTGGAAATGGAGTTGTTAGACACTAAAGTTAAGAATATGTCTAAAATGTATAATTTGTTGTTGGAGTGGCATACAAAGGATGAAAAAGTTGAATCGGTTATGATTGACTGGGCAAGAGATGTGGGACATAATATAATGATGGAGGACTGGGAGAGGCTATGGAGGAAAGGGGTTAAGTTCACTGCATGTACGATGTTAAAGGAAAATATTATGAAGATGATGTATAGATGGTACTTAACCCTGTAAAACTGGCAAAGATTTATCACAATAGTGATAACCTTTGTTGGAAATGTAAAGAATAAGAAGGTACTTTTTTCCATATGTGGTGGACTTGCTAAATTGCGCTTTGCGCATGCACAGAAGCGCCGGATCGCAACCCGCGCATGCACAGATGCGCTGCTGTGAAGTTGCGAACGCTATGGGTTGCGAACGTGCATCCCGCGTGGATCATGTTCGCAACCTGAGCGTCCACTGTACTGGTCACAGGTATGAATCCAGTACAGAGCAAGCATGTAACTATGTATTTGGCTTTCGGCACAACTCACACATACCGCTCTGTCTATTGTTCTCCTTCCTAGCAACTACGTGAGTGTGGGGAGCGGGGAAGGTCCACCAATTTTTTTCTGTGGCAGAGCAGCTTCTTTCACAATGCTTCTGGTGCTTCGCTTCAGGTCTGGGAGGGGAACCCAGTATGGTATCTGGGAGAGCCATTGCCTGTCAGTGAGAAGCTGGACGAACTAGGTGAACCAAGAATCTGGCTCAGCGTAAGGCGGCTTCCGACCTTCCGACCACCATCGTGCAGCCTGCTTCACCATTTACCTGCATCCCATCATGCCAACATTTCCTTTTGCCCATCTGAGAGCCCATGAACCAGTTGGGTGGGGATCAGTTTTGTTATTGTTGTTGTTACATCATGTTGCAACCACCTCAAAGTTTGTTTGTTTTTTAAATCAAGCAGTGTATAAATAAATACATAAATTTAAAAAAGATTGGCCGAAGCAACTTGTTTGTCGTCGGTTGTTTTTTTGTGCTATTTATTGATGGCAATTTCGTTTTTTTTTCTTTTAAGCTGTATTCATTGTGATAGTGGTACTACTAGATACATTCATTATATTATTATTTACCCTCCCCTCATGGAATATTTTATTTATTTATTTATTTATTTATTTATTTATTTATTGTTTTTATTAAAGATTTTCTTGGGTTACAAAAGACCATACATTGTCTCTATTTTCATATCATAAAGTCCTTTCTATAGATCAGTTATATTTGATGTAAGGTTTTAATGTTGTATATCGTATAAGGTTGGGGGAGAAAAGAGGTAGGGAGAGAGAGAAAAAAGGAAGGAAAGAAGGAGATAGTAAACTTTCATTTTTCTACATAGTGTATGTGTGAGGTTTTGTTTCAGCATCACATGGGTAGATTTTCTTTCTATTCATTTATTAGTTTTCATTGACAGTGAGAGAGATGGGTATTATTTTCAGGCAATTTTTATCTTGTGATTAGGAAGGGACAATGCAATGTTAATACTTATACTCTCTAATATTTAGAAAGGGAACAGAAAATTCATCTGAGTTCTCTTCCTGCTGTGAGCTCTGCTCTTTCGCAAGGTTCCTGTGGGCGCAGGGGAGTCCCCCATGAGGCACAGTGAGACATTTGCCTTGGGGACAGCTGGGAGGGGCAGAAGATCTGGGTCCAAGGAGCATGGTGCTCACTGTCTCCTGTTCTTGCCACCCTCCTCCTTGCTAAATATAATTGGTTTAATTCACACTGAGATGAAAATGTAGCTTTAAAATGGGAAATGGCTGAATGTGTATTAATGAAGCGTTGCTAATATTGGGGCTTTTCCAAAGCTATTTCCTAAAGCACTGAGCTCCTTAATTTGTTAACAAATTACTGTTGGTTGTTTTCTACTCTGTGCTGAGAGTGAACCTTTGATCTTGTGATGAAGGAATTGAGTTGCAAACCTCCATTTCCAAAGGGAGTTGCCTTTAGTCTTTCTCTCCCAAGCTCCATGGAGTGAGGATGTACCGTATTTTTCGCCCCATAGGACGCACCTATTTTTCGCCCCATAGGACGCGCTGTGTCTCCCAGCTGTCCCCGGAGCTTGTGGGGCAGGCAGCGGGGAGAAGCGCTCTTCTCCCCGCCGCCCGCCTTCAGATCAGGTCCGGGGACAGCGGGAAGACGCGCTGCGCCTCCCCACTGTCCCCGGAGCTTGCGGGACTGGCGGTGGGGTCTCCCCGCCGTCAGCCTCCAAACCACTTCGGGAGACAGCGGGATGGCGGCGTTCTGCCTCCCTCTGTCCCCCGACCTTGTGGGGCTGGCGCTGGGGCTCTCCTGAAGCCTGGAGAGCGAGAGGGGTCGGTGCGCACCGACCCCTCTCGCTCTCCAGGCTTCAGTGAAAGCCTGCATTCGCCCCATAGGACACACACACATTTCCCCTTCATTTTTGGAGGGGAAAAAGTGTGTCCTCTAGGGCGAAAAATACAGTAAATGAAGGGAGAGTAAACAGCCTGAGGCCAATGGTGGCTGGAAAGCGGGCTGAGGAGGAGAGAGTTCTGCTTCTAGGTCTGCATGGATTATTCCATATTTTCCTAAGATGCTGAGCCTGTGCTGGACAGCACAAGACATTGTATGGATATTCTGGTAGTATCTTTGATTATTGTGCTCTGTTTTTGAAGAGTTCTGCCACTAAAACTTTGAATAATATTTTTATGGGCCTGCACAATGATTTCTTCCAGAAGGAGTCAGTTCTTGTGCTTCCAGTCACTTCAGACTGTGCAATATTAATATCTGCAACACTCCTGAGCTGCCACATCCCTTGCAGCTCCCATTGCATCCCTCCCTTCATGACCTGCCCATTTCCAGTCTTCTTTTTTCTCGCCCGCCACCTTCAGCACACCAGGACTTCTGGATACCAAGAGATACCAATGGAATATGTTTCTTTTCATTTTGAAAAACAATGCATAAGCAATTTATTTGTAATGCTATCTTTAAAAAAGATTCTCTTAATGAACAGCATTCATTATTATTGAATTGTGATAAGGATTTCTTATTAGGCAAAATATATAAACAGTATTCAGAAAAGAATTCCTAAATCAGGTAAAAAATGAACAGTACTAAGGATGGAATATGATTCAAATGATAATTTTGTGTTCTGATTTCCAAAACAATAGCTTTTAAGGAGCTACATTCCCAACTCATGTGTCCTGCCTTTATTGCTACCATGCTGGCTATCAATTGCAAAAACCAAAAACATATTTTAGGAATCAGGTGCCATATTAAGCCTTTGTAGTCAGGTGCTCCTTTGTATTCAGACTAGGCCTGAGTACAATAATGTAGCACTTGGGAAGGAAGATGCAGCCCAGAAGCCCAGCACTGGAGGCCAAGATGGAGAAGATCTGCACGGCAACCATGTACTTCCCCTTGGTGCTCAGGTAGGTGGGCACAAAGGACACCCAAACACTGCAGAAGACCAGCATGCTGAAGGTGATCAGCTTGGCTTCATTGAAGGCCCCAGGCAGCTTCCTGGCTAGGAAAGCCACTGTGAAGCAGATGGCAGCCAGGAAGCCCATGTAGCCAAGGACAGTGTAAAACATGGCAACAGATCCTTCATTGCATCGCAGGATGATCTCTCCAGCCTGGGAGTGCATGTCTGAGTCTGAGAATGGAGGAAAGCTACCCAGCCAGATGACACAGATGAGAATTTGGATACTGGAACAGGAAATGACAATGGAATTAGCCAGACTCTTACCCAGCCATCTCCTCACCCTGTTTCCTGGCTTAGTGGCCAGGAAGGCCAGCACAACAGTAATAGTTTTTGCTAACAAAGAAGAGACAGCAACTGAGAAGATGATGCCAAAGGCTGTCTGCCTGAGAAGGCAGGTCACTTTCCTTGGCCGGCCTATAAACAGAAAGGAGGACAAAAAGCAAAGGAGGAGGGAGACAAGGAGGATGTAGGAAAGGTCCCTGTTGTTGGCTTTGACTATGGGAGTGTCAAGATATTTAATGAATATTCCTAAAACAAGGCCTGTGATTAAGGCCAAAAACAGGGCAGTGGAAGCCAAGAGGGTCCCCAGATATTCATCATAGGACAGGAAGGTGATAATCTTGGGGATGCATTGATCTCTGTCCTTGTTAGGGTGTTGATCTTCTGGACATTTGGTGCAGTGGTCTGCATCTGGAAAAGAAGAGTGTCTACATGAACATTTTCCTGCAGACTAGCAAAAAAGCAGGTCAATTTTGAATCCAGTCAGCCCCTACAAATGGAAACAGTGATGGGACTTACTATTTCTGCTAATCAACACAGGGAGTTGGTCCATTCTGTGTAGGTCCCTCGTGCTGATAACCTCTTATTCACCTCCCAAGGAAGAACTTGGAGTGATCTTGAAGCTCCAAGTTAATGGCGGCTACATCTGATCTCACCCCTAGCACCAGGTTTTGTCACTGGAACTCTAGTCTTCACAGTACAAACCAAACATCCTAGCTACTTTGCCACACTGACTGGTCAAAAGCAACAACACTGTCTAATTCTTATATACTCAAGGCTGTCTCAGTGGTACCTGGAAAGCTTTATTAAGACTGAGTAAATCACTGTTGAAACTTTATTAAATTCAAACATAAGATTATACTTGAATATTCATCAAGAAAGGACATATATTGTACTTTTTGCTGCACATTCCTCTGAAGTCTCCTACCTTCCTGAGTGGAGATCATCCCTTCTGCACATGGAGCACAACTATGGCAGCAAATGGGTTTCCCTTCCTGAACCTTCTTGGCATATCCAGGGCGACAGCTTTTGGTACACCTGGACTGAGGAAGGGTCTGACCAAAAAGAGAAAAAAGCATCAATGAAAGACTGTTAGCAAGTAACTTCTGGGCCAGTGTATAGTCTCAGTCTATGTGGAATAGACACGGCTATGGTGTTCGATGCTTTTTTTGATCCATGGGACAAAACAGAGGGTCATAGTCCTTGGGACACAGTTGAAGCAGAAATAGACAATAACAGAGAATTACATGGAGACTGTATTGCCCTTGGATTTAGGAGTCAAAGATCAAATCTGTAGTTATTGAAATTGTTTAAAAATATCAAAATCCAGAGAAACCAACAAACAGAAAGGTATTTGGAGCAGCTGTGTTGTGCTCAATTCTGAAGTCTGGCATGCTTCCTGACTGCTGCAAAAGCCATGCCCCAGTCATATTCTAACCTGCTTTTCCATTTTCATGTTTCTTATTTTGACTTTCCTCCATTCATCTCCTCCCCCGTATAGTTTTAGCTCATTACTTGAATAGGCATAAATTATACTATTGTTTCCCCCAACAGAGAATCAGAGCTCAACATATCTCTAAAAGGGAATACAATGCAACCAAACCTGGTTGAGCAGTCTGGACCACACAAGAACCTCTTGGTCAATGGTGAATTTTGGGCCTGAGGATCCCTGTCTGCTTATGCTCCCAAATTTCACGGCACCAAAGGATTTGTTGGGAAATGGCACCCAGTTCACAACGTCAGATTCGACTGTCAACTGCCCATTCTCATCCAAATACACTCCTTCCATGGAAGTATTATAAAACTGGGAGCTTCCCAGGAAAGGGTGAAGCTAGAACAGGAAAGAAAGCATGCACATTTAGAAAAGAAGAAAATTATCTAGATAACATAGCCTAATTGCTGAAGATCTTTGTACAGACTGACAATGGGATCTTTAGCCCATTGTTTCTGCTTCAGCCTTTTGGGACAGACTAAAGCCGTGAGATACATAAGCTTTATTCTGCACCCTCAGAAGAATTCTGCAAGGATGAGTTTCCTTGGCTAGTAATAGCATGAAGCCTTGCTAAGGAATCAGGTGGTAAAGTGGAGGCAGATTGTTTTCTCATCTCAGCAGCAAAATTAAGATGTGGGTAACAGTACAGTAAATGGAGGCAAAGTAAAGTCAAGCCTGAATGGAATTCACAGCACCCATGCCTGTTCAGCCTGTGAGGAAAACAGCAATACCTGCCAAGACTGTATCCTTTGATATTTCAGCCTCTTTTTACCCTTCGCCACCATCTGATTGGATTTGGAGGAAAGCGCAGCCCTTAAGGCGCCTGCCAGAGCAAGGACAAGATTGTAAATACTGTAACTATCCAGAGACAGGATTTTCTCAACCACTTCATCACGCAGGGACTCCAGAGTGTCATCTTCCCTGCACCTTCTCCTTCCTTTTACAGACAAGATGTGCTTTGAATATGAACACTTAAATGATTTCTCCCCAAACTTCCACATAGGATAGTAAAATGTTTCATAATTATCATAGTTTGGCCTTCTTTTAATACGAGTTAAGAAAGAGAAAAACCCATGGATGTGCAGGGGAGAAAGCAGATCATAAGACAAATTCAAGGTGAGATCCCACAAAGCTGTTGTGATCCAGACTTTCCCCACAATGGGTCTTATATGCTTTTCAACCACTTTTTGCAAATAACGTATTATACTAAAGAAGTAATGATTCTCCCCATAGTAGACTAATACATTGACTTCGTTCCACCTGAAAAATGTTTTGAGAGGCACTGTTATTCTCGTATCCAGTACTGAGGTGCTAAGTGAGAAGGCAGCACAAATTGTGTTCCTGGTTAGCAGGGGCTTCAAGGTCCTCATGAACCTCTCTCCATTGTTGGTGTCTGGAGCAACGAGGCCAATCCAAGTCCAGTTGAAGTGCAGGAGAAGTTGGACTATCCCCAGATACTGATGTTCCTCTTTGGGGACCATTCGGTAGATAAAAGGGAACTGAGTTTTGTCATTAAGAGTGTCAGAAACAAAACCATAACTGACCTAGTAAAGAAGAGAAGAGATTAGTGTTGTCACCCCCAACAAAATCCCAAATGTAGTACTTTGTACTTGCCTGAATGATAACTTTTCTCTGACATGGAAAACAGAGAAAAGACACAGTTTCATGGGAGCTAAGAAGCTTTACTCCAGGGAGCTTAACAACACCCCATACAGTGGTGCCTTGCAAGACGAAATTAATTCGTTCCGCGAGTTTTTTCGTCTAGCGAAGCACGAAATCCCATAGGAATGCATTGAAAATCAATTAATGCGTTCCTATGGTCAAAGAAGTCCAAACAAAGCCAAATTTGTTACAACAAGAGTTTATTAACTGCTCTTTAAAGTCACACATACTGTAAAGAGCATTTCAAAAATTGAAGGAACAATAAATTAAGTTTCTAAACATGACAGAAAAACATTTAAAAATCAACAAAGTGTACAGTACATTTTCTAAGACTCTGGGGGACAACTCGAAGAAGGTTCCTCTTCCACCCTTTGCTTCTTGCTGAAGAACCTGTCCATGGTCTGCTGCTTCATCCGCCTTTTCAGCACCTCCCTGAAAGACGACATGACCCTCGTATCAAAAGTGTTCGCAAGGTCACGTGTCAGGTCCTTGTCAGGGTGGTGCCGCTGTGCAAAAGCCTGCACATCTTTCCACTTCTGGCAAATGTCCCTCAGTTCTTTGGAGAGGACACAACCTCCAGGAACTCCGCTGCAAAGTCTTCAGCCGCAGGAACATCAGAACTGGCAGCCTTTCCATGCCTGACCACGCTGTGGATTCCAGATCTCGTCTTGAACCGGTCAAACCAGCCTCTGCTTGCCTTGAAGACTTCTGGCTCGCCTGAGGTTCCTGGCTGTTCCCGGATGAGGTCTGCGTGCAAGGCCTTGGCCTTCTCACAAATGACGGCCTCAGTCACTGTGTCCCCTGCACGCTGCTTCTCTTCTAACCAGATGAGCAGCAACTTCTCGACCTCCTCCAGAACAGCTGGGCGGTTCTTCACGATCCTGGTGACTCCCTTGGCTGCATCAGTCGCAAGGATCTTCTCCCTCATCTTCAGGATGGTCCCGATGGTCGATGGATTCCTCCCGTACTCCCTGGCGAGGTCTGTCACACGCATTCCACCGTCGTGCTTCCGGATGATCTCCTTCTTCATTTCCAGCGTCACCTTCTCCTTCTTCCTCTTGCCAGCCTCTGCAGCAGCAGTCTTCTTGGGTCCCATGGCAGCACAGCTCCTACCTTCGCAAACTCAAAAAAAAAAAAAGAATCAGTGCTTCACATCCAAAAAATTCAAAAGCACCCAGCCACCCACCACACCACACAGAAATTCAAACCCAGAACCAAGTCCTAGAATTCCAAACACCCAACCCAAAATCCAAAAACCCCCAACAAAGTTTTAAAAGTTTAACTTACCAAATGGCTGCAAAAGAAGTTTTGGAAAAGCTTCAAAAATCACCAAAGTCTTCTAAAACCTCAAATGGCTGCAAAAGAAGTTTTGGAAAAGCTTCAAAAATCACCAAAGTCTTCAAAAACCTCAACTGTTCCCCCAGCCACCCACCCACCACACAGAAATTGCAAACCCCTCCCCAACTGTTGCAAACCCCTCCCCAACTGTTCCCCCAGCCCCTCCCCAACTGTTGCAAACCCCTCCCCAACTGTTGCAAACCCCTCCCCAACCATTCCCCCAGCCAGCCACCACACAGAAATTCAAACCCAGATTTTTTTTTTAAAAAAACAACATGGCCCAATGGTCACAGAAAATCATAAAAATGCAGAAAAAACCACACAAGCTTCCAGATACTTGCAAACCCCTCCTCAACTGTTTCCCCAGCCACCCACCACACAGAAATTCAAATCCAGAATTTTTTTTTTAAAAAAACAACATGGCCCAATGGTCACAAAAAATCATAAAAATGCAGAAAAAAACACACAAGCTTCCAGATTCTTGCAAACCCCTCCTCAACTGTTCCCCCAGCCACCCACCACACAGAAATTCAAACCCAGAATTTTTTTTAAAAAAAACAGCAGAGTGGCCCAATGGTCACAAAAAATCATTAAAATGCAGAAAAAAAACACACAAGCTTCCAGATTCTTGCAAACCCCTCCCTAACACCAAGTCCTTGAATTCCAAACACCCCAACCCAAAATCCAAAAACCCCCAAAAAAGTTTTAAAAGTTTAACTTACCAAATGGCTGCAAAAGAAGTTTTGGAAAAGCTTCAAAAATCAGCAAAGTCTTCAAAAACCTCAAAAAAGGCTACCACACCGCGTGCTATGAGTTGCTCCTCGAAGTCAAGTCGCAACTGCACCTCTTCAAGCAATGCACCCTGGATATTAACGGTTTTAAGAAAAAGGAAACAAACTTGCAAGACGTTTTCGTCTTGCGAAGCAAGCCCATAGGGAAATTCGTCTTGCGAAGCAGCTCAAAAACCGCAAAACCCTTTCGTCTAGCGTGTTTTTCGTCTTGCGAGGCATTCGTATTGCGGGGCACCACTGTATTTAGCTGTTTGCTTTCAAAAAACGGTGACAGAGTCTTTGGAATGGATTGTGTTTGCTTTATGTTATGCCCTGATTGCATTTTTTTACTGCTTTTAGAACATGTATCTTGTAGCAGTTTTATTTAATTGTATATGATCTCATCCTTATTTCTTCATTAAAGTGTCACATTTAAGAAGAAAGAACAGATTTTGTTAAAAAGAAAAGAGCTCACACAAAATTACAATGAACATTTTTAGCTCACATTAGACCTATAATAGCCATCAGTTCTTCTATATAAAATTAAGCTCTAAAATTAGTTGCTATAAACCCTACAGATGTCTAAATAGATTGCTGAGGTATTTGTAGTAGAAGAAACCTGCCTTGTGGCATACACTATAATCCTCCTCCTAATATCATCAGCTCAATTTCTTTAGTGAGAAATGTGTGCAGATTTATCCCAAATAAATGTACAAGCTTTGGAGAATAAATATAGCTTGACAACAACAACACATTTCATTTTGTGTTTATGATGGCACAATGCAAAATCATAACTATTTACTGACTTATTTCTATGTTCCATTTTTAAATATTAGAATTATTATTATATTATTATTATTATATTAGAATATTAGAATTCATTTGGGTTCTCCTCCCAGTTGTTTCTCCTCTAGTTGGTTCTGCATTTTTATACTGCATTCCCTGTATTTCATCGTGGTCTAAACCACTAACTCTCTTGGGATTTCTGATCTGAAGGTCAACGGTTTGAATCCCCATGATGGAGCGAGCTGCTATTGCTCTGTCCCAGCTTTTGCCAACCTAACAGTTCAAAAGCATACCAGTGCAAGTAGAAAAATAGGTACTGCTGCAGTGGGAAGGTGCATGGAAATGGTGTTCCGTTGTGCCAGAAGTGGTTTAGTCCTGCTGGCCACATGACCCAGAAAGCTGGCTGTGGACAAACGCCGGCCCCCTCAGCCTGAAAGTGAGATGAGTGCTGCACCCCATAGTCACCTTTGACTGGACTTAACAATCCAGGGGTCCTTTACTTCTACCTTTTACCTTCCTAGATACAATACTAGTGAATCACAGAATCGTCAAATTGGAAGGGACCACAAGGGCCATCAAGTCCAACCCCCTGAAATGCAAAATCTTATGTGGCTAGAGTTCTGATTAAGACTGAATGCATATATTTGGGACTTCCGGGTTAGCACCTCCGGCAATGGCGGATTTCCTCTGATCGGGAGGAATCCGCTCCGTGGAAATCAGGGTCTGGACCGCCACGGCGAGGCGGAGACCCACTAAAAACCACAGGCGGGAGAAGCCTGTGGACGTGGGATTCGGCTGGCACCTTTTGCGCCTCCCCTACTCGCGGGGAAACCCAGTTTTGGGGATCCGGAGTGACGTGGGGTGAGCGGCGCGGTGCTTCGAATCGACTGCTTCTTTCACGGAATGAAGCCGCATTGCTGTTGCCAGAGAGCGCTGACTTTTTCCTGTGGACAATTGGACTTTAAACAACTACCCGTGAGTAGAACGGAAAATTGGATCTTTAAACATCTTAATTTGGCACCGAAACGGGAAGGTTTCAAACAGGAAGTCCGCCTTCCTCTTTTGTAAAGACATTGCAAGCTAAAGTCTGGAAAGCCTTTTGTAAAGGAGTAAATCTCCATCGGTTAAAATTACTAAACCCCCCTTGGAAGCAGGAGAAGAGGGGGGAAATTTTAGATCGCCTAAGCCTGCAGGAGAGAAAGTGAAGAAAGATAAATTACCACCGTTTTGAACCTGGGAACGGGCTGCCAGTAAGATCGACGTTTTGGGAAAGTTCATTGACTGTGAATAAAACGTATGTTGACAGATAGTTAAATAAGAGAAATATATTGTTTCCATTGTTTCCTTTTGCACTTAAAAAGGAGCAAAAGTAACTGAAAATCGAAACTAACTTTGTTGCTGGATCTGCGTTTAAAAGGATGGATACAAATAGAAATTGTTTCCCTAGAGGGAGCTTTTGAAACTGTTGCAGGAGTGGAGCTGGGGAATTTTCCAGCTGCAGAGATTAAAGACCGTGAGAATCAGAGCTTGACCTTGGACAAGAATGTTGACAGAAGAAGCCTTAGTGATTGCATTTTGCAAGACAAGTGCTTTATTGGAACAGCTTCATGAGAAGACGGATGTGATGATTATTAAAATTGACAATTTGGGACAAATTGACTGATTTGGGACAAAAAGTGAATACCTATACAGAAACTACTCAGGAATTGATTCAGGAATCTGTTTTGACATGGCAAGCTGTGGAGAAGACGAAGGAGAAAGTTGTTGTTGAACCTCAAGTAATACAAGTGGAGAGAGCCCCGGCCTTACAGAGGCAATTTGATGAACATAAGCTGTTGCCTTTTACGATTGAATCTAGAGAAAGCCAGATTTGGAGGAATGGAGTCTCGCTTGGATTGGAGAAGGAAAGTTGGATAGACCCCTTATGCAGGGATGTTCTGGCTTTTGGGATCTGGATTTGGGTCAGGGGGAGATTGGAGTTGTGGGGGCCTTTAGCTTTGGAGGGATTTTGAAACACGCTCTGAAATATCTTTTGGACTTTAGTTCTGACTATGGAGAATGGGCTGACCTGTCGAGAAGGAATAAAGACATTGTTAGGTTGGAGTTTCCCCGAGATCTACTCCTCAGTGCCAAAGGAAGGAAATTAAGAACAAGATCAGCAGAAGATAAAGTAAAGTGCATGTATAAATATGAAGAAGATCTGCAGAAGGGACATGGAAAAGAGTTAAGAGCCTCGGACAGAAGATCACCAGGTTGATGGACCATATGGAATTGATAGAAAGGACTGACAGAATCCGAGACCAGGGAGAAGAGACGGTGGAAGAAGATTGGAAAAAAAAAGTTTAAAAATTTATTTAGAGAAATATTGTAAAATTAATGAGTGTTAGAAAAATGTTGGAATGAAATTATACGGCTTTAGTAGAAATGTTATAAGGAGTTAAGTATAAATAAGTTTTAGGGTTTTAATGGTAAGATAAGGTCAAAATAAATTAAGACAATTAAATGACAGAAAACAGTGAAAGATGGAAAGGATTTGTTGAAATAATTAATAACTAGAATACAAAAAAGGGAGGTGTGAGGAGGTCGATGAAACAAGTTAATGAAAGATAAAGATATGGAAATATTGGATGTGTTTTTAATTGTTTTTGCTTTTGTTTTTGTTTTGATGTATTGTGTCTTTTGGTTTTTTATATGTACTGTAATGTATTGATTTGTATTGTTTACTTTTTCTCTTTCTTTTTTACTTCTTTCTGTAATTCTTAAACTTTTAATAAATATTATTTAAAAAAAATAAATGAAAGCATATATTTGACCTTGAAATTCCTGAGCAACTATGAGTGTGGACAAAGCAGATAAGGGAGCAGTAAGACGAGGCTCTAGAAGTACAGCTTTTGAGGATAATGTGATGCAACTGTTGTCAGAAATTAAAGATGATATAAAACACAATTCACAGGGTATTGAAAAATTGAATAAAATTTTTGAAGACTTGAAAGTGGAGCTGAAAGAGGTGAAGACTGAGGTCACAATCCATGAGACAAGATTGACACAGCTTGAGACAGTTAGAGTGATTGATCTAGAAAGATTACAGTATGAATATTCAAATTTGATTGCATTTCTTCAGATGAGGAACAGGAATCTCATTTAAGATTGAGAGGTGTGCCTCAACAGGAAGAGGATCGGCTCAGGGAGTGGATGATAGATCAACGGGTGGTGTGGTGGGATTTGAAAAAAGACGAAGTTGACTCTTGGATAGAAAAGGCCTACAGATTTGGTCCCAAAAAAGATTCAAAAATCACCTATGACTGCATAGTGGTCTTTAAGACTAAAGAACAAAGAGATACCATTTTGGGCCTGCATTATAAAAAAGGTTTAAAAATACAGGATAAAGCCATCATCCTTTTCAAAGAGATCCATTAACACTTTTTGAGCTTGAGATCCAACTATACAGACCTGACCACCATTCTGAGGAGGGAAAATATTTTCTTCAGGTGGGAATTCCCAGAGGGCCTTTCCTTCAAATTTGAAGGAAGAAAACAAAGAATTAAGATTGTTGGAGAGAAAGAGTCAAACTTGGATTGGAAAGCCCACAGCTTCAAGGGGTGGGAGCAGCGACCCCGTAACTTATCACGATGGCTTTAAGAATTTATTCTTGGAACGTGAATGGTTTAAATTCCCTTCAGAAAAGGAGGAAGGTTCATCATGTTTTGGCAAAACAGAATTTGGATGTAATTTGTTTACAGGAAACACTCATTACAAGACTACATAGAAAAATCTTATTGAATAAGAAACTTGGTCAAGAATTTATTTCTTCAGACAGTAAAAAAAAAGAGTGGTTTTCTACGTTAAAGAAAAATGGAATCCAAAATTGATTTTTAAAGATGAGGCAGGAAGATACATAGCAGTGGAAATTACAGCACAAGGCGAAAAGTACTTGCTATTGGGAATCTATGCACCCAATGATGGTAAGGCAGATTTTTTAAAAAAACTGGAAACAAGCCTCTTGGAACACTTGGATTATAAATTAATCTTAATGGGAGATCTGAATGGAGTGGCATCCACTTTAATGGATAGAACTCAGACACAAAAAATATTGAATGCTGGCAGACTACCTAAGACTTTTTTTAATATAACTCATAAATTTGACCTTTCAGATATATGGAGAGTCAGAAATCCAACTGAAAAAGACTTCACATTCTATTCAGATGCAAATCAATCATTTTTGAGAAAATGATTATTTATGGCTATCCAGAGACTTGGTTCCCAGAGTAACAAAAACAGAAATTTGCCCTAAAACTTGCTCAGATCATAATGCAGTATTTATGGAAGTGAAATTGTCTATACAGGGATCTTTCAGATGGAGAATGAATGATGACTTGCTGAGGAGTGAGCAAATTGTAAATAAGGCCCAAAAAGCCTTAAAGGACTATTTTGAGATTAATATGAACCAGGGCATGGAAACAAGGGTTATTTGGGACCCCAGTAAAGCTGTAATGAGAGGGTTCCCCATTCAACAAAATTCAATTAGGAGAAAGATACAGAATGAAAAGAAAGATAAAATTTTGGACCAACTAAAAGATGAAGAGAAGATCCTTAGAGGCAATCCAAAGAATTTGCAGGTACAAAAGGAAATTAAAGCTTTACAGACTCATTATTCACAGATTATCAATCAATAAATAGAATGGGCATTAAGAATGATGAGACAAAGGAACTTTGAATCTGCAAATAAATGTGGGAAACTTTTAGCTCAGCAATTAAAAAAGAGGCAAAAACAAAGTACTATTACAAATATTGTATCAGATGGAAAGTCTGTAGAGAACCCTGTGGACATAAGAAAATGCTTTCAGAAATATTACAAACAACTGTATAAAAAGAGTAAAGAAGATAAAGTTAAAATTGAGCAATTTATTAGAACTAATGGTTTGCAGAAGATTCCCGAAGGTAAAAGGATCCTACTAAATGGATTAATTACAAGACGGGAGGTTGAAAATGCAATAAATTCAATGCAACTTGGCAAGGCCCCGGAACCAGATGGTTTGTCAGCAAAATATTATAAGATCCTGAAAGACTGGCTCATTCAGCCATTGTTAGAAGTTTGCAACAAGATTATAGGAGGGGACAAAGCACCCGAAACCTGGAAGGAAGCTTACATTACTCTGATTCCAAAACAAGATCAAGATAGATCTAATGTTAAAAATTATAGACCAGTCTCCTTACTCAATGTGGATTACAATTTTTTTGCCAATATATTGGCCAATAGGCTGAAGTAGGTCTTGTCAGAATATATTCATAAGGACCAGGCAGGTTTTCTGCCTGGAAGACACATGAAAGATAATATTAGGAATCTAGTAGATATTTTGGAAAAATTGGAAGCAAGAAAAAATTGTAAAGCAATGTTAATGTTTATTGATGCGGAGAAGGCCTTTGACAATGTATCTTGGAGTTTTATGAGACAAAATTTAGAAAGCATTGGGGTTGGTCAGGAATTTTTCAATGGTATTAATGTGATCTATCGTGAACAAAAAAGCTAAAATTATAGTAAATAATGTGGTATCGGAGGAAATAAGAATTGAGAAGGGTACCAGGCAAGGGTGCCCACTTTCCCCTCTGCTTTTTATTTCAGTTCTCGAGGTCTTGTTAAGCATGATAAGGAAAGATGAACAAATTAAAGGTATATCAGTAGGATCAAAACAATATAAATTAAAAGCCTTTGCTGATTATTTGGCACTGACACTTCAAGACCCAGACTCCAGTGCAGTAAAAGCACTGGAGATGATACAGGAGTTTGGACAGGTAGCAGGATTTAAGTTAAATAAGAGCCAAACCAAAGTGCTAGAGAAAAATTTGGACAATGAGGAAAGGAAATTATTACAAGAAAAGATGGGCCTAGTCTTTGTGGAAAAAGTAAAATATATGGGGGTTAATTTGTCAGTGAAAAAATTGAATTTATATAAAGACAACTATGAGAAATTATGGAATGAAATTAAGAGAGATCTTGAGAGTTGGTCAAATTTAAAATTATCATTAATGGGTCGGATCTCGGTAGTTAAGATGAATGTATTGCCAAAGATGTTGTTTTTGTTTCAAGCCCTCCCAATTATTGACAACGTGAAATGTTTTAAAGAATGGCAGAAAGTTTTGTCTAGATTTATCTGGCAGGGGAAAAAACCCAGAATTAAATATAAATTACTAACAGATTCTAAAGAAAGAGGAGGATTTTCCCTGCCAGATTTGAGGATTTACTTTGAAGCCGCAGCTCTCTGTTGGGTTAAGGAATGGATACAACTAGATAACGTGGATGTTTTAGATTTGGAGGGATCTGACAATGTGTTTGGATGGCATGCTTATCTATGGTATGACAAGACAAAGGCCCATAATGGTTTTAAAAATCATGGAGTTAGAAAACCCTTATATAATGTTTGGATAAAATACAAAGATCTTTTAGGAAGGAAAACACCCAGATGGCTTTCGCCAATGGAAGCAAAGGCCCAGAAAAAGTTAAATATGGAAACTAATTGGTTGAGATATTCAGATCTATTACTGGAAGAAAAAGAAGGATTTAAATTAAAACCATTTGATCAAATTAAAGATAAAATAAATTGGTTACATTACCATCAGATCAATGAATTGTATAAATTAGATAAGAAAAATGGTTTTGCATCAGAAAAAACCAAGTTGGAAACGGAGTTGTTAGATTCTAAAGTTAAAAATTTATCTAAAATGTATAATCTATTGTTGGAGTGGCATACAAAGGACAAACAAGTTAAATCTGTGATGATAGATTGGGCAAGAGATGTTGGACATAACATAATGTTTGAAGACTGGGAAAGGTTGTGCAGGAAAGGGGTTAGGTTCACTGCATGTTCGGTGTTAAAGGAAAATATTATGAAAATGATGTGTAGGTGGTACTTAACTCCTGTAAAACACAATACTGATAATCTACGTTGGAAATGTAAAGGAAAAGAAGGTACCTTTTATCATATGTGGTGGACCTGCCCCAAGCTGAAAGACTTCTGAGAGAAGATTTATAATGAATTGGAAAAAAATGTTGAAATATACATTTATTAAGAAACCAGAGGCCTTTCTTCTTGGAATAATAGGTCCGGAATTGCCCAAGAAAGATGTTAGATTGTTTATGTATGCCACAACTGCTGCAAGGATTTTGTTAGCCAAGAATTGGAAAACACAAGTAGTGCCAATAGTGGAGGAATGGCAGATGAAGATGATGGACTTTTGGGAGCTAGCCGACCTGACCGGAAGAGTCCGCGACCAGAAGGAGGAGGAGTACCAGGAAGAATGGATGAAATTTAAAGAATATTTAGTTAAATATGCTGAGATAATTTAAATAGAAATTCTTGCAAATACCAAATTGGCTTAGGATTTAAATATGTGATTTTATATAATAATATGTTTAAAGTTTATATGAAAAGTAAGAAAGAAGTTAATTGACTAAGTAAATTTTATGAGAAATTAGTTTTGGAAAACTGTTACAATGATATACATTGAAATTCAGCCAGGGGATTTGAGGAAGTCACCTAACAATGTTAATAATAGTGGAATAATTACAGTTAGGATTTATGTGTGTGTGTTTGTTTATTTATAAATTTGGAAAATCAATAAAAAATTTTGGGGAAAAAAGACTGAAAGCATATTACAAGAATAGATCATTCCAGGGTGTGTGGCCAGACAGAAAAACTTAAAACAACACTCCTGGATGCCAAAATTTGTGAAGATGTTTAAGAATTGCTCTCCGCCCTGTACTCTTCAAAACCTCGCCTTCAGAAATGATGTTTTTTTTAAAAAAACAATCCAATCACAACACAAATACCAATTGTGAAGGACGCAGAGGCAAAATGTGATATAGGGAGTGGCTGCTTTTTAAAAAGATTTTTTTTCTTACTTTTAAAATTTTATTTCTTATTGAAAATATTTCAGTTAAACAAAGTAAAAAGAAAAAAGGGGTTCATAAAAACAAGTGGAAAACTATAATTCTATACATGCATATATAATACAGTGGTATATAAATGATGATTCTAATATATATGATATTGTTTATAACATACTATCTTTTTATGAATCCTTTCCAAACATCTTAATATACTGGTATGTCCATAAACAGTCGAAGTCTATAAGCTATCTGTTCATATGTTGCATAGTGTCCAGATCAAGGGAAATAATAGTACCACTCTATTCTGCCTTGGTCAGACCACACCAGGAATACTGTGTCCAGTTCTGGGCACCACAGTTTAAGAAGCATGTTGACAAGCTGGAACATGGGCAGAAGAGGTTCAACTAGGATGATCAAGGGTCTAGGAGTCAAGCCTTATGAGGAATGGTTGAAGGAGCTGGGTGTGTTTAGCCTGGAAAAGAGGAGACTGAGAGGAGATATGATAGCTGTATTCAAATATCTTAAGGGCTGTCACATAGAAGAGGGAACATGTTTGTTTTCTCCTGCTCTGGAGGGTAGGACTCAAACCAATGGCTTCAAGTTGAAGGAAAAGAGACTCCAATAAAACATGACGGAAAAACTTTTTGACTGTAAGCACTGTTTGACAGTGGAACGGTCTCTCTCGGAGGTTGTGGACTCTCCTTCCTCAGAGTTTTTTAGGGAGGGGTTGGATGGCCATCTGTCATGGATGCTTTAGTTGAGATTCCTGCATTGCAGGGGGTTGGACTTGATGACCCTTGGGTTTCTTCCAACTCTAATATTCTATCATTCTGTGATTCTAAGAGTTGCCATGTCTTCTATGTTTGATTAAAGAGGACCATAGAGGGGAAGCATAGAGAAGCCATTAAAGCTAAGTGATCCAGTTATTTTCCATGAAACTAATTATCTTTCATGAGTCAAGGTAGCATATGAATATGTAAATAATAAGCAGGACCACATTAGGAATGTAAGTCTCAAGCTTTTCCTTTACTGTAAATTGCTCTTACTTTTACAGGTTTGTCTAAGGCTTGCTTAGCCTGAGCTCACATAGTTTGTTTCAAAGGATGACATTCCATTGCCTTGTCCTGCACTTTTTTTTGTATTTTGCCTTTTGTTTCTTTAATGTTTCCTTTTGCATATTTGTTCATTTGCATCTCACATGCCACTAGCTTTCATTACTTATTCCATTCTTCTGCCTTAATTTTGACAATTTCCTCAAAGATCCATCGCCATAAAACACAGGGCTTTCCTGGGAAAGGAGCAGGGTAAGGGAGAAATGGCTTGGACCCATGCCTACAAAGCACAAGGGAAATGGAAAGCCACTCAGACCCATGCTTTCTAGCCATGGGATGGGAGGAAGTGTGGACAAACCCAGAATCTCCTTAGTCATCTTTGTTAAGAGGGGATTGAGGCCAATCTCTCCTTCTGCCTTAGAAGCAGGAATGACATTTTCACATCTCTCCAAAGAAATTGCAATAACATTCTGGGATTTTTTCCTTCCCTCCTGACATTCATACCTGTGGGGTTTTGTAGATGCTTGACATGGTGGAAATATCTTTGGATGTGTCAGAGTCAGCCCCCTCAATAACGGCCAATACTTTATTCCATGGTCCACAATAATAGTTTGGGATGTTTGGCTGCCCAGGACAGAGCAGGTCCACCAGGGCACCAGAAGTCATTCTGGCGTCGTAAAAGTTGTCATAGATGTCATAGCCCAGGGTGAGGTTGGGGAAAAGCATGTGGTTCTCATTGACCTCCCGAACGGCAAACAAGAAGGACAGGATATGCCAATAGGCCCGCATTCCAAACCTGGAAAAAAGTGTGTGTCATCTTGATATTTTTTCCATACAAAGACCAGATTGTGTCATCCTTACCTGTGATGGGGGGCAAAAATCATGAGATGCTTCTGCAGCATCTGTACACCTGAGATCCATCAACCGCTTCCTGTCCAAATCTTAGAAGAGTGGGCTATTCTAAAGCAAAGGTCTCACTAGTGTGGGTGAAAGCACACAGTTTGCAGTAGATAACTTTCTGACATTCAGAACGAATCCTACCATTTCCCTCCAAAGGGACGAAAATAGAAGACATAATTGACCAAGCAAAGGTACCAGAAATGAGGATACGTGCCTAGCAGACAACAACATTTGGTCTCCATGAGGTCACATTCAGTTTGCATAAAGCTTTTACAACAGTAGGCACATAAGGACTTACCCATTAACTCTGGTTGAGGGAGGCTCATTGAAGACGCTTGGATTGAACCCAACAGGTGTAGCGGATATGACCCCACTAATATGGTAGTCTCCTCGCCTGTACCAATTCAAGGGTGCATTGGGATCCCTTATCAAAGTCAATGGGCATTTTGAGTTCAGCATCTCTGGTGTTGCTTCAGGTAGTAACAATAGCAACAGCAGAAGGTGACTTACTATGTGCCTGCCTTTTACTCCTTCTTGAGTGCTATCAGCAACAGAGCTAGCAAATTACCAGCAGTCAAAATCTGCTTGGAAGACCCAGGCTGCAGCAACTTAATCAGAGAGAACATGCCTAGCATACATGGCTTGAGAGCCAAAGAGGATTCACTTCAGCCCCATATGGGCAGCATAACCCCACCCCACCCTCAGTGGCACAGTGGAGAAGTATTTATGTACCAGTCTCTTCTGGTTGAGTTTGATGAAGTTACATCATGTTGTTGTTCAATGCTGGACGCAAATATGATTTTATTCCTCTTGAGCTTTGGCAAGATGATGAGAAAGAAATCACCATTATTTTTAATAATTACGTTTGCCTTCACACCATGTTGAACTCCCTTTATGGCGCCAGGTGTAGACCTGAAGGAATACATGTTCCATCGAATCATAGAGCTATAGAATTGCAGTATGATAAGGGACCCTGAAGGAGATTTACATTGTTGAGCAGCTGTCAGAAAGTTCTTCCTAAAGTTTAGTCTGAATCTCTTTTCTTGTCACTTGATCCACTATTTCAGGTCCAACCCTCCAGAGCAGAAGCAAACAACCTTGCTTCATCTTCCATGTGACGACCCTTTAGATATCTGAAGAACTTCCCACTGCATTGTGGTTCTACTTGTGACATGGGCCAGAGAGGGGCACGGGAGGCTGGCATGACCTTTCCCAGCACTTCTGAAAGACTGGGCCATGGTCCAGCAGTGGGCCTCAGTGCCACAGCCCACCCAGTGCCTCCTAACTCACCCATCCTGCCCCTGGGCCACACATAGCTCTTTGGTTGGACCAAGGGCATTACTGACAGTTTAAAGGGGCATAAAGGTGTCCAGGAGACAGAGAGGCTGAAAGAGGGCAAGGGTTTAAAGAAGGAAAGGAGATCTCTATGGTCTGAGGGAAAAGGCAAGAGGATGTGTTGTGGGAAATTAGGGCGCGTGATAAAGGGTTAATATCTAGAATTACAACAACCTGGGGGGAAAGAGTAAAGGAATAAGAGAGGGGGAAACGAAGAAAAAGTGAATATAAAATGAGCAGGGAAGAAAGATGACAGTTTTTGGAGGTACTGTATTTTTCGCTCCATAGGGCGCACCGGCCCATAAGGCGCGCCTAGTTTTTTTTGGGGGGGAATAAAGAAAAAAAAATTATTTTCCCCCCCAAGGCGTGAGGCTGGGGCGGGGGAAGCCCGAGCTTCCCCCGACCCCAGCCCCCAGAACAGACTGCTCTCCACAAGCCGTGGGAGCCCTCCTGTGGCTTGCGCAGAACTACCCGAAACCCCGGTGCGACTGCTCAGCACGCCGGGGCTTCGGAATAAGAGGGAGCTCTGCGCAAGCCGGGGGAGCCCGGGGGGAACTCCCGTGGGCTCCCCCGGCTTGCGGATAGCTTCCTGAAGCCTGGAGAGCGAGAGGGGTTGGTGCGCACTGACCCCTCTCGCTTTCCAGGCTTCAGCGAAAGCCTGGATTCGCCCCATAGGACGCACACACATTTTCCCTTCATTTTTGGAGGTATATTATACAAGCTGTGAAAAGAATAGGGAAGAAGAAACAAGAGATGACAAGTAAAATGTGAGGCATGCCGGGTGATATGAAACAAAAAGCCTTTTCCACTTAGTGCTTTTGAATGCAGAGATTCTGCTTAACTTGGGGAGGCTGAGTCACAATACTGGTTCCTGAGTCATTAATTGCTGCTTGATTATGCCAAACTCTGCCTCCATCTGCCACAGTTTTGTCACTGGCTCATCCGGCGGACCTGCCATTTTGTCACTAGCAGACCTCATTAAGTTTCAGCCCTTTGATTTGGCCCCTACATGAAAGTCCGGAAGGATGACTGTTTCTGGAGCTAAGCTGTGGAATACTACCCCCCAGAAATATGCTTGGTGCCATCATTCTTCATTTTAGATGGCCGGCTAAGACACTTCCATCTATACATGCCTTTGGTATAATAATAATAATAATTTATTATTTATACTCCGCCCATCTGGCTGGGCTTCCCCAGCCACTCTGGGCGGCTTCCAAAAAAATATTAAAATACTGTAATACATCAAACATTGAAAGCTTCCCTAAACAGGGCTGCCTTCAGATGTCTTCTAAAAGTCTGGTAGTTGTTGTTCTCTTTGACATCTGGTGGGAGGGCGTTCCACAGGGAGGGCGCCACTACTGAGAAGGCCCTCTGCCTGGTTCCCTGTAACTTGGCTTCTCGCAGTGAGGGAACCGCCAGAAGGCCCTCGGTGCTGGACCTCAGTGTCCGGGTAGAACGATAGGAGTGGAGACGCTCCTTCAGATAAGCTGGCCTTGACCATGGTGCTGAACTTTTAGTGGGATGGAGTAGTATTTCTTATTATTATTACTGTACTATTGGTTGAGCATTTTAGGAATTCTTTTTTGTCACTGGCTTCACCCCTGCAGTGCCATTTTGTGACTGGTGAGCCTCAGTAATTCCCCGCCCTTTCTAGAGTTCTCTACCTTAGCTCTGCTATACCTTCATGTGAGTCAAAATCAAGATTTATCTAGCTAGCCTTGAACATCTTTTGAACAGTTTTCCACTGAGAGAGAAGTGGGATGTGAATGTTTCATAGCAAAGTGAAGAGAAAACAAGTAGTCTTGCCTGGCGCTTGGGGTCCACCAAAATTTTTGGGCTTGGTTGTGTGCACATTTGGAAAAGTAAGACACTGTTGTGGGCACCACAAAATAGCAATTTCATGGAGGAAAAACTGGCAATGTTCGCCCACAAAGGCAAAATAAGCACAACAAAATAAAAAACCAGACAAAAAAGGAGACACAACCTCCCCACCACCTCGTGCAAGAACAGATAACTTCTTCAACCAAATGATGCAGAACCTTGCAGGACCCCAGAGCACAACTGCAATAGCCCAACTTCTGTTCTTGGTTGGACTACTGCAATGAGTTATATGTTGGAGTGCCTTTGAGGATGGTTCGGAAACTGCAGGTCAAGGTAAAGGTAAAGGACCCCTGGATGGTTAAGTCCAGTCAAATTTGACCTGGGGTGCTGTGCTCATCTCTGCTTTCAGACTGAGGGAGCCGGTGTTTATTCACAGACAGTTTTCTTGGTCATGTGGCCAGCATGACTAAACTGCTTCTGATGCAACAGGACACCATGACAAGTGCCAGAGTGCATGGAAATGCTGGATCACATTGGCCTTTGGCCTTGAAGCAGAGCACCTCTGATGAGTTCTTGAGAAATTACTTTTTTTGTTTTGGCCTTGGTTCTGACTTAACATTACCAGTTGCAAAGGCAATCTTTATGGAGAAATCCCTGGAGATTTTGCAGAAGACTATAATTACATAATTAAACATCTCCTCCTGCAACCTCCTGGGTTGATCAAGGAACAGGTGCAGAACTTGAGGAAAAACATGTTTGTGAGAAATCGCCACTGTGTCCCATAGCCTGACACTTGACAAAACTTGCTAAAGAAACCCCTTTTTAGAGAATCAGTGGTAGAGCATTTTTTATTTTTTATTTTTGCATGTATTTTGCATGTAGAATGTATTTTGGAACCTTTTAGAATGTATTCGGCTTGATTTTTGTGTTTTCTGCATTTGTGAGTCTACCTCCTATGCTGCTCTCTTCTCTCTCCTGATCTACCTCTGAAAGTGGTACAAATGGCAGGATGTTTTAGCACCAGAGTGTAACTCAGCTATCCCTGAAGCTATCTGAGACCCAGGAAGAGGATTTTATCATGCTCTTCCCTCACTGAAGGCTAGGTTGCCAGGATAATGCCAGACACCCAAGACGTCAAATGGTCCAATGGCCTGGTCACACGAGGACCACCCCAAGGTGATGTGGGGGGTGAAGATACCAGGATGGAGCCATGTGTGCTTTACTTCTCATGACTTGTAACCTTTCCTGACATATGTGAAGATTTTTTAATGATTATTTGCTATGTTTGAACTACTATATGAGCTTTTCTTCTGAAGTGCCTGGAGGCAGACCTTCTCAACTGGCATGTTGAGTTGAGTGAGCTCTGTCCTATTGCAATAGCTATAATAAATGTTTGGTCCCTAAATCCAAGAAGTTCCCTTGGTTCTGTGATTTATTCCAAAGGTTCCTCACCTGGGTAACAAACAAGGTGGTCAGGGTCCCTTCCGATTATACAAATCTATGATTCTATGTAGGGTAGAGTGGGAGGAGACAGGATTAGTTGGGAAAGTTTTCCACTACTAGACCACAAGGTGGTCCATAAGAGATCCTGATTCCAAACCACTTGGATCAAATTAGACCTAATCTCAGAAGTGGAAAAAAGATACAACGCCAAGGAAAGAATGGCAGATGATGTTAATAGAATAAATAGAAATGGCAAGACTGATAAATAGAATAAGAGATCTGGATTAAAAAAAACTATTTGAGAAAGATTGAAAATGCTTATAGATTATCTGGAGACATACTGTAAACATATTAAAAAGTTAACAGTAATGGAATAAATTTGGCAGTTTAAAAAAATATTGAGATATAAAGATGGTGAAAAATAAGATATAGGAAGAAATCAGAATATGGAGTTGAAAAAGAATGTAATAAAATGCACCATGGAAGGAGAGTCAATAATTATTGTGTGGTTTTGTTTTTTATTTCAAATATTGTACAGTGGACGCTTGGGTTGCGAACGTGATTTGTGTGGGATGCATGTTCGCAACCTGCAGCGTTCGCAACCCGGAGCGGCGTGTCTGCACACGTGCGGATTGTGATTCGGCGCTTATGCGCCTGCGCAAGGCACGATCACGTTCACAACCCGAGCGTCCACTGTACTGGTCACAGGTATGAATCCAGTACAGAGCAAGCATGTAACTATGTATTTGGCTTCCGGCACAACTCTGTCTATTGTTCTCCTTCCTAGCAACTACGTGAGTGTGGGGAGTGGGGAAGGTCCACCAATTTTTTCTGTGGCAGAGCAGCTTCTTTCCCAATGCTTCTGGTGATTCGCTTCAGGTCTGGGAGGGGAACCCAGTATGGTATCTGGGAGAGCCATTGCCTGTCAGTGAGAAGCTGGATGAACTAGGTGAACCAAGAATCTGGCTCAGCGTAAGGCGGCTTCCAACCTTCTGACCACCATCGTGCAGCCTGCTTCACCATTTACCTGCATCCCATCATGCCAACATTTCCTTTTGCCCACCTGAGAGCCCATGAACCAGTTGGGTGGGGATCAGTTTTGTTATTGTTGTTGCATCATGTTGCAACCAAATCAAAGTTTGTTTTTTAAATCAAGCAGTGTACAAATAAATACATAAATTTAAAAAAGGTTGGCCGAAGCAACTTGTTTGTCATCGGTTGTTGTTTTTGTGTGTGCTATTTATTGATGGCAATTTCATTTTTTTTCTTTTATACTGTATTCATTGTGATAGTGGTACTACTAGATACATTCATTATATTATTATTGACCCTCCCCTCATGGAATATTTTATTTATTTATTTATTGTTTTTATTAAAGATTTTCTTGGGTTACAAAAGACCATACATTGTCTCTATTTTCATATCATAAAGTCCTTTCTATAGATCAGTTATATTTGATGTAAGGTTTTAATGTTGTATATTGTATAAGGTTGGGGGAGAAAAGAGGTAGTGAGAGAGAGAAAAAGGAAGGAAAGAAGGAGATAGTAAACTTTCATTTTTCTACATAGTGTATGTGTGAGGTTTTGTTTCAGCATCACATGGGTGCCCTTGCCTGCTGTGCCCTATACCACCCCCGAATTTGTGGGGATGGGGGCACTAGGCACAAAGCCGTCCTGTGGGATTCCGGCACTCGGGGACGCCATCCCTGATCCGCGCCACTAGCTGCAAGAACTTCAAAAGAAACAATTTGGATGAAGGAATGCACATATTTCAAGGAAGGAGGGGGAGCAAAGACTGCTAACAGAAGAGATCTCTGATAAAACAAGACGAGTCGGAGGGACAAGCATAGATTATGAGAAGATACGCCAAGACTCGGTATGGCAAATGACTGATGGGGGAGGGGGGAAAACTTTCCTTTCTTTCCTTATGTGATTAAACAAGAATCCCCCCCCCCACAAGTCAGAAATGTCGTTTTAAGGACTTAAGCTGTGGATTTAAGGCTGTGTGGAGATAAACTTTCGAACCAAAGCATGTTTTAAGAAGAGCGTGGAATGTATAAGGGCTTTGGAATGACGCAGTTAAAAAAGCCGTCGCCATATTGGGAAGTTCTGTCGGTGGACTTAAGTCTGAGAGGAGAAATAGAGAAATAGAGCTGTTTTTATATTGTGGGTGAAACTCCTCAGAGGGACTTAAGAGCGACAGTTCTGTAATTAATGATGGAAAGAGCGATGTTATCTATGAAGGCGATGATATATGGAAACCATCTCGATTTGAGGATTGGAAGAACGGAAAAATTCACACAGGATTATTATTATTGGTGTTTATCGGCTTAAGGAGACTATCAGAAGAGATCATAAAGAAAAAAGAGAAAATATATGAACAAGATGTGATGTGGAAACAGCAAGATAAGACTGGATAGAATTATGAACTCTGTTTGGACTGATTTGGACTGATTTGGACATTAACGCAGTAGCAAGAAGATGATCAGAATCCCCCTTCGGATCTTGAAATATGGGTCCCCCAACAAAATTCAAAATTCGGCTTTGTAATTCGGAATTTATGTGATGTGATTTAATTTGATGTGATTGGCCGGTTAATAAAAAATATTTTTTAAAAAATAAAAAATATTTGATGCAAGGTTTTAATGTTGTATATCGTATAACGTTGGGGGAGGAAAGAGGTAGGGAGAGAGAGAAAGAAGGAAGGAAGGAAGGAAGGAGAGAAGGGGATAGTAAACTTTCATTTTTCTACATAGTGTATGTGTGAGGTTTTGTTTCAGCATCACATGGGTAGATTTTCTTTCTATTCATTGATTAGTTTTCATTGTGTTGGGATTCAAGCCTTTATCAGGAGAAACTGGCCACTCTCCAGGCACCCGGCTTGATCTCCTGTTGACCTCCCTGTCTGCATTCCCGGCAGGATCCAGGCTAGGTCGCGATAGGCGATCCTCCTCAGCGTGAGAAGAACACCCCCCCCTCTGTCCTGCCCCCCCTGGGCAGGGGAGAGAGATAGACAGAAACGTATTTACATGCCTTTATTTCTGTCTTTGCAGTGTTACAAAAATCATGTCTGCTCTCTTCAAGCTTCAGCAGTCGAGAGACAAACTCCTCCTGTACTTCCTGTACAGCTCATATTACACTCTGAGCTAATTCCGGTGCTTCGCACTGTGAATAGACTGTCCCTCTGTTTCCCACGGAACAGTCCCAACATTCCCATTATGTTTTGCTTTCAAGCTACCAGCTCGCGGCCGCATTGCTTCTATATCGTAACATACTCCCCCATATGAATCAATGTGCGCTGCGAGCAAAGCATGATCCAGAGAAGAAAACAAACAGTTGTTATACATATAACACTCCCCTGTTGTTTCAGTTCCACCCTTGGAACTACCCGCCACTGGTTTCCCCAGTGTACCTCTCTGGTTGTCTGTCTTCCAAGGAATGAGTGCATCTGCATTACCTTGGCTAGGGAATGTAGTGTTACGCTTAGCAACTCTCTGTTGTGTCTTTGTCTCTGACTTAGACACAGCTTCAACCTGTCTTGAGTTGTCAACAATAGTAACACATGCTACAGCTGAGTTAGCAAACTCTTTTGAATACCTCTTGGGTGGTACACCCTTTGTAACTCTCTCGGACCTGCGTATGAGGTGCTGATCCTCTCTGCTCACTGGTTCAGTCTCAGGACTCTTTGGAGAACCAGTTCCAATAGTAAACAGTGGTTCATCCTTCACCTGTGAAGGTCTATCCATTGTGTGAGATTTCCTCTCAATGACTGTGTCAACTGAGCTCTTTGAGCTATCACTGTCATTTTTAGTACCACTGTAATCAGTAAAATCATCATCATCATCTGAATTGTCCTCAGTGGGAAATGTGTGAACAATTACTTTCTCCTGTTCAGGAGCACTCTCTAGAAATTTTGTGAGAACCACCTGACCAGATTCAGACAAAATTACTCTGTAGAGACCCTTTTCATAACCCACAAAAATGCCTCTAGCATTCTTTACTCCACCTGGAGCTTCAGTCTTTACATGAGACCCAAAAACCTTAAAATGGGCAACAGAAGGTTTTCTGTGGAATAGCTTTTCAAAAGGAGAACTTCCTAAACCTTTTGAAACCTTTCTCACCCAACTGTAACAAAAACACATTAACGATTCTGCCCAATATTAATGTGGCAAATGTGAACTCAGCAATTGCGCCTTCATGCCATTTTGCAATTCTTTGTTCACTTGCACACAGACACTTCTGTTCCATGCTTCTGCAGAAACAGCAGTCTTGTGCCTTATCCCTTTCTTATCCAGGAAATCCTGAAAATCCTGCAAAAGAAAAACTGGCTTTTCATCTGTGAAAAGACAATCAATGTTAGCATTATGAACATCCTTAACCTTGTCACAAAACTCTTTAAACCTTTCTAAGGCTTCTTGTGGTTTCTGCAATATATGTATCCACACATAATGAGAGAAATAATCCACACACACAAGATAATATCTTGCATTGCCTCTAGACGGTGCTAGAGGACCAATCACATCAGCATACACTCGCTGAAAAGCTTTGGTTACTTGCGTCGTCTTCTGGACGTTTTTCGACACACCTGCGAGAGAAATCATGTTGGAATCAGATGCATTACAATTTATGCAATCACTTTGATCAAAAGTCAACAAATACAGTCCATCTTTCTCTCTGGCAGAAAGATACAGCTCTCCATCTTTGAAGATTTTGCAGCTTTCTCTATCATAGGACAAAGTCAGTCCTTTCTTTGTGATCTGCGAAACACTCAGCAGATTGAACTTTAAATCAGGAACCAAATACACATTGTTTATAGTCAAGTTCAGACTCTCAAGATACACAGTTCCAAACCCAGTCGCTTCCAGCTCCTGACCGTTGGCTTGTTTCACAGTGAAGCTTTGCTTCTTAAACGTTGAAAACAGATCTAGCCGCGACGTCATGTGTTGCGTCGCTCCAGTGTCCAAAATAAAAGCGTTCTCCATTGAAAATGCGGCTTTTGTTGACAGCAATGCCTTCGCAGGTTTCATCTGGGACTTGGTACGACTTTTGCCTGATGCCTCAGGCTTTGCAGAGCTCCCCTTAGCTCCTTTCTGTTGACGTGGCTTCTTACAATTCCGCTGAAGATGCCCAGTCTGTCCACAATTGAAACAACGGACAACGTTCAAAGCAACAGCCTGTTCTTCACTAGCAATAGCAGCGGGGGTGCTTGAACTCCGAGCTTCTCTCCCCCTGTCTTTGACATCTATTGCAGCAAGTCTGTCTTTCTCATTGAGAATCACGGCACAAATTCTCTCCGTCGAAAGATCTGCGGCAGGTAGAGAACCAAGCTGACTTGCAACCGTTTTGTAAGTCCGATTAAGGCTGTTAATAATCATGAAGCAGAATATCTCTTCCTGTAGAGGGAAATTGCGTTCCGCCATCTGCTGGCGTAAGAATTTCATCTCTGTCAGATGCGCTTGTACATCTCCATCAGGCGCTAGCCTTAGATTGGTTAGCTTTTCAAAATGCAGCAACGCTGAAGAACCAGCATCTCTTTGATGTATTCTACGCAGCGTATGCCAAATCTCACGCGCGTATTCCAAATGCTGAATATGCACGAGCTGATCATCCGAGATACACAGAATTATGGCCGTCCTGGCTCTCACATTCTGTGAATTCCAACCTGGCGTTGGTGCAGCAGGGATGGGGTTATCAATCACCCCAAAAATCCTCTGATTCTGAAGCAGGGCTTTCATCTTTACAGACCATGAGGAATAATTGTCATTAGTCAGTGGAGGTGGGTAAGGTAAGCCTCCCCCCTTCTTGGTATCCATTTTGAATCCAAGCCTCAGCTCTCACTCTCGAGCCTGTAAACTCCAAAAGTCTATTGGCTGTTTACTGCCTCACACTTGGCAGCTAAACACAGGCTGTTTTGAAAGTCCCTCCAAGAGCAGTGAGATAATAGACAAAACAAACTCTGTTTTCTCAGTGTTTTTCCAGTCTCTCACAGTGCTCAGCCTTACTTCCGTGTTGGCCAGTAACTTTCCACCTTACTGACGTTTCGTTGCTTAGCAACTGGACATTCCAGGCTTGAGCAGCAACCCTTATCAACCCCAGGAATGCGAAATATGCAGGCTATTTCTCTCAGTGCTGGTTTCATCCAAAAGCAGACACTCAGTGAACCGAAGAATGCTTCAATTCGCGTTCACTCTCACAGCCATAAAATCACCATACCTGGAGGGAATCCGTTGCTCAGCAAAAAACACCTCCTCCGGTGCTCAGCCGTCCTTGTAGCTTCCATCCGCCCGCTACCACATTCTTTCTTTATCTCCTTGCAGAGGATGAAGTACGATCCATCAACCTCTCTTGTTGCTTTCATGGATCAAAACCATCGGCTCCGTGCTACCATATGTTGGGATTAAATCATTTATCAGGAGAAACTGGCCACTCTCCAGGCACCCGGCTTGATCTCCTGTTGACCTCCCTGTCTGCATTCCCGGCAGGATCCAGGCTAGGTCGCGATAGGCGATCCTCCTCAGCGTGAGAAGAACACCCCCCCTCTTTCCTGCCCCCCCTGGGCAGGGGAGAGAGATAGACAGAGACGTAGTTACATGCCTTTATTTCTGTCTTTGCAGTGTTACAAAAATCATGTCTGCTCTCTTCAAGCTTCAGCAGTCGAGAGACAAACTCCTCCTGTACTTCCTGTACAGCTCATATTACACTCTGAGCTAATTCCGGTGCTTCGCACTGTGAATAGACTGTCCCTCTGTTTCCCACGGAACAGTCCCAACATTCCCATTATGTTTTGCTTTCAAGCTACCAGCTCGCGGCCGCATTGCTTCTATATCGTAACACATTGACAGTGAGAGAGATGGGTATTATTTTCAGGCAATTTTTATCTTGTGATTAGGAAGGGACAATGCAATGTTAATACTTATACTCTCTAATATTTAGAAAGGGTACAGAAAATTCATCTGAGTTCTCTTCCTGCTGTGAGCTCTGCTCTTTCCTGAGGTTCCTGTGGGTGCAGGGGAGACCCCCATGAGGCACAGTGAGACATTTGCCTTGGGGACAGTTGGGAGGGGCAGAAGATCTGGGTCCAAGGAGCATGGTGCTCACTGTCTCCTGTTCTTGCCACCCTACTCCTTGCTAAATATAATTGATTTAATTCACACTGAAATGTAAAGGTAGCTTTAAAATGGGAAATGTCTGAATGTGTATTAATGAAGCGTTCCTAATATTGGGGCTTTTCCAAAGCTATTTCCTAAAGCACTGAGCTCCTTAATTTGTTAACAAATTACTGTTGGTTGTTTTCTACTCTGTGCTGAGAGTGAACCTTTGATCATGTGATGAAGGAATTGAGTTGCAAACCTCCATTTCCAAAGGGAGTTGCCTTTAGATCAAGGGAAGTAATAGTGCCACTGTATTCTGCTCTGGTCAGACCTCACCTGGAGTACTGTGTCCAGTTCTGGGCACCACAGTTCAAGAAGGACATTGACAAACTGGAACATGTCCAGAGGAGGGCAACCAAAATGGTCAAAGACCTGGAAACGATGCCTTATGAGGAACGGCTAAGAGAGCTGGGCATGTTTAGCCTGGAGAAGAGGAGGTTAAGGGGTGATATGATAGCCATGTTCAAATATATAAAAGGATGTCACATAGAGGAGGGAGAAAGGTTGTTTTCTGCTGCTCCAGAGAAGCGGACACGCAGCAATGGATCCAAACTACAAGAAAGAAGATTCCACCTAAACATTAGGAAGAACTTCCTGACAGTAAGAGCTGTTTGACAGTGGCATTTGCTGCCAAGGAGTGTGGTGGAGTCTCCTTCTTTGGAGGTCTTTAAGCAGAGGCTTGACAACCATATGTCAGGAGTGCTCTGATGGTGTTTCCTGCTTGGCAGGGGGTTGGACTCGATGGCCCTTGTGGTCTCTTCCAACTCTATGATTCTATGATTCTAGTCTTTCTCTCCCAAGCTCCATGGAGTGAGGATGAAAATGAAGGGAGAGTAAACAGCCTGAGGCCAATGGTGGCTGGAAAGCGGGCTGAGGAGGAGAGAGAGACTTCTGCTTCTAGGTCTGCATGGATTATTCCATATTTTCCTAAGATGCTGAGCCTGTGCTGGACAGCACAAGACATTGTATGGATATTCTGGTAGTATCTTTGATTATTATGCTCTGTTTTTGAAGAGTTCTGCCACTAAAACTTTGAATACTATTTTTATGGGTCTTCACAATGATTTCTTCCAGAAGGAGTCAGTTCTTGTGCTTCCAGTCGCTTCAGACTGTGCAATATTAATATCTGCAACACTCCTGAGCTGCCACGTCCCTTGCAGCTCCCATTGCATCCCTCCCTTCATGACCTGCCCATTTCCAGTCTTCTTTTTTCTCGCCCGCCACCTTCAGCACACCAGGACTTCTGGATACCAAGAGATACCAATGGAATATGTTTCTTTTCATTTTGAAAAACAATGCATAAGCAATTTATTTGTAATGCTATCTTTAAAAAAGATTCTCCTAATGAACAGCATTCATTATTATTGAATTGTGATAAGGATTTCTTATTAGGCAAAATATATAAACAGTATTCAGAAAAGAATTCCTAAATCAGGTAAGAAATGAACAGTACTAAGGATGGAATGTGATTTAAATGATTATTTTGCGTTCTGATCTCCAAAACAATAGCTTTTAAGGAGCTACATTCCCAACTCATGTGTCCTGCCTTTATGCTGGCTATCAATTGCAAAAACCAAAAACATATTTTAGGAATCAGGTGCCATATTAAGCCTTTGTAGTCAGGTGCTCCTTTGTATTCAGACTAGGCCTGAGTACAATAATGTAGCACTTGGGAAGGAAGATGCAGCCCAGAAGCCCAGCACTGGAGGCCAAGATAGAGAAGATCTGCACAGCCACCATGTATTTCCCCTTGGTGCTCAGGTAGGTGGGCACAAAGGACACCCAAACACTGCAGAAGACCAGCATGCTGAAGGTGATCAGCTTGGCCTCATTGAAGGACCCAGGCAGCTTCCTGGCTAGGAAAGCCACCGTGAAGCAGATGGCAGCCAGGAAGCCCATGTAGCCAAGGACAGTGTAAAACATGGCAGCAGATCCTTCGTTGCACTGCAGGATGATCTCTTGGGGCTGGGAGTGCATGTCAGAGTCTGAGAATGGAGGAGAGGTACCCAGCCAGATGACACAGATGAGAATTTGGATACTGGAACAGGACATGACAATGGAGTTGGCCAGACTCTTCCCCAGCCATCTCCTCACCCTGTTTCCTGGCTTAGTGGCCAGGAAGGCCAGCACAACAGTAATAGTTTTTGCCAACAAAGAAGAGACAGCAACTGAGAAGATGATGCCAAAGGCCGTCTGCCTGAGAAGGCAGGTCACTTTCCTTGGCCGGCCTATAAACAGAAAGGAGGACAAAAAGGAAAGGAGGAGGGAGACAAGGAGGATGTAGGAAAGGTCCCTGTTGTTGGCTTTGACTATGGGAGTGTCAAGATATTTAATGAATATTCCTAAAACAAGGCCTGTGATTAAGGACAAAAACAGGGCAGTGGAAGCCAAGAGGGTCCCCGGATATTCATCATAGGACAGGAAGGTGATAATCTTGGGGATGCATTGATCTCTGTCTTTGTTTGGATGTTGATGTTCTGGACATTTGGTGCAGTGGTCTGCATCTGGGGAAAAAAGAGTGTCTGCTTGAACATTTTTCTGTAGACTAGCAAAAAAAAGCAGGTCAATTTTGAATCCAGCCACCCCATGCAAATGGAAACAGTGATGGGACTTGCTATTTCTGCTAATCAACACAGAGAGTTGGTCCTTGCAATGTAGGTCCCTCGTGCTGATAACTTCTTATTCACCTCCCAAGGAAGAGCTTGGAGTGATCTCGAAGCTCCAAGTCCTTAATTGCAGCTACATTTGATCTCACCCCTAACACCAGGTGTTGTCAGATGGGCGTAATTTACAGAAAAAAATCCTCGGAGGAGCATGGACTGGAACTCTCGTCTTCCCAGTACAAACCAAACATCCTAGCTACTTTGCCACACTGACTGGTCAAGGGAGCCTACCAGATGCAGCAACACTGCCTAATTCTTACATACTCAAGGCTGTTTCAGTGGTACCTGGAAAGCTTTATTAAGACTATGTAAATCACCATTGAACTTTTATTAAATTCAACCATAAGATTATATTTGAATATTCATCAAAAAAGGACATATATTCTTTTTGCTGCACATTCCTCTCAAGTCTCTTACCTTCCTGAGTGGAGATCATCCCTTCTGCACATGGAGCACAACCATGGCAGCAAATGGGTTTCCCTTCCTGAACCTTCTTGTCATTTCCAGGGCGACAACTTTGGGTACACCTGGAATGAGGAAGGGTCTGAGCAAAAAGACAGAAAGCATCAATGAAAGCCAAGTAATTTCTGGGGCATTGTACAATTTCAATCTATGTGGCATAGACATGGCTTTGGTGTAGATTTTTTTTTGATCCATAGGACAAAACAGAGGGTCATAGCCCTTGGGACACAGTTGGGGTAGAAAGAGATTATCAAGAAGAAAGAATTACATGGAGACTGTATTGCCCTTGGATTTAGGAGTCAGAGCTCTCTGCCATTATAACAAAGCTCTAGTAAACACAGTACCAATCTGCAGTCAGTTAAAAATATCAAAACCAGAGAAACAAACAAGCTGAAACGGAAAAGTATTTGGAGCAGCCGTGTTGTGCTCAATTCTTAAGTCTGGCCTGCTTTCTGACCACTGAAAAGCCCATGCCCCAGTCATAGTCCAACATGCTTCTCCATTTTCATGTTTCCTTTTATAGATTTTTTTATTTGTTTTTTAAAGTAAAGTTTACATTTAAACACAAGTCATAGTCATAGAAAAAAGAAAAAGGTAGGATTTCCCTAATCCTTGGATCATTATTATGTTGGATAGGCAACATACCTCTAAAAGGGGTAAATGCAATGAATTGGTTTTCCAAACCTGGTTGAACATTCTGGACCACACAAGAGCCTCTTGGTCAATGGTGAATTTTGGGCCTGAGGATCCCTGTCTGCTTATGCTCCCAAATTTCACTGCACCAAAGGATTTGTTGGGAAATGGCACCCAGTTCACAACGTCAGATTCGACTGTCAACTGCCCATTCTCATCCAAATACACTCCTTCCATGGAAGTATTGTAAAACTGGGAACTTCCCAGAAAAGGGTGAAGCTAGAACAGGAAAGAAAGCAGGCACATTTAGAAAAGAATAAAATTATCTAGATAACATAGCCTAATTGCCGAAGATCTTTGTACAGACTGACAATGGGAAAACCATCTAGATAACTTGGCCTAATCTATGAAGGCATTTGTACAGACTGACACTTTGTGTGTGTGTTTGGGAAATGGATCTGTGGCCCATTCTTTCTGCTTCAGCCTTTTGGGACAGATTAAAGCCATGAGATCCATAAGCTACATTCCACACCCTTGGAAGAATTGTGCAAGCATTGGCCTCCTATTTGTCAAAGTAAGGTTGTTGGAAGTGGTGTGTAGAAATCAGCTTCCTTGGCTAGTAATAGCAGGAAGCCTTATTGAGGGATTAGGTGGTGAAGTGGAGGCAGATTGTCTTCTCACAAGCAAAATTAGGATGCGGGTAACAGTAAAGTGGTGCTGTGGTCTAAACCACTGAGCCTTGGGCTTGCCGATCAGAAGGTTGGTGGTTCAAATCCCCGCGACGGAGTGAGCTCCCTTTGCTCGGTCCCAGCTCCTGCCCACCTAGCAGTTCGAAAGCATGTCAAAGTGCAAGTAGATAAATAGGTACGGCTCCGGCGGGAAGGTAAACGCTGTTTCTGTGCACTGCTCTGGTTTGCCAGAAGTGGCTTACTCATGCTTGCCACATGACCCGGAAGCTGTCTGCGGACAAATGCCAGCTCCCTCAGCCAGTAAAGCGAGATGCATGCACAACGCCAGAGTTGTCTGTGACTGGACCTAATGGTCAGGGGTACCTTTACCTTTAACAGTAAAGTAAATGGAGGCAAAGTAAAGACAGTTTTGAGGCAAGCCTGAATTCACCTGAGAATGGAAGGCATAGCACCGATTCCTGTTCAACAAAGATATCTGTGAGAAAAACAGGAATACCTGCCAAGACTGTATCCTTTGATATTTCAGCCTCTTTTTACCCTTCGCCACCATCCGATTGGATTTGGAGGAAAGCGCAGCCCGTAAGGCCCGTGCTAGAGCAAGGACAAGGTTGTAAATACTGTAGCTATCCAGAGACAGGGTTTTCTCAATCACTTCGTCACGCAGGAACTCCAGAGTATCAACTTCCCTGCACCTTTGCCTTCCCTTCACAGACAATATGTGCTTTGAATATGAACATTGAAATGTTTTATGCCCAAACAGAATCATAGACTTGGACAATAAGTCGTCAGTGTCATCGTCTGCCCTTTTTTTAATATGAGTTAAGAAAGAAAAAAACCCATAAATGTGCAGGGGAGAAAGAATATTATAAGACAAGTTCCAGGTGAGGTCCCACAAAGCTGTTGTGATCCAGACTTTCCCCACAATGGGTCTTATATGCTTTTTAACAGCATTTTGCAATGTATTTATTGAATATAAGAAGAAGCGCATCTCTCCATAGTAGACTAATACATTGACTATGTTCCACGTGGAAATTATTTTTAAAAGTGACGGTATTTCCTGATTCTGTATTGGGATGCTAAGTGAGAAGGCAGCACAAATTGTGTTCCTGATTAGCAGAGGCCTAAAGGTCCTCATGAACCTGTCTCCATTGTTGGTTTCTGGAGCAACAAGGCCAATCCAAGTCCAGTTGAAGTGCAGGAGAAGTTGGATTATCCCCAGATACTGATGCTCTTCTTTGGGGACCATTCGGTAGACAAAAGGGAACTGAGTTTTGTCACTAAGTGTGTCAGAAACAAAACCATAACTGACCTAGTAAAGAACAGAAGAGATTAGTGTTGTTACTCCCAACAAAATCCCAAATCTAGTACTTTTTACTTGCCTGACTGATAACTTTTCTCTGAGATGGAAAACAGAGAAAAGACAAAGTTTCATGGGGGCTAAAGAGCTTTACTCCAGGGAGCTTAACAACATGTTTAGTTGTTTGCTTTCAAAAAACGGTGACAGAGTCTTTGGAATGGATTGTGTTTGCTTTAGGTTATGCCCTGATTGCATTTTTGTTACTGCTTTTACAACATGTTTCTTGTAGCAGTTTCATTTAATTGTATATGACCTCATCATTATTTATTCATTAAAGTGTCACTTTTAAGAAAGAAGAACAAATTTTGTTAAAAAGGAAAAAGCTCACACACAATTACAATGAACATTTTTAGCTTACATTAGACGTTTAATAGCCACCAGTTCTTCTATATAAAATTAAACCCTAAAATTAGTTGCTATAAACCATACATATGTCTAAATGGGTATCTATACTAGATTGCTGAGGTATTTGTAGTAGAAGAAAATTGCCCGTTGTTTGTACATGATAAAAGATATGCTTTGTGGCATAAACTCATATCTTGAAGATGCAATCTTTCTCCTGATACCATCAGCTCACTTAAGTGAGAAATGAGTGCAGATTTATCCCAAATGAATGTACAATCTTTGGAGAATAAATATAGTTTGACAACAACAACACATTTCATTTTGGGTTTACAATGGCGCAATGCAAAATAACAACTTTTTCCTGCCTTATTTATATGTTTCATTTTTAAATATTAGATTTCATTTGGGTTCTCATCCCATTTGTTTCTCCTCTAGATGACACTGCATTGAGCTCTTGTGGAGGTAGACAACTCCTTCCTCCATTCTCTATCAAGAATTGATTACTGTGCTTTGAATATGAACATTTAAATGCTTTCCACAGAACCACAAAAGTGTGGTTCTGCATTTTTATACTACATTTCCTGTATTTCATTAACACTAGAAACAATACCATTGAATCTTAGAATCGTCAAATTGAAAGGGCCACAAGGGCCATCTAGTCCAATTCCCATAGAGAGGGGCCATAAGGGGGGCATAGAGAGACCCTACTATACCATTAAAGCTAAGTGACCTTGTTATTTTTCATGAACCTAATAATCTTTCAGGAGTAAAACATATAAATATGTAAATAATAAGCAGGACCACATTAGGAATGTAAATCTCAAGTCTTGCCTTTACTGTAAATTGCGCTTACCTTTACAGGTTTATCTAAGGTTTGCTTAGCCTGAGCATACAGAGTTTGTTTCATAGATGACGACATTCCATTGCCTTGTCATGCACTTTTTTTTGTATTTTGCCTCTTGTTTCTTTAATGTTTCCTTTTGCATATTTGTTCATTTGCATCTCACACGGCACTAGCTTTCATTACCTATTCTATTCTTCTGCATTATATTTGACCATTTCCTCAAAGATCCTTCTCCATAAAACACAGCATTTACACCTGTGGGGTCTTATAAATTTAACTACGTGGGGCTCCCCCTGAAGCTGCCCCAGAAACTCCAGCAGGTGCAGAACAACTGCGGCGAGGCTCCTTATGGGGTTCTCGCCACTGGATCATACTCACCCAGTGCTATACCAGCTGCAATGGCTCCTGGTGGAGTACACGGTCAGGTTTAAGGTGCTGGTTTTAACCTTTAAAGCCCTATACGGCCTAGTACCCTTGTACCTACGGGACTGCCTCTCCTGGTATGCCCCACGGAGGACCTTACGGTCCACAAACAATAACTTCTTGGAAGCCCTGGGCCTCAAGGAAATTAGACTGGTCTCTACCAGGGCCAGGGCTTTTTTGGCCCTGGCCCTGGCCTGGTGGAATGCTCTGCCACAAGAGACCAGGGCCCTGAGGGATTTGACATCTTTCTGCAGAGCCTGCAAGACAGAACTGTTCTGCCGGGCCTTTGGTTGGACCCCTATGGTTATAATTTGTGGGTTGTCATTTGATTTTATTCTGATCTTAATTTGATTTTAAGCAGTATTTTAATCAATTGTTTGGTTTTATGTTTTTAATATATTATATATTTTGATGTTTGGTGCCCTGAGGCCAGTCCTGGCTGAGGAGGACGGGTTATAAATAAATTGATGGTGATGCTGATGGTGATGATTAACTAAGGGCTTATCCACACATCCCTTGTCCCGTTGCTTTTCCTGGGGAAAAACACAGATTGTTGTTTTTCCAATTTAGAGTGAAAGAGTGGGTATTCTGTGGGAAAGAAGTAGGGTAAGGGGGAAACTGCTCGGACCCATGTCAAAAAAACCACAAGGCAAATGGAAAGCTTTCTAACCATGGGATAAGTGTGGATGAGTCCAGAATCTCCTGAGTCATCTTTGTCAAGAGGGGGTTGGGGGCAAATGCTCCTTCTGCCTTAGAATCATAAAAGACATTTTCATGTCTTTCCAAAGAAATTACAATAACATTCTGGGATTTCTCCTTCCCTCCTGACATTCATACCTGTGGGGTTTTGTAGATGCTTGACATGGTGGAAATATCTTTGGATGTGTCAGTGTCAGCCCCTTCAATGACAGCCAATACTTTATTCCATGGTCCACAATAATAGTTTGGGATGTTTGGCAGCCCAGGGCAGAGCAGGTCCACCAGGGCACCACAAGTCATTCTGGCATCGTAAAAGTTGTCATAGATGTCATAGCCCAGGGTGAGGTTGGGGGAAAGCCTGTGGTTCTCATTGACCTCCCGAACAGCAAACAAGAAGGACAGGATATACCAGTAGGCCCGCATTCCAAACCTGGAAAAAGGTGTGTGTCATCTTGGCATTCTTTCCACACAAAGACCAGATTGTGTCATCCTTACCTGTGACGGGGATGTGTGTGTAAAAATCATGAGATGCGTCTGCAGCATCTGTACACCTGAGATCCGTAAACCGCTTCCTGTTCAAATATTAGAAGAACGGGCTATTCTAAAGCAAGGGTCTCACTAGTGTGGGTGAAAGCACATAGTTTGCAGTAGATAACTTTCTGACATTCAGAACAGATCTGACCATTTCCCTCCAAAGGGACGAAAATAGAAGACATAATTGACCAAGCAAAGGTACCAGAAATGAGGATACGTGCCTAGCAGACAACAACATTTGGTGTCCATGAGGTCACATTCAGTTTGCATAAAGCTTTTACAACAGTAGGCACATAAGGACTTACCCATTAACTCTGGTTGAGGGAGGCTCATTGAAGACGCTTGGATTGAACCCAACAGGTGTAG